AAATTGGTATACGGACTATTTGTGACTAACAGAAAATATGTACAGCATGGGTTTTGTAAATCTGCCCTCAACTCCTAATAATAATTTGAGCGAAATCACGGGCAAAATCTAGTATTATTGTAGTATGGAACAAACCTTAAGTGTGGGCGTTTTGAAAGATCTTCATTTAATCACGTACGGCTTCCTTGTTCAAACCTCGAGGAATCGTGGCGCCAACGATGTTCTGTTTTATCTAGAAAGTTATTGGATAGTCTGGAAATATATTGAGGTCAATGCTTGAGTATATTTGCTAAAAATAACTGGGTTAGAAATGTAGTGTAAACTTACTGCGTTGATTTGTACTTGATATGATTTTAGTGTATACATTTTACTGACTCCTGTTTTAGGCAGTGGAGAAAGAATTTATTAAATAAAATCAACATTGCCTTACTAATTTTATAATTTAAACAATACCATCGTTTACAAAAAAAAACAGACTAAGTATACGCAACATGTGTGAAAAACGAAGTGAACATTTTCCTTCATATTATTCAGACGGCTTAGTACGAGTTTCTTTTTCGTTTAAAGTAATCGAAACGAGACGGCGTCCGGCCCTCTGATTGGTTGGTTCATTGGAGCCGGCCAATCACAGCGCCGAACGCGTACTCGTTTCGATTACTTTCAACGTAAAAGAAACTCGTACTAACGCCTCAGTTCAAGAAAACTTTTCACTGTTTAATATAGACCTCTTTCACTAAATTCCGCATATCGCTCTTAAATTAAACATTTCTATTTTATTCTATTCTAGTGACTTTAGGTACTATTAAGAAATGTGTTATGTTAATTAATGTCTGATATAAATACATTCTCTTTAGTTCTATCACATTCAACGTGCTTACTTATCGACCTTGTGTTATTGAAGCTATGACTAGCTTGAAATATTTTCTCAACTTAAGTATTTTCCTAGCTACCTACTTCATACACATATAATCGTGCTCAGAACCATTCATTAGTGTTTTAGTCCGAAAATAAATAGACTATAGTTATTTACCTGTTTTATTATTTAGCATTCTGAGTCAGACATGAGCACTAATAAATGGTACCAACCTACCCAATAAAATAACTAAGATAAAACGGAGTGAATAGAATTCGACGGCTGAATAGATACAGAATTGTCTAATATTTATTCACCTCATTCCTGTATCTAAGTATTCATCCCTCGTTCCCCATCCCATCATTCTATTTACCTCGTATGTAGGTATTATAAGTTTCAAGTGTAAGTATCCGTATTATATCCTCGCCCATATCAAAACTGGGTAAACAAAACAAAACATTAATAAATTCAGCAACAGCAGACTCAGTCTAATTTGAAAGTAGATTTTGTTTTGAACAGATGCCCCACAGTGTAGCCAATATTATACTTGTTAAGTCCACGTTAGTACCTAGTGCCGCCGGTGTGTTTGGTTCAACGTGATCAGACAACAGTAAAGGACACGTGCCATTGTAAATGCGATTTCATGTAAAACTAGGCTTATCTTAAAGTTTTAATGTTCTTAATTCATTAACCTGTATTTCGCACGTGTGTAGGATATTGAGTATAGCTAATGATTGCAGAACTATAAAATTTTCAGTAAAAGCACGAAGTGTTGTGTTTTTCATCGCCTGTCGATGAACGATTTGATATTACCTACTGAAAAACTAACCAGTAGTAATAATTTCTTGGTACCTACTTACCCATTGGTAGATACGTTATCTTAGAGATTATGCTTCATGCTTACCTACATATCGCTTTTTATCTCCTATTTTAAAGCTCTTTCACTGGTGTTTCAGTTAGGATTATTTATTTATTTATATATGTTTTATTGTACACATTTAAGTAGCTTAAAACAAACAATTCAAGTAAATATGTGTACAATGGGCGGTCTTATCACACAATGGTGATTTCTTCCAGACAACCAGAAGAACAGATTATTAACTTATTCCACCAAAAAACTACTACATCTTTGCGGTTCCGACTACTTACCTACCTACTATAAAACGTACGTAAGCAATCGTAGTTACAATCATTTCACAGTCTTCATTCATAGCGCTTTACTATCAGTCACGATAGCTGATCGATTTGCTGATATCGAACAACCATAGGTAGGTACTCGAATCGGTATTTTTCCAATACTTGACCATCATCAACAATGCCATAGTAAATTTAGTTTTTATATGTGTGTAATATATGTGCATTGTAATTTTGTTTCATGGTTCAGCTACCTCGTTTGTCGTAGTATATTGCTGAGTAAAAAGGATCCATTACCGGGATGGTTGGTTTAAAAAAATATCATATATTGGAATGGGTAATGGTCCTCGATGTATGGCGATAAGCTCGTCCCTTATCACATTGTTCTAGACTCTTCAGGGAGGGATTAAGGGCGCGATCAGCATTCATTCTTACCGAAACTTATACATAACCTTTATAATAGATTTATGTACAGATGCATATACGTAAGTACCATGAAGGAAAATTTCGTCAAGCTATTATTTCATTGAACTTAGTCTGTAGCGTGGGCAGTGTTATTGTAGGCATTCATAAAGTGCCATGGCGGCGACGACGGAAAGTACGGACTATGGGCAGAATGTAAACAAATTCGAAACTTGTTTACTTACTTTCCTGTAAACAACATTGTGTTTGAACTTCGAGTTAGGTACCTATGTATATAGTCCAGTGCCTTTAGCCAAACGCCACTTTAGCGCTTGTCTACCGAGAGAGTAGAAAACTAAATGTATGGGAATGACACTGACAAGTGTCAAAATTTACGTTACCTAATTCCCTCGGAACAATAACTAATAGTTAATTCCATATAATTTGGTTTTCTATTCTATAAGTAGACAAGCGTTAAATGGCATTTGGCTACAGCTGCAGCAGTTTAGACAACTGATATACTTATGTATCTAACCAATGGTAAAATTTAGACAAGAACAAGACGATACATTTTGTACTAAAATCGCAACTCACTCGTGATAATGAAGTGTACCATAATGATAAATCCCTATCGTTTATTTTAAACATAACCCATGGTGAACCCCACATCTATTATCAACCAAGTAGGTTAGTACCATTTCATGCAGTTTCATCATTATATCAGCTATGAGGTAGTAGATCACTGCCTGGGGTCATGGTGTTTTAAATGAGATCATTTTTACTTATTGCAAATTTGATGCAATAATTTCTTCCTTTCTCTCAATGTCTTAAAGATAAATCTCATAACATCACATAATTTCACGTTTTTTATCCCCGAAAGGGTAGGCAGAGGTGCACATTACGGCACTTAATGACGCTGTACAATGTAACACCCATTTTTCACTGTTTATACGAGTCCCATGTTATAGAGGGTGAGCCTATTGCCTATATGGCTATTGCCGGCCTACTGGCTGAGCACAATTCAAGACTCCGTGCTACTAATGAGATTAAAAAAAACAGTAATACTTGCCCGACCCAGGAATCGAACCCGAGACCCGGCAGTCGCACTTGCGACCACTCGGCCTATAAGGCGAAGATAAATAAATAAAGACAAATACAAAGCTAAAACCGAAAGGGTGCGAAAAAAAGCTTAGAACAAATTTTGTAGCATTTATTAAAGTTAGTGTTTAAAATACAAAACACTAGAAATCAGTACTCAAACAATAAAACAAAAAATGTTAAATAAAGTTCATTTAATTGGTAAATATAAAAATAAACAATATTAATAAATAAAGGTCAACAATCATCAGTTTACAGATCATAACTAAAGCGTAATATAATTATTATTAGTTTACATTTACATAGTTAATGAGTAATATTTCGTACATTGATATTCCACTTTATAGGTACAATACTCAAAAGCGCATCATTAACTATGCAACTATAAAACTAAGAATGAATGTGATTTCCTTTCACGTGACATTGCGCAAAGAAAAATATTTTGCGCAATAAGGTAAAAATAGCGCAACGTAGCGCAAGATGTGGTATTCAATTAAAACCAGTTTTAACCAGATTTGAATTATAGGAGCTTTTTTTGAGGGGGGAATCATTCAATGTCGGAATCACCAAAAACTACTTAACCACCCCGTTCCTACTTCTGCTCTTCCGGAGCCGGAGCCTCAACAATCCGTTAAGTCCCCCGCGGCTCCGATTCGGCATCAACCCTACTGAGCCTCATCTGTGGCGATCCGGAGTAATGGGAGCTAAGCTTTTACCAACATCTCCTAAACAAAGAAAGCCCTAAGCTAAGATAGACACCTAACGTCATATTGGTTTTCACCAACCTATAACTGTCACAGTACAAGTGTTTAGTTTGGGTGCTACGTCACGCTAAGTGACTTACAGAAAAACATAGTCTTGCTTAAATAAATAATGAAATAAGCAAGAATATTTAAATAATGCAGTACAGGCAACCAATAAATTCAATTAATGTAAACTCTAATTGGCAATCAAAACCACAAAGTGTTATTTGCTAACAAATTTATTTTAACCATCAATTCATCACTATAAACGGATAACCGACACAAATGTTACTAAAATTAAACTCAATTCCATGTTATCATTTTATAATATAAAACTTTGTGTATCTCTAGAATTGTGACATATTTAAATATAGATTGCTGTGCATATCTTACAATAACGTTTAATCATTATAAAGTATCATTGATCACGCTTTAAAAATCTTTAAATTACTAGCAACACATGTTAAGAGTGAAGTGTTGCCAATTATAAAAATGAGTGAGATCTTCAACCAATATCAACATTTATCACCTCCGATTTTTAAATACAAGTTTAGTCTTATATAAAAACACATGTTACTTAAATTAAGTAATTGATGAGAGTGTGCACCTATGGATGCATTAGGCATAATGAAGAACAATTAGAAATTCCCTAACCAGTGACCACTCTTTATAGACGACACTCCATATAATACACTCTGAAAAACATCAGCCTCGCATACGAACTACAAATATCGCTCTTATTGCACACACAATAAAGACCCTTTCATATATTACATGTCCCATATAAAAATGTTCTGTAACATACTTAAGGGTTGCTGAGTGTCATTAGAGGCAGTTAGGTCAACAGTTACGTACTTCGCCGCTTGAAGTATTTTCAAACAGGATGCGTTGTCTGGAGGTAGCTTATGACAGGCTTGTGTAAACGTGGCCTTAGCGCTGTCGTAGTGGAAAACTAGAGGATCCAATATGTCTGCCAAGTCAGCTTGTGTTAGTAGGCAGCATAGGTGGGCTAGAGTTACGCATAACTGTAACAAAGGACAGTTTTAGGTTTAAATGAATTATTCCCTAACACGTCTTTAATTATACTATAGTTAGACAAATACAAATCAATATCAACGCAATATTTTGTGTTATTTTATTACAACTGAGAATTTCAAAACCTAAAAAATAGGGTGATAAATAAATAAGTTCCATGAGAACTGAAAAAGGATCCTCGTCATCAATCAGAAATAACCAACCCACATATAATGGTTATCTGTTCTCATAATGATTGTAATCAACAAATAATAGACTTATGAGTAGCCTGAAAGAATGTGCTTAAATTCTTTAAGGTTAATAAATTTTCAACCTCATTGTAAAGTAATAAAAATCAAAATCCAAAAGAAGTTGTGTTAACATCTACACTAAAATCAACAGAAATCAAACAATAAGAACCCACCTGTTCAATTAAATTATCTTTGTGTTTGTATTCATTGAAGTCATCTACGTCAGCGGCGTTCTCCATGGCAGCTAATACGTCCCGCCACATGAGTGCGTAGTGGTCGGCGTAGTGCGCACGCGCACTCGGTGCGCGTAGTGCCGCCGCAGCGTTTATACGCACTTTTAGGTTCTTACACTCCTTCGTCAAAGAACATAGACTGGAGAATACTTGGTTCTGTTGAATGAAATTAAATAATCAGTTTTAAAAAAAATCTGTTTTGAAATAAATAGTAGAATTCCTAAAATTCAAGTGACATGGAATATACTAAAAAAAGGATATAGGAGAGAGAAAGGTAAATATAGTCAAAATATGAATATGAGGTGGAGAAAGTGTGAATTTCCAAAATCTCCAATAGTTTTCTACGCTCCAGGATTCGAACTATAAACCACTTGATTGCTAAGTTTAAGTTTTAGTTTTAAGAATATTATAGGTACTGCCTGTACCTATAATATTAACAAATTACATCAATGAGTATGACTTATTTCATGAATAATGAGTATTTTAACTCGTCAAGTACCGGTTTTATAGACACAATTAAAGAACAATAGGTCGCGGTCACCGGTGACCGCTTGGTGTTTGACAGATTAATTAGATTATGCTAGTAATTGTGTACTTGCTCGCATTGCGCGAGCCTACAACAAAGACTTCTCTCAGGTTGATGTGTTTAACTGCACAAAACCTAGCTTTAAAGCCCAAGTTAAAAATATTATAATTGATAAAGGCAAATAGCAAGCAACTTTGTTCCATTCCCCATAAAGCATTTACTATGTTAATTCATATTTTAATTAAATTAATATTATTATCTCTCTTTCATAACAAGTAGTATATTTAACTTTCAATTCTATATTAAAACTTTATTTTTAAATATTATTTAAAGTCCGTTTGCATGGTAAATACAAATTAAGTTAACCCTTAGAGCGCCACGTCAGTCACCGGTGCCTGACGCTAGTGGAGGTTTGACTTTCACCATTTTAAACTTGGCAGTTAAAGTATTAAGAAGGGAAACCTATTATTAGCCTTACTAAACTGTAATATCTTTATTTTGTATTATATCATATGTATCGCTGTTGGTTTTCTAAATAAATAAATAAATAGATTAAGAATCGACGTCTTACCTGCCACCCGCTGAAACAAGTGAACAGCTGTTCGTTCTTCATAGCATTCCCTATAGCGTAGCACGCGTTCCATCGCACCTTCATATTGTTCACTTTACACGCGCAATCCATTAGCTTCCCTATTGCTGTCTCACATAGGGTCTTTAATCTCGTATTCCTGACTAGATTCTCGTTATTTACCAAACGCAGTAGATTTCCAAGGCCACGTGTCGCACTCATTTTTATCTGTAGAAAAAAATCTTTACCTTAGAATAAACAAAATTAATCGTTAAAGAAATATTTCCAAGGATTCAAGGTAACCTATATTGCGAGTCTATGTTAAGGTCGTTGAACTTTAGGTTCTGACACCTCCAGTGGAAAATCATGAAAATAACATTAGCACGTGACTAAGTCAAACAAAACACGTAGGTAGAACAATATGTAATCTTTCAGTAGTTTTCTGTTCTGATTGGTCTTATGAGGTTATTAACCTTTTTAAAGTTAAGTACATGCAGCAGCTGTATAGCTACACAGTTGCTGCTTTAGTTTTGCAAAGAATATCATATTTTGTATTTTCCAGATTGCTTTTTATCCAACCTAGGATAGAAATACAAAAAAGGTTATAAGCGGTATTTTTACTTCAAATGTATATTACAAAGTATAAACTGTACAAAAGCACATCCTGTACGGAATGGATAACAGAATACAAACTTTCCATAACTCATACATAAAAGATAACGAACATTTTACTATTATTAGTACGAGAATACGAGTCACAATTATGACATTGTCCACGTGCGGTGGGGACCTTATGTCGGTTTACTGACCCGAGACCAGAGATTAGCTATTTCCATATTAGATAGAACATAATTAACGGCAAAGTCTAGATAAATGTTTTAATCTAGATAAATGTTGCTGCTTAGTTTACTTAACAGTATGATTAAGTACTATTTGTGATGATATTGCATACATTATTTGAAAGAGAAGAGAAACTGTTTCTAAAAAATGTGTATGACCTATGTATTCTATTAAGTTCCTGAGTGAATATGCGCAAATTATAAATAACTAGCTGTTGCCCGTGTTATAGACTGAGATAGTAAAGCAATATAATTGATTAACTAGAAGTTTAACTAAATAAGTAAGTATTGTAAATTAATTAGGGGACAGATGAAAGTCAAACTACAAGTAACGTATATTTCACATTTTAATAAAATAGGTTCTGTATACCATAGGTATTCTTAAACACAACCTTTTTAACACAAAAACATGTATTTAATCATAATCACACATCATATACATTATATAAGATAACACAAATGCTTTATTAGTTTTACTGTAAAAATGTTTATGTTTATAGAAAAAAATAGCAACACAAGAACAATATTGGTACTTAACTTAGTATTGGTGTATACTCCTTCAAAACCAGACGAGAACTAACTCGAAAGTCACTTGTACTTACCTTTTATACCTTTCTACCCACATAAGTCAATTTATCAATTAATTACTAATTAAATCATAAAGTTGAACCAAAAATATATTAAGACATCCGCAAACACTATTTTAAATATTAATTTACATATGAAATAATATTGAGATAATTGTTTTTAATGAAAATAATTAAATGAGAAAAATATTACAACTTCCGATAACAGTTTTAAACATTCTATTCAAATACAATATTAAGATATTTATAATTTAATTTTACATTATTTATCACGGCCATACTGACTTGTAGTTCGTTCTCGGACTACATAATAGAAACTTATTACTGCTAATTATCACTACGAACAATTATTTGTAAGGTCACTTAAAGCTTAATACATATTATTCATTGTTATAGTCCTAATATCACATCAAAAGGACAAAATAACAACGGTTAGTTCATTGACATCCATCTAAACCCCTCACCTGCTGCACATGAGTCGGGCTAGAGCAATGCAACTAACTTCAGCAGTTCCAATCATTTCTCTTATCCAAATGTCACATCCGACATTTGTTACATCATAATCACATAAGTTTCATACATAGTTTTCATATCATTAACACACGGTTTTCATATCATTAATACATAGTTTTTATATCATTAATACATAATTTTCACACAAGTTGAAAATATACTTTTCACACAAGTGTAATACAATACATTTTTTTCACTTTACATAGCTTTAATACAATCATAATTTTTCATAGCTGCAATACATCATTTTTTTACATATACATAAGAATTATAATTATCTAGGATGTTAACAATTAATTGTTATTAAAAATTACTATTCGACATCATCAATCCATTCTCCCGACCATAATCTCAATTTATCCTTGGCTACAATTATATTTCTCAAATTCCCTATTCCCCTTAGGGAATACCTATCATTGGGCAAGATAGTGATTATCTCGTATGGTCCTTTAAATCTGGGACTTAGTTTATCATGACGACGGTGGTCTTGGTTAACATAAACTGTATTTCCGACATCAAACACATTATAATCTCGCCTAACAGTATCAAATCGCGATTTAAATTTATTAGCCTCCGAACATAAACGTTGGTAAGCTAGTTCACGGTCAACTCTAACGTCTATATTAATTTCGGGGATGTTAATGTCATTTAAGTGGGCTTGGATAGAAGGGATATTAGCATTGCAACCTATAAGCAAACGGATCGGTGTGAAACCAGTAGAACTTTGGATAGTGGTGTTTATGGACTGTTGAACCTTCCACAGTCCGCTCGGCCAATCTGACGACCCGTTACAAGTAGTGTTTAACATGTCAATTACTGTAGCTACATATCTTTCTATTTGACCATTACCCCTAGGTGTGCCCGTAGCAACCATATGGTGTTCTATTTGCAATTCTCTAAACAAAGAGCGAATTTGATGAGAACTGAAATTGGTGCCCCTATCAGTAATAACTAATGACGGGGTTCCAAAAATTGTGACGATTTCCCTTATGATAGGCACTAATTCAAGGGAGTTTAGAGTTTTGAGAGGTTTTAGTAAACAGAATTTGGTAAACCCATCGACTAAAAGAAGAATATGTTTGTAACCCTCACTAGTTTGTGTAAATGGACCTGTGCAATCTAGATGGACTGTGTGAAAGGGGACAGGAGTTTTTTCTATGGGATGCAAATATCCCTGTTTTGGACCAGAATGACTTTTTCGCTTCACACATATTAAACAGTGCTTTAAATATTTTCTTACAAAAATGGACATGCGAGGAAACCAAAAATATTCACAAAGTTTTTTGAATGTTTTAGTAAATCCTACATGGCAGTTCTCATCGTGAAATAATTTTAAAAGGCTAAATCTAGATCCCTTTGGCACATATAACTTAGGTTCATTGGGCCTTACTTTGTAAAACAACAAATTATTCTGTAACAAGTATTGATTATCGTCTAATTCACCAGATATGACTTGGGCTATTAAATTTTGAGTTTCTACATCATTTTGCTGGGCGGCTTCTAACCAAGATAGAGGTTCTTCAATCAAATTTACAGAGCTGCACAACTTTAGCGATTTTCTACGGGTTTGTAGAGGTATATTGGCAGTTTGTGTTGACAAAGAACCAGTTATGGAAGCAGCAGAAGAAATGGAATTTACCACTGGGTTACGGCTAAGAAAATCTACATGTCCTATGTGTTTACCCTTCTTATATATGATATCAAAATTAAAATCTTGTAAAAATGTCCACCAACGAGCAACACGGGGAGACAAATCTTTTTTATTCATTGTACTTTTAATAGAGTTACAGTCTGTAAAAATCTTAAACGGTGTACCTAGGAGGTACACTCTAAAATGTTTCAAAGCATTGTATATAGCCAAAGTTTCCAGATCATACGAACAGTATTTAGATTCCGCGGGTGAAGTTCTTCGACTAAAATAAGCTACAACTTTTTTAACATTATCAACTCTTTGTACTAATATAGCTCCAAAGCCTAAGGAACTAGCATCTGTATATAGTTCAGTTGGTAAAGAATGATTGAATACAATTAGTAAGGGTTTACTAGACAAGTGCTCGATAACATAATTCCTAGCCATATCCTGCTCTCTTCCCCACTCCCATTTCTGGTCGCTTTTTGTCAACTTAGTTATAGGTGCAGTTTGAGTTGCGAAATTGGGAATAAATTTACGGAAATAACTGGCAAGACCCATAAATTGCCTTATTTGTTTAACGTTTTTGGGGATCGGGGAGTTAACTAAATCGGCTACCTTTGTTTCACTAGGCCTAACACCTTCCTGTGATATAATTCTTCCTAAATATTCTATACTTTGAACAAAAAACTTGCATTTTCTTAGATTTATAGTAAATCCCGAAGAACATAATGCTTGAACAGTTTCCTCTAAGTAGCAAAGCCTTTCGTCTATTGTTGAAAATGGAATTAAAATATCATCTATATAGACTAAAAGAAATTTTAAGTTCTGCACAGCTTTAGTGATAGCTCTTTGGAAAACGGAAGGTCCATTGCAAATCCCAAATGGCATCCTTAAAAACTCGAAATGCCCATCGGGTGTCACAAAAGCCGTGTATTTTATCGAGTTTGGTTCTACGGGAATTTGGTAAAAACCATTTTTCATATCAATAGAAATAAAGAACTTTGCCTTACCTAACTTATCGATTTGGTCTTCGATTAGAGGGAGAGGGTAGCGATCTTTATCCAAAATTTTATTTAGTGACCTATAGTCTACACATAAACGATCGCTGCCGTCTTTTTTTTTAACTAAAATAACTGGATTTGCAAAGGGGGAGTCGCTTTCGCGAATTATGTTTTGCTTTAAAAGTTCTTGAATTATCTCATTAACCTTCTCCCTTTCTATCGGTGCCAATCGATAAGGGCGATAATTAATAATTTCATCTTTTATCAACCGTAACCTGAGTTCACCGGTTTTTACAGTAGTTCTACTATCAAAGATCGAGGGATATTTTTGAAATATGTTTCTTATTTTATCTTGTAGTTCCGTGTCTAAGTGATCGATTTTTGAGGTTAATTCAACCGAATCAGACGTATTAAGAATCATATTAACTTCCGTTTTAGTTAGAGTCGGGGTCCTAATTAAATGACTACCTAATGAATTTGTAACGATTTCTATATCATGATATTGAACAGCATTTCTGCCGATTAACAAATCGTATTTAACTCGTCGAGTACCGGTTTTATAGACACAATTAAAGAACAATAGGTCGCGGTCACCAGTGACCGCTTGGTGTTTGACAGATTAAAATCATAGTCTCTAACAACGTATATATCTAGCTCTAAACAAACAGATTCGAATCTAACTAGTACGGTAATCATAGCAAAAACATGTATTTTATTTTGACCTATTCCATTTAAGTAAATCGATACTGGTGAAAGATGGCAGCCCAATCTTTTTGCAATTGATTCTTTTATAAGACTACAATTTGCTCCTGTATCTAGAAGACAATCTATTGGAATGTCATTAATTGTTACTGTAGTTAGTTTTAGGTCGTTTTTTCTAAAAAATTAACCTCTTTATTTGGTAAAATAGTTATAGATGGAGAATTATTTGATTCAGCTCTCTGTTTATGATAACAAATAGACTCAGTGTGTCCAACTTTTTTGCAATAAGTACAAATCTTAGGGTTGTTAGCTTTAGGTAATTGTACGGTTGGATTAACGGGCGTACGTAAAATTTGTTTGTTTTTGGGGCATTGAGATTGCAAGTGACCAATCTGATTGCAAGAAAAACATTTCTTTTCATCGTTTAACTTAGGTCGTTTTGGTTCTAGCAATTTGGCATTAGAATTCTCTAATGGTCTCTTTTTTGCTTTTACATATATTGAAAGAAGCGATATTAGAGCAGAAGTAGTAGTGATACCACTGTTTAAGGAAGCCATCCTAACATCAATATCTGAAATTCCTCCACAAATTAATTCTACTAATTGATCATCAGTAAATGCAATTTTGGTATTACGAAGTAATCGAATTTTTTCCCTACAATATTCACTATAAGAATCTGTAGCGTCTGACGTATATAATACTGCCTTGCTAAGTTTCTCGGCCAAATTTTTCTTTTCGGGAAAAGTATCGATAATGTCTATACGAAATCTCTCCCAAGATCTACCTTCAGGCGGTTCCCATGACTCGAACCATATCAAGGCAGATCCTTTCAGAGCCTTACCGGCTTTTGCTGCGGTCCGGATGCTGCTCCACTTCAAGTCTGCTCGAAGAGTATCGATGCTATCACACCAACTCTTGGCCCCACAGTCACTTTTATCAGGATCAAACACTGGCAAAGCGATGTCGTCGTCTTTCTGTTGAACTGCATCTCGAATTGCGTTTAGAAGTTTACCGACTGTCTCAGGATCCATTCTAAAACACAGAATTTGATTAAATATTAAGCTAACGTATCCCACTTCTGATGTTATAGACTGAGATAGTAAAGCAATATAATTGATTAACTAGAAGTTTAACTAAATAAGTAAGTATTGTAAATTAATTAGGGGACAGATGAAAGTCAAACTACAAGTAACGTATATTTCACATTTTAATAAAATAGGTTCTGTATACCATTTTTTTTTTTAAGGGGGGAAAATCATCGAATGACTGCTCCCGCCCGGGTGAGGCGGAAGGGAGTGTCAGACTCTTACTGACTAAAAACCACCCCGTTCCTTCTCCTGCACGTCGAGCCGGAGCCCCGGTTACCCGTTAGGTTCTCCGCGACTTCTGTATACCATAGGTATTCTTAAACACAACCTTTTTAACACAAAAACATGTATTTAATCATAATCACACATCATATACATTATATAAGATAACACAAATGCTTTATTAGTTTTACTGTAAAAATGTTTATGTTTATAGAAAAAAATAGCAACACAAGAACAATATTGGTACTTAACTTAGTATTGGTGTATACTCCTTCAAAACCAGACGAGAACTAACTCGAAAGTCACTTGTACTTACCTTTTATACCTTTCTACCCACATAAGTCAATTTATCAATTAATTACTAATTAAATCATAAAGTTGAACCAAAAATATATTAAGACATCCGCAAACACTATTTTAAATATTAATTTACATATGAAATAATATTGAGATAATTGTTTTTAATGAAAATAATTAAATGAGAAAAATATTACAACTTCCGATAACAGTTTTAAACATTCTATTCAAATACAATATTAAGATATTTATAATTTAATTTTACATTATTTATCACCCGCGACTTCGTCCGCGTAGATTAATGACTTCTGACAGAATTAACCAGAATCAATTCAGTGCCCAAGTAAGATTTACCTATTTTGAAATGATTTATCGTAGTTTCAATAAATAAATAATCCCGCAGGGATCTTACCAGTACAGTGCCCGATCACGTAAGGTTTGAGTAATAAAAACTATTCTATCGACTATTGTTGTACCGAATCTCTCTAGAATAAGTTCAGTGGTTAAGAGTTAGAGAGTCCTGGGGCATTGACGCATAGTTCTCGTTCTCGTGAGACATCTGTGAAAAAACTATCATACGTTACCCAGGTCCCAAATCATCGTTTTACCGAATGTAATTCAAAAAGATTTAATGATTTTAAATTCAATGGCTAAGAAGATTTATACAAACTCTCATTCCCTATTTTATCCCCTTAGGGGTGGAATTTATCAAAATCCTTTAACAGCGGATGCCTACGTCATAACATCTATCTGCATGCCAAATTTCAACCCGATCGATTTAAAACTGACAATGTCTCATACAAACTTTCATGCCCTATTTTACCCCCTTGGGGGTGGAAAATATCAAAATCCTTTCAAAACGGATGCTTACGTCATAACATCTATCTGCATGCCAAATTACAACCCGATCGGTTTAAAACTGACAAAGTCTCATACAAACTTTCATCCCCTATTTTACCCACTTGGGGGTGGAAATTAGCAAAATCCTTTCACAGCGGATGCCTACGTCATAACATCTATCTGCAGGCAAAATTTCAACCCGATCGATTTAAAACTGACAATGTCTCATACAAACTTTCATCCCCTATTTTACCCCCTTGGGGGTGGAAATTATCAAAATCTTTTCATAACGGATGCTTACGTCATAACATCTATGTGCATGCCAAATTTCAACCCGATCGGTTTAAAACTGACAAAGTCTCATAAAAACTTTCATCCCCTGTTTTACCCCCATTGGGGGTGGAAAATATCAAAATCCTTTCAAAACGGATGCTTACGTCATAACATCTATCTGCATGCCAAATTACAACCCGATCGGTTTAAAACTGACAAAGTCTCATACAAACTTTCATCCCCTATTTTACCCACTTGGGGGTGGAAATTATCAAAATCCTTTCACAGCGGATGCCTACGTCATAACATCTATCTGCAGGCAAAATTTCAACCCGATCGATTTAAAACTGACAATGTCTCATACAAACTTTCATCCCCTATTTTACCCCCTTGGGGGTGGAAATTATCAAAATCTTTTCATAACGGATGCTTACGTCATAACATCTATGTGCATGCCAAATTTCAACCCGATCGGTTTAAAACTGACAAAGTCTCATAAAAACTTTCATCCCCTGTTTTACCCCCATTGGGGGTGGAAATTATCAAAATCCTTTCACATCGGATGCTTACGTCATAACATCTATCTGCATGCCAAATTACAACCCGATCGGTTTAAAACTGACAAAGTCTCATACAAACTTTCATCCCCTATTTTTTACCCCCTTGGGGGTGGAAATTATCAAAATCCTTTCTTAGCGGATGCCTACGTCATAACATCTATCTGTATGCCAAATTTTAGCCCAATCTGTCCAGCGGTTTGGGCTGTGCGTTGATAGATCACTATGTCAGTCAGTCAGTCAGTCAATCACCTTTGAATTTTATATATATAGATATAATGGTTACTTATTTATAAGAATTCAATTTATCTGTTATTGTACTGATTTTCCTAAAAAGACATACAAGTTTTGCGCAAAATCTTTGCGCAATTCGCGCAATCAATGTAATATTCTTTCAAGTCTCCCAATTGTGTTCAGTGTGGTCAGAAAGGGCCGCAAATATACAGCATGTGCTAAGTACGATTTAATTACTTTCAGTAATACAACACTTGATCTCATTATCACATATTTACTTTGAGGTGATTTATGATTTATCGCCGATATCAGTCAATTAACTAACATTGTAAACGGCGCAATAAGTTTTTATATGTTTGTTTATTTTCTAAACACGTAATTCATTATTAACCTCTTGACCGCCATACTACATTAATAAAACTTTCGACGTCCAGCTTCGAATTTATGTGAAGTTTTTAATGTATTTCGTTTGATGTTCGAAAAATGCGTAATGTTTAGTATATTTTTTTATTAATAACGTTGCCCCAGACTAGGATTTTCTCCTATGTCGTGGGTGCGTTTACAAACATACAAGTTCACATACACATGACACCCAGACCCGGAACAACAATCTGTGAATCACACAAAGAGTTGTTCCGTGCGGGAATCGAACCTGCGACACGTTGCGCGGCGGCCAGTTGACCAGCCACCGCGCCAACGGTGCAGTCAAATTGAACTAAATGATTTAACTTTCGACTTATTTCGGTAACACAAATCAACGTTGTTTTATAGCATTCATTACTTTCCAAAATTCATCACTTTTACGTGTTTAGCACATTTTAGTTCTACTATTTTAACTGTAGTAGTCACACTGTGAATAAAATACAAGGATTTTACTCATATTTAGAACGAACAGTACGAACCATTGGGTCTTTCATTGAACACGTAACAGGGACAACGTAGGCGTTCAATCGTACAGTCGTTGAGCTTAAATTGTAGTAACACACCCTTATTGCATTATTTACTGTCAAAATTAAACCAAGAAAGGTCTTAACCTTAACACGCAAGTAAGGAACGCAGTACAAGATGATAAAGGTCAAGCGTAAGACAGACATACTAAAATGTTTTATAAATAAATGTGACCCTATAACCGTTTAGGTTTATGACGATGTTACAGCCTAAACAATCATGAATCATGCACGTGATTGTATTATTTTTATAAAGAAATATCATTCAAAACACGAATGATTATGCACAGACGCAAGTTGTTCGTGATAAGAGGATTGACATCTGTAATGTTGCTAGATATAAAAATATCCGGTAGTGTTACCTTATCGTTGTCCGTTGCGCATTGTATGCTGGCGTCGAGTAGGCGAATAAGGAGGTTGTCGTCTATGTCGTCACATTCCGGATCCTCCCTGATACATAAAGATGACACATGTTAGAACATAAGGAAGAAAATTAGATTACAGATTTTTAAAGCCTATTTTAGTATACTGCACATTTTCTAAACAGAGAGAACGTCTTTCCAAACTAAAAATCATATTTTAAATAACATAACGCCTGTTTCCCCGAATGAGATAAGTTGAGCTGCAAATACAGCAGACAATTTTACCCTCGTCGTATATTTATTGCGAAACACGAAATTATTTAAAATGTAAGTACCTTTAATTCATAACATAACATAATATCATGCCTTTTATACCCGAAGGGGTAGGCAGAGGTGCACATTATGGCACTAAATGACACTGTACAATGTTACTCACTCACTTTTCACTATTTATTTTACCTTTAATTCTCAAGTGATAATTCATTCTAAATGATACCACCCAAAAGGTATTGAAAGGGGAAATGAGTACCTGACCTTACAAAAATTATGTATATGTACAAAAGACCAGTCAATATATCTATCTATCATCGTGTGACCACAAGCAAAGCAAAGACTGTGACGTATGTGATCTTTGACATTAAATTGGGAGTTTCCATTATCTTATGCAAATATAACGTAGGTATTACTACGTCTACGGTCTATAATTCTTAGAAGAATGTTTATTTGTTCTAGATTTATTAGAATTTGTTATAAATTATTAGATAACTATTTTATGTTAGAAGAGCTATGACGTAAAGATAATATTGATATATATTTACATGTTTTACTTTGCTCCTAAATTAATTAAAAACACATTATTTTTAATGTATGAAAGAGGTATGTAGGAATCGTAGTAATTGGCATTTCATAGTCTCAGCCTACCCCTATAGGAGACAGGCGAGAAGTATGTATGTATATTGTATGTACATTATTTTTGAAGAAAGAATATCACCCGTGTGTGTATTTTTAACAGATACATACAGACGCGCTGAAGTCTGTCAGCCTGTGCTTATTATGATTTGGAAATTCATATTCATAGTTACACGGATATTATTGCAAAAACCTACTTATTTAAAGATGTCAACAGACATCAATTTTCAACCACATTCACCTACAAATAGAGTCTACATTTAACTACAAATTATAATATAACTTACAAGTTTAAAACGAGAGCATCGCAAAGATTACCCAGCGCCCAAGCTCCCTTGATCCTTACAACCATGGTCGGCTCCGCCAGTGCACGCAGTACATTCTCACCGCAGTCACTCACGAAGCAAATGTCCTGGAACAAAATACAAGAACAAATTAAAGAAAAAAAATTAACTAGGTATATGTTAGTCGAATATAGCAGATGCGACTACAAAGTACGGTTTTAATTTTGATTTCGAGAGTGCGACTACCGGGCAAGGAGTCTCGGGTTCGATTCCCGGGTCGGGAATAATAAATAAATAGTGAAAAGTGGGTGTTACATTGTACAGTGGCATTAACAACTGATAACTCTGTTATTTTCAACTATGCTACACACACCTTTCAACCACTGAAGACGTTGGCAGAAGTTCACTCTTCACCAGTTATAAACAACTATATCAATTGGGTAGTTTTCAGGGTATCAACATTAAAAATCTAATTAGTCCGTCAGTTAAATAATAAAAAAATATTATTCACGTATTTTTTATTTTAAAATGTAGCACGTTGTGACGTCACACGATATTTCAAATTAATATATCGTCGAAAGTATATAATTTTGTGAGAAAATAAAAACTACGTGGCTAAAGTTTTAAATTAATGTACCAGACGGACAATAAAATAAAATTTAGGAAACTACCCTATTCCTAACTATTTCTATCAATCAACAATACTTAATTCGCTTAGGATATTGATTTCAACCAGGATAAAGACCAACAAACATCACAGCAGGGTTCAATTGACCAATTGACCTAATTTCGTGACAAAATGTTTGTCTGGGTGTTGCCACTTATTGTAATACGTCATAGAACTAAGTGCTATAATATAACAGACTAATATAAATAAATAACGTTTGACTGTTGACATATTGCGCTGATTTCCTTGTGATTGTGACGTTTTAGTAAAAAAATTTTAAAGTGTCATAGACGTCATTATTAATACGTACGACGTAACAATTAACACTATTAATGCAATATTTTATGCTAAGATATAGGTAACGAAGACTTCTTGAATCGTGACATCAATTAATGACGTCATAGTTTCGTGCAGTTTTCATAAAACTGATGGAAACAGGATTTAACAGCAATTAAATTGTATAAAAATATTGAAGAAAAGTACCATATGATAATATCTCCTTTGCTTTCACTTCCAAGGCAAAAAAAATGAGAAATAGTTTTACAATGCACCACACAATTAATCTTATTGTAAACACACCCACGACACAGGAGAGAATCCTAGTGTGGGGGGCAACGTTTAAAACATTAACTAAACCCAAATTAGCTAGATCAAAAGATTATCTTTAAGTACTTACTTCTCGAAGAGTTCTGTACATGACGAGCATGGCCAACGCTCGCACGGCGGCCGCGCGAACCGTCGGCTCCTCGTCACTGCACGAACCAATCAGAAGCGTGCAGCATAACACTTGAAGGTGATGCTAAGCAAACATAAAAACATAAAGTCCAGTTAATTTTCGCTAGTACATTCATTTCTAACTAGATTCAAAATATGATACGAAGGAATTTAGTTATCAAAATGACGTCTTACAAACAAAGCTTGCGTTGTTTTTATAATAACTATCGTGAGACATACTAAATTAAGTAAAATCGCGGGTTACTCACGTGAATATACTGAGAAAAGCTCTACTAGTTTCAGTGAGCTGCGCGACGTCGCCGCGACCGCGCACGCTGCTCGTGAGGAAGAACCCCTCTGTGGTTCGAAACTAGTAGAGCTTTTCTCAGTATATTCACGTGAGTAACCCGCGATTTTACTTAAAGCTTGCGTTGTTTTGTCGTGTGCATAAGGTAACGGGATCCCAATCCCCCCCCCCCCTCCACTTCCAAGGCTGACAACGCACTTGTCACTTCTCTGATGTTACGGGTGACAATGGGCGGCGCCGATTACTTCCCAGGTGATCGGTCTATTCGTTTTCTGCCTTATGCCAAAAATCTAATCTCAATGTTGACATCTAACATCAAACAACACTTACAGGTAACTCTTTGAAGGTTCTCTCCCCAATATTGGCGATACAGTCGCATACTACTGCTTTAGCCGGGCTCATGTCGTGGCACTGAAGTACTGTAGATAGCGGTGTCACTAGCTTCTCCCACATGTAGACACAATGACTTAGAGGAGGTGGCTTGTTAGCTAGTTCTGTAAACAAAAAATTAAAGTAAATTATTCCCTGGCTTGAGTCTAAACCTGATCAGTCAAATGTTAGTATTTTGTAATGGTATATAGAATTCTAAACTAAAGAATTCTGTAATAGCAACTGAATATTCCCTGATAAACATTTGAAAAAAGATGCCATATTTCATATCGATTTTAATACGTAAGTGTCAACAAACTTTAGCCACTAATTGCATAGGATCCAGGCTTCTTCTCTCAGATCTCGTGTCTCCAAGGTATTTTAACAACTCATAACATAACATCACGCCTTTTATCCCCGAAGGGGTAGGCAGAGGTGCACATTATGCCACTGTACAATGTAACAGCCACTTTTCACTATTTATGTTATGAGTCCCATGTTTTAGGTGAGCCTATTGCCATATACCGGGCACAATTCCAGACTCCGTGCTACTACTGAGATTTTTTTTTAAAAACCCAGTAATAGTTTTCCCGACCCAGGAATCGAACCCGAGACCCCCTGCGACCACTCGACCAACTCAAGTAGACCAAAACCCTTGTGTTAGTCCTTACCTAGTTTCTGTATTCCATCCCCGATAATACTGATAGCTTTAGCAGTCTGTACCACCACGTCCTGGTGCTCATGCTGCAGCAGGTCGCTGAGGATGTCGCCAAGCAGCGTGATGTGTCTGTCCAGTAGTTCTTCTAAATAGTGGAACGCTGCCGCTGATAGCACTTGTAACGACTCCAGTATCACGGGGATGAGTGACGGTTTGATTCTCTGTAACAATTTATTTTATGTGGACACTAGTTAACGCAGCAAACCTCGTACCGCCTAAAATTTCTTTATAACTTTTAAACCTTCCCTGGACTTCCATGAATATTTACAGAACAATATTAACCAAATCAGTTCAGCCGTTTTCGAGTTTTAGCGAGACTAACGAACAGAAATTCCTTTTTATTTAAATAGAAGATAGAAGATAAAAGCAATACAATAGTCGACTCAGACCCAAGTAGCTTGTAAAGGATGGAATAGCATCAGGTACTATTGGAAACCTAACTGCGATCCGCTAACGTTGAGATTATAGTAACCCTTTGCCTCTTTCACTTTTGTTCATTCAACAAAATATTATCGTATGTTCCTTCATTCAACAGTGTACATGTTCTGGTTGGTGATAATACTAAATATGATAAACTGAAGCGTGTTTCGTTTGTCACACGTTCGTCCATTCCATACAATCTACTTACACTTAAGTATGTATTTTAAATTAGTCTTTTATGTCCAAATACTTAAACACCACTAAATTTTAAGTCGCGCTTAAGTATAATTCTGTTACAAAAATTGGGTACTTTCCTTAATCAAAAAAAAAAATATTTCGAATATTTAATACAATAAAATATTAAAAATAATCACACATCATTAATTGATTTTATGACCAACTTAATTTTAGTATTTTTCCAGCATTTTTATGAAATATGTTTGCTGTTTGACGCTAAAAAAACGTGACGTCACAATCCACAATGTCGTACAAAATTCATAGAAAACAGTCGTTTATGACAGTTCGAAAAAAGTATTGAATTCGACTAGTGATGGCACGATATTTGAGTAGAACATAAAATTGAAAAGCCTTTCAATATTATACTACAGCATTAGACATACGTCTTTTAAACAGTCTTTTTAATGTGGGAGAGCCATGCTTCGGCACGAATGAGCCGGCTCGACCGGAGTGATAACCACGGCCTCACAGAAAACCGACGTGAAGCAACGCTTGTGTTGTGTTTCATCGTGTGAGTAAGGTTGCCGGAGGCCCAATTAACCTTCCCCTGCCCCATCTCCCCAATCCCTGAATCCCCAACGATCCTCAAACTCCTAATCCCCAAAAGGCCAGTAACGCATTTGTAACGCCTCTGGTGTTCCACGTGTCCAAGGGCGACGCTGATTGCTACCATCAGGTGATCCGTCTGCTCGTTTACCGGCTTATGCCATAAAAAAAAACATAACAACTGAGGTACTCAACGTAAAAAATGGTGTTGCATAGTTATCTATACAGATTACTGCGTATATTATGTCTGTGACGACCAAATCAATTTTGTTTGTGTACAATGTCCAAGGACCACTCTTCATTAAGTGTTCTACGCAGATATTGCGTTCTGGAGTCGTCGATGACCTTCTAATAGCTGTTAATAAATCAATCGATTGCTTTAAGTAGACCATTTTATTTATAGATTGCTATGTGATTGTGATTGACAGGCCTATGTTCAGCAGCGGATGTCTTGTGTTTGTGTCTGATATGATGTAATTGAAATCTTATCTTATACTCTTATACTATTATATAAAGCGGAAGAGTTTGTTATTTGTTTGTTTGTTTGAACGCGCTAATCTCCGTAACTACAAGTCTGATTTGAATAATTCTTTTTGTATTGGATAGCGCATTTATCGAGGATGGTTATAGGCTATAAAAATCACGCTACAACCAATAAGAGCTGAGCAGAGCGTGTGAAACCGCGCGGTAGTAGCTAGTTGATTATAAAGATGTAACATGCGAAAAGTGTGAACCCTATGCCTAGAGTAGGTGGATGAACATGTACAATGTTCAATGTAACATCCAGTATTTTCCAGTTGTTATGCGCCCTTTTTACAGATGCGAGTTATAAATGACAGTAAAACTTAAAAGCCATGCTCTAATACCAATTGACAATATGGCAACATGGCCCCTTTTTCTATGCTCTGGAAATTTAGATACACCCAAAATTACATCCCATTGCATAACATTAAAATTTGTACTATTCTGTTCACGAAGTCACGTTTCAACGAAAACAAATTTAATGAAGTGTTTTTTTTTTTAATTTGATACTATGTTAACCTTTTTAATTGCTTTCCACACCAAATTAACTATCTGGCAAAGAAAAAAATATTTACAATGACAATACAATTTAAACCGATATAAATCCAGTAATAATCGGATTTGTGATAAAAAACTGGTCTAAAGTAAAAAATCCGGATTTTTTATTAATTAAATCTGGTTTTAACGAGTTCTTTGATAACAGAGTTCAGTTCTCAATAAAAGTTTACAAGCGAAATGGCCGCCATTGGGAGTTATCAACGTTGCTAAAAAACTTCATTAAAATCAGACATAACATTATAAAATATAGGCTAATTGTCTAATATTATCATTTAAGTGCATAAGATCACAACTTTATTAGTTCATAACGATAACAAATCCTTGAATTGTCGCGAATCAGAAATAACATAAAATATCACACCATTATTACCGGCAAGTTAAACTGAATTATGTACACCCTCTGTAACTTAATTTTTTATTATAAAAAAAATAGAAGAGTACACGGCGCAGTAGTGCACATACATGGTATTCAGACACGTCAAGCATACCGATTTTAAACTATTTTACGACTATTATAGATAGACGATGAATGAAGCAACGTAAAAAAACCTAACAACCTAAAATCACACTAATATTCATAAATTATTATGTTTTCGGCTTACTCACGTAATTATTTGACGAGGAACTCGACTAGTTTCAAGCCATGCTAGAGGCTCATATTCATGAGCAGCATTTCGCGACCCGCGAAGCGGCGACTGTCGCACTGCTACTGTTTTGAGTACTGTACGGAGTAATCCTCGTCAAATAATTACGTGAGTAGCCGAAAACATAATAGAAAGAAAGAAAGAAAGAAAGAAAAATAAATTTATTCGTCGTCAGACATGGACCACCGAAAATAAAACAATATAAAAAACATAAAATAACAAAAAAAAAACAACAATAAAACAAAAAAAACATTATATAAAAAAAAGCAAAATAAAAAGAGACCGGGTGGCAGCATGTCCACGACGAAAGGGCCCGCCAACTCAGCATAAGCTGGGCACAGTAAGTACCCAACACTGGTTTTCAGTTGGCACCCCTGCAGTGACGCACGGACGGAGGCAACGAAAAATTATTTAAAGGAAAATAATGGAATACATAACTCATGTTAAAACAATAAAAGAAAAGGAAGATATTATTTAAACACAGACCTCTGTGTGTGCACATTGTGCGATAAATAAATAAATAAATAAAAAATAAGTATACATACATAAACTAGTGCTACGTGTACCGTCACCGAAGAGAAGAAAAATAAAAACATTATAAACCACATATATCACGACAATTAAAATAGTGTGGGTAGGTTGTGGTCGTGAAGCTATCGCGCAGCCCGACACTCATTGCGAGAGGTTACAGCGACAGGTCGACACTTCGCCAGCACTGACGCAACAACAAGGGGCTCGAGGGTGAGTATGTGAGATATCCTACGTTACATTAATAATGAAAGCAATAAATAATTATAATTATAAAAATAAATAAATATGAAAATGTGACTAACATAATTTGTGTACCCAATTATACGAATAAAATAAAAAGAAGGATAAATGTCAGATTAAATAAACGAAATGTCAATATTAATAGATTCACTCTCAATTTGAGAGTTAATAATAAACTCCTTGAGTTTTCTTTTAAAAGTGAAAGTGCTTTGCAGGTTCCTGATTGGCGGAGGTATGTTGTTCCAGCACTTAGAAGCTGCATATCGGAAACTACACCGAAAAGCAGCCGATTTGTGTTGCGGTATAGCCAGCTGTTGTGCACACCGCCTACCCTCCCGCTGCCGATGAGCATTCACCCATGAGAGCTTCGAGTAGAGGTATGCTGGACACTTGTACTTAATCACACCAAAGAGGAGACATGCCAGGTGGAGCTTACGTCGGGACTTCATTTTTAGAAGATTGTACTTGTTTAAGTAAGGTGTTATGTGACTCCTAGGTGGAATTTTAAAACAAAAACGCGCGCAGGCGTTCTGAACCCTCTGTATCAATCGCTCAGTGCGTGAAAACAGTCTAGGTCCAATAACCGCGTCAGCGTAGTTTAGCTTGGATAAAACCAACGACTCAACCAGCCGCACACGCAACTCCTCGCTTAGATACGGGCGCATTCTGTAAAGTATCTTCAAGCGGTAAAAACAGTTTCTGACGCAGTTAGAGATGTGGGACTCAAACCTAAGACCTTGATCCATTATCAGACCCAAATTTCGCGCTTCATAGACACGCTCAATGATTTGACCCCTCAAGAGAACGTTAATATTACTAGGAGTCTTGTAAAGTTGCGTCTTTGTTCCGAAAAATAATATATTTAGTATGTGTCACGAAAGTTATAATACTAATATTCATGTGAAATTTACTTTGTTTGGATGTTTGTCCGTCAATCACGCTGAAATTACTAAACGGATTTTGATGACATTTAATGCCTGATAAACAGGCAAGGTATGGGACGACTTAGGTGATAGGACTTTTATCCCGATTAAATGCTCCCATGGGATATATAGCTACTACACAATAATTGTAAGTTCAAAAATTTCAAAGGAGATAATAAATAACTCACCACATTATCTTTCCCTCTAACCACCCAGCCCATATTCTTGCAGCAAATATCGAGTATCCAACTTCTAAAGTAATGCCCTTCTACATCATCCCCACTCTCAATAACTGGCTCAGCAGTAAACATTTCATCATCGGAATACCCTTCTTCAAAGTCATCACATTCTTCTGCATCAACTTTATGCGGAGTAAATGTAATTTTAGTAGAACTCATTGAAGTAGATATTTTAGAAGGCACTGTATCTTTCCCTATTGCTTTTAATACTTCATCGACTTTTGGATCCACGGATAGAACACAGCCCATTGTTATTAAGGCACCTACTTGTAAAGTTGTATCTGAAATGAAAGTGACCATTTTAAAAATGAGTGTTGAAAAGAATCGTTTTGGCATTATGAAAATGTGGCACTAATGTGCAAAAAACATATTTAACAATAATCGACCAATCGTAACACAAACTTCGCTAAAAAAGGCGTTTTTTTATATCTATGATCTGTATATCTCGATTTATAACTGTACCATTTCACTTATTTTAATCTACGACAGACGCATGTACCTTTAGGTGACTTAGGTTAAAAAATACGAATGAATGAATAATTAAGATGACGGCAGAGGTGGCGCAATATCTGGGCTACCGACATATGTCGGAATACTGAAACGATACTCAATTTTAAGTCGTGCTTAAGTATAGTTCTATCTCTACAAATTCTTTGTAAAATGACGGAGATGGCACGATATTTGAGCACGACTTAAAATTGAGTAACGTTTCAGTATGCCGGCAATAATTATTCGTAACGTCTCGTAAATTATGTTTAGAGTTTTTTATGGAAAACATATCCAAATTATTTTACCTTTATGCACTAAAAATTTCCTCGTAGCCAAAACAAGCTGGGTAATAAGGCCTTCCTTCATTTTATGGTAGGGTGTCGCCTGCACAAGGGCTGCACAGCACTTCAGAGCGACAATGGTCGCGGCGCGATTTCTTTCATTCTCTAAGATAGTGGTTAGAACCTTGTGCAAACAAACTATCATATAGCCCAGAGACTCAGAAAACGGAATGAAGGATGAACTTCCTTTTTTGCTGAAATAAAATATTAGAATAGTTATAATTAAATAATTTGTATGTTTTCAGTATGCTGTATGCTAATTTTGATATAATTAGATCAAATAATATCTTAGTAAACTTAAAAAATGTGTTACCCTCTTTTTCATCCCAAAAGTTAATACAAATGCGCAAAATCGGGGCACAATATTGTTTTGCCTAATCTACACATACATGAATTAAATTCCTACATATTAATATGGATTAGAAACCTTTATAAAACATTTATAGACTCACCTAGTTTCAGCTTGAAACAAATACACTCTAGATCGAGAAAGGAGGGCCAAAATAACACTGAGTATACTCGCTCGACTATTGGCAATGGGGTCAGTGACGGCGCAGTATGCTAACGTCTTCTTAGCGGCTTCCCCTGCAGACCAGTTAGCAGCATCCGGAGAGTCAGGTAGTAGGGCCCACCAGTAACCAAATATTTCTCGTTTTTCTGTTACCTAGAATATTATAAGGTAGAACCAAGTTATGTAGTCTGATCACAAATATCAATTCAGGATATTGCTTAAATTTTTATTTCCTTGTAGATAGATAACTTGAAAAAAAAATCTACATTTTTAAATCATTTTAAGCAATCCTTGGCAGTAATAATCGACTTAGATGTAATTGAAACTTGTAGGATCGTAACAAATATATTTTTACGCACACTAGATGGCGCTAATGCCAAATAAAGCTAATCCTAAATCATTTATTAGGCAATAACCTAAGTTAAGGGATACTTACTTTAACCAAAACCAATAGGAGATTAGAAGCACTCTGTCTCACTCTAGACTTCAAGGCAATCAGTTTAACTTCTTTACTATTCTCAACATCTGACATTTCAGAGTCACTGGTCAGTGCCCAGTAAGTCTTTGCTTTCTGTGGCTCCAAATAAAGCAGGGTGGCAGGCTTGTATGCTGAATTATTTTCAAAGTTGTCAACATCCTTCATAAGACTGCGGTCCGATACTGGAATCTCTTTCTTCAAACTTTCTATTGCATTGTTTCTTTGCTTCCTTATTTTTTGTTTCTGGAATAGTAATACAAAATAACTGATTAGAAATAATGATGACTAAAGCAAAAGAAAGTACTTTGTGGAGGGTTACATTATGTTAACATTAACAACAAATGAAAAAGAAGTATTGGCCAAAGGTGCTATTTGAGACTGCCTTTAGAACACAAGTGCAAGTTATAGAACAAGCTTACCTATATAAACTATCATTGTTTTTTAGATTTTCAACATTATTACAAAACAAATTAAGTTTAAAGTCTATTTTACTATTAACTATACAATACTAAGCAAAAGTTAGCGAAAACTTTCAAATTCTTTCAATAGATTTTGGACTCTATTAGAAAACAAATACATTCTATGTTCATCAACATCCCAATTATCTTACCTTTCCACCTTTAGAATTAGGTTTAGGCACGACAGGTGCCATGGCAATGGTCTGCTGAGCAGGCATGATCTTCTCAGGCCGGTTGTTTTGAACTACCAGCCCGTAGATTATGCAGTACCTACAGATTCCCATCACCTCTGGCAGCTGTATACTTATATTTGGTGCATTGAAGTATATCTGAGATAATACTCTTAAGGCTACTATTAGTATCTGTAAAAGAACAAAAAATAAATAAAATATAGGCACAAAAAAGTTTTTATATCATTTTATTTTTATTGGTTAATAGAACATGACTGGATAGATGAGTAATTTTGAATTCTGATGGAATACATGTCTTTCATTTAACCTCTGAATTACTACTATTTAATAAGCAATTTTCTATGGACTGAGAAATATTTAGATTAAAACTTTCAAGAAACATACTAAATTAATTATTATATTTTTGGCTTACTCGCGTAACTGTTTGACGAGGAACTCGGCTAGTTAGTCGAGCAGCGCGACAGCCGCCTCGTCGCAAGTCGCGGAATGCTGCTAGCATGGCATAAAACTAGTAGAGTTTCTCATCAATCAGTTATGTGAGTAAGCCGAAAACATAGTCATTAATGACTGGAAAATGATTAAATTAGATCTATTATTTTTTATTAAATGTCTTTTGTCACACAATATAAAAGATAAAAATAGAAAAGTCTTTATCCTACATGACAATTTTTATTTAAGACATATTAACAATATTTTTATCTTAACTGTACCAATAACTTACCTTACAATATAAGTATTCATCTTGCGTCTTAGAATATCCAGCCATTAAAAACTTAACAACCATAGATGATATTTGTTCTTTTATTTTCAAAGATATATTTTTTTCAGTCTCAGTTTTGTATATATCATCTACAGTACTCAAAACACTTGAGATACATTTCAGAGCCATTAAATGTATTTGTAAACTATCTTGAGATTTTGGAACATGTCTGGAGAGGTCTATGAATCTGATCAAAACTCCTTGGAAGCCAATCAGGTCTTCAGTGAACTGTGAAAAAGATATTGGTAATGTTATTTACTTTCTTGTTCCTACAGTTTTATCCAAATTATTTATTCCTAAATGGTGTTAATCTAAATATTAGTATTAATATAAATTACGATGGCAACATCATAATCCAACTTTTCAATCCCCAAGCGGTCAACACTCACTGGTGACTACTCTGCACTAACTCCATTATAGACCTTATTTCCGATGTTTAGAGACTACTTTTGTATGAACAAATTTTCGGTACAATTATCAACATATTAAGTCTTATATTCAACATTTTTGTAAGTATATTTCTCAATAAAGTGAAATTTAATTAAAATTAAGATTATTCCTTCCAAATTCATTTAGCATAATACTGATATTCATTTAAAACAGATGTATGACAAAATGCACACGCTAAAATTTGTGACTCACCACTTCAATAGCAATGACATATATAAACTCTGGATAATAAAAATGAGGGTACCAACCTTATGAGTTGCTTGAGGATTGAGTTCTATGATACATTGCAAACTATGAAGGATATCCGGCAACACAATGTCAGTGCAATGTCTCAAGCACTCTATATGCCAGGACATCACTTTCCAGAGATAATCAGCTTCAAATTCTAGATTTTGTTTTGTTATTAAACTATTTATTAAATGAGATGTTTTGGCAGCTAAAAATTCATCGACTGGCTTCACATTTAAGCAAAGCGCTGTTATTACAGTCGCAGCATCCTGTAATGTATAAACATATTCGTAATTTACAAAGAATTGTACACCAGATAAAAGGGTACTTCAACAAAAACATAACCTACAAACTTACATGTTTTCTCACAAAAATCTCTGCTTTATAAGGTTTTGCATTCAGGTCGTCTATAAGTTTATTTACAACTTCTTTATTATATTCTTTTAAATAAAGTAAATTACATAGTTCTCCACTTATCAATGAAAAACTTATGGAATGATGTGTATCATTCATTTTTAAATGTTTTATTTGGAACTTATAACTATTATTTGACAATCCTAGGCAATTAACCACATAAAATATCTTCAGACATTACAAAACGATTAAAAAAGCAATAGTTTTATAGAAAATTGATGAAAACAAAACAGATTTTAGATGTTAATGATATGACACACACGGGTAATGACGGGTAACGCTATCTGTCACTGTCACAGAAGTCGATAGCTGGGTGACTGAGTCAGTCAGACCGACAAACCCACAGACCTACTATAATATGGACCAGAAATACCTACAAAATACGCGTGCATACCTACTAGAAACCGAGGCCTAAAAATGGCTGCCATTGCTAGGGAAGTACTGTAGTCAAAACCAAAAAGTATCGATATCGATAGCAGAGTTTTATACATTAAAAATCTTCTGGTACTTTGGATTTTTTTTAAAGGTACAAATAATCGAATGACTTCAAGCCACTTCTGACGCAGCACTTCATTTTTAGGGAATTTGTGGAAATAAAAAAAAAACAAAAATTATTTCAGTTTTGTACATTTAGTGGTACAAATCATAGACTGAACTAAATGAAAGTACCTACTGTATGAAGAATTGATATTATTATGTTATGGTACTATCCCTATTTTTATTTCTATTCTGTAACTTTTATTTTCAAAATGGTCTCTTCAGACCCTTTATTTTGATACTCTACTCTACTGGACTCCATAACATACAATCTAAAAATATGTTAGTTTCTTATCGATATGTTATTAAATAAAATACATCACTATTTGTAAATCGTCATTTGTATTGTAAACAAAACTTAAACAAATTTAGCAAATGAAGTTAGTTATCTTAAACAAATTTAATGTACATTTGGGGGCTTTTATTCTATATATAAAACAAGGCTAGATAAACAATAAAACTAATAGTATGATAAAGTTTTTTCTTAAATAATAATAATAATAAGCCCGCAGGGCACCTTGAGGCGAGGTGACGGGCATTAGCGATCCCGCGGGCTACCATCATCCCGAGTGCTCCAGGGAGAAGTCACCGTTCCTTCTTCTCCGGCTTGCCTTAATTGGCTGGCTGGAGTGAAAGATGACAAGGAACAGGTCTCCCACCTCTGGCTTGCCTTCATTGGCCGTCCAGAGTGGAGTCGCGAGAGCAGTGATCCTGCTCGGAGGGTAAGAAACTATTCGTAAGTCGCGAGTGGGCCAGGGATGCAGGAGGCTTCGGCTGGAGCAGATGATCTGAGTAGAAAGCGGTGGTAGTTTCTTAACCCTTCAGCCACTCACATTCTCGTTGCCCCTCTGTTGTTATATCTAGCAACCATTCCCGGGGCCCGGTCGGTGAGTTGGCGAGTCTCCGCCTGCCATTTTTACGTGTAAAAATTACATTGTTTCGGCAGGTGCCATAGTCATCCATAGTTCCCAATTTACCAGTCCACAGCAACCCACCTTCTTTTTTTCCATTATTCACAATAGTCCTACACTAACCGGGGACTGTCCTTGGGTGCATTTCCATAGTGCATACAGGGATAGTCGCCGGTTTGTGTGTCCATTACATTTAGATTAAAGTTGTCTAAAGGGCCTCTGCGCAGTTGGCTTCGGCCCCTCGTATGCCTCCCAAATGACCGGGACCCTGTGGTCCCGTGAATGGTAAAGACATACATAATAATAATAATAAAGCCCGCAGGGCACCTTGAGGCGAGGTGACGGGCATTAGCGATCCCGCGGGCTACCATCATCCCGAGTGCTCCAGGGAGAGGTCACCGTTCCTTCTTCTCCGGCTTGCCTTAATTGGCTGGCTGGAGTGAAAGATGACAAGGAACAGGTCTCCCACCTCTGGCTTGCCTTCATTGGCCGTCCAGAGTGGAGTCGCGAGAGCAGTGAACCTGCTCGGAGGGTAAGAAACTATTCGTAAGTCGCGAGTGGGCCAGGGATGCAGGAGGCTTCGGCTGGAGCAGATGATCTGAGTAGAAAGCGGTGGTAGTTTCTTAACCCTTCAGCCACTCACATTCTCGTTGCCCCTCTGTTGCTATATCTAGCAACCATTTCCGGGGCCCGGTCGGTGAGTTGGCGAGTCTCCGCCTGCCATTTTTACGTGTAAAAATTACATTGTTTCGGCAGGTGTCATAGTCATCCATAGTTCCCAATTTACCAGTCCACAGCAACCCATCCATAGCCCTACCTTTTTTTTCCATTATTCACAATAGTCCTACACTAACCGGGGACTGCCCTTGGGTGCATTTCCATAGTGCATACAGGGATAGTCGCCGGTTTGTGTGTCCATTACATTTATATTATAGTTGTCTAAAGGGCCTCTGCGCAGTTGGCTTCGGCCCCTCGTACGCCTCCCAAATGACCGGGACCCTGTGGTCCCGTGAATGGTAAAGACATACATAATAATAATAAAGGAATTTATTTCTCTCAAAAAGGTACATACATAGAAACATTATATCACTATTTAAGTTACAATAGGTTCAACCTTTGTGAGAGCTGGAGTCTATACTGGGTTCAAGACCTGTATGACAGATCTCCAGGTTCACACCCGATGTCACAATAATATAGTAGGTAATTATAATGCAATAGAATACAAGCAATTAAAAGAAACAAATTCCGTGGTCTGAGGGTAGACCAACACCAAACCAGAGTGGATTATATGAGAATGGATGATGAGAATGTGTTTGTCAATTGTGAAAATGAATGTACAGTGTGTGAGTGTTCATGTCTTTAGTGTGAGTGTATCTGAAGTTGTGTGTTTGTGTATGTAAGTTGGTGTGCTGTGAAGAATATGTAGACATTACCGAAAGCCGACAACGACGAAGTACCCAACAATGTACCTATGCGAGATTTAAGATAAAACGTGCAGTAATTCTTCAGTGCTATCATAGTCCATGTCAAGAAGCCAGTTCCTGACCGTTTTTTTACATTTAGATTTACACAGAGGATATATGTTAAGTATATTGTTTGCCTTGTTGTATATGTAGCCGCTAAGAAAAGGGAAACTGCGTTGTGCTGATCGACAATTAGTCGAAAAAGGAGGACAAACACTATGCTTACGCCGTTTACCGTCAAACATGGTCGGATCGTAACTAATTTGGGAGTGAGTAGTCAAAAGAATATTCGAAATGAACAATTTTCGTATAGAGAGAACATTACAAATTTTATAAAGATCTGTGGTTGGAAAACGGAAAGGTAGCTTCCAGCCCACTTTCAGGAGTGCACGTTGTGCACGTTCTAGTTTTAAAAGATGTGTTTTAGCAGATCCGCCCCAGGCAATTATGCAGCATTCCATAATTGATTGACCAAGAGCCAAATACACAAGCCGCATAGTATTAGTATCGGCAGCATGACGGAGAGACTTGAATACATAAATTAGCCTCCAGACTCGAGAGGTAAGCGCGTCTATGTGAGCACGAAAAGACAGGCAATCGTCAATAAGTACACCCAGATATCTAATGCAGTCGACACGAGAGATACGGGGACAGTTACAGATTGACCTGTGATGTAATTTGCAAGAGTGTGCTATTAATGGAAGGGAGGGTAAACGGGACTTGCCGGCCTCTGAAAGGGAAAAGGTAAGATATTTCGTTTTATCTGAATTTAAAGTGAGGTTGTGGGTCAACCAATTGGTGACAAGGTCGAAACCACCCTGTGCATGCAGATAAACCGACTCCCACGAGTCACCATGAAATAGCAGGGCAGTATCATCAGCATATGAAAAAATGGATGCATTAGGTATTTTCAGAAGACACAAGTCGTTTTATAAATAAGAAATAGGGTAGGACCTAGGATACTGCCCTGGGGGACCCCGTATGTAATGGGAAGGTCGATGCTAGACCATTCATCAATTTTAACGCGTTGGCGTCTACCAGTAAGGTAACTCTCGAATAGCGCAAGCTGGATACCTCTGATTCCTATACGCTCAAGTTTAATTAAAAGAGTGGGGACAGATATCGTATCAAACGCCTTAGCTAGGTCCAGGAAGATACCTATGACCTTCTGATGCCTGTCCAAGTTAGAGATGATGTAGTTGGTGAGGTTTAGCACTGCGTGGCCTGTAGAGAGTCCGGAACGAAAACCATACTGAGAGCAGGAGAGGATGCTGTTTATTTCAAGAAACTTGACCAGCCTACTGTTCACAAGCCTCTCAAGTAACTTAGATAGGGTTGGTAAGATTGAGATGGGTCTATAATTGTTAAGACGATCCCTGTCGCCGCCCTTGTGTATAGGAAGTACTACTGCTAATTTGAATGCATCTGGAAATATCCCGGATGTAAAGGCAAGGTTAAATATATGTGACAGAGGGGAGTAAGATAGCTCTTGTATTTTTTGATAAAATTGCCAGATATGTCATCGCAACCCGCGGCACAATCACCTCTCAGATTCTCAATCAAATTATTCAACTCAATATCATCGGTTTCTAATAGGACGAATGAATTAGGAAAGGAGGTATCGTTGACAGTTGAAGGGCGAGGTAAAGCATGAGATGTAGAAATGTTTTCCGCTAATGTACGACCTATATTTGCAAAGTAGCCATTAACTTCATTAACAGAGTGTGTTGGATTTGTAGCAGATACAAGAGCATCGGCAGAAGATTTTAGTTTGGATGTGTTTGTGATGGATTTAATAGCTTCCCACAGCTTTTTAGTGTTTTTTTGTGCGTTATCTATTTGGTTTTTATCGTAGGCATTTTTGGCAGCTTTAATCATGTTTGAGCAAAAATTTCTATACCTCTTGAAAGTAATTTTTAGAACATCATTCAGAGGTTCTTTTTTTAATTTTAAATGTAAATTGTCACGATTACGCAGACATTTAAGGAGCCCTGCGGTCATCCAAGGCTTGCGCAATCTTTTACGGTTCGGTACTACCTTTAGGAAAGAGTTTTGTGCAATAATACAGCTGAGGGTGTTGATGAAGTAGTTTGTAGCATCATTAACTTGTGAGGAGCTATAAACTGGGCTGAAATCAGCCTGAGATATATCTGAAGTTATCTTATCATAGTTAAAAACACGTGTAAACTTCCATTTTCTTCGAGAATAATTACAAAAATTGTTATTCTCGAGAAAAAAACAACACAGTGTCATGATCAGTTACCGAAGTATTTGCTTTGTAACAGTAAGCAGGTTTTCTCGTTTTCAGCATAAGGTGATCAAGACATGAGGTACCTTGTCGCGTAGGGAGAGTGTGTGCCGGTAACATACCATGAAAAGCAAACATAGTCAGGTATTCATTAGCCCAAGAGTCATTGTTGTTATCCGAAATGTCAATATTAATATCCCCGGTCATTATTATGTTATTATAGGAGGATACGGATTTCAGTACCTCATTCATAGAATCCAAAAAGGCAGAAGCATTCCGAGTGGCTGGCGACCGATATACTGCAATGATAACGACATCACTGTTAATTGTCAATAATAGACAATTTGCATCTTGAACTGTGGGTTCAGAGACTGAGACTGAGTGGTGGGATTTATAAAACACCACGACACCCTCATTCTGCGTCTCCGGTTGACTAGTGGCAACACAGTTATAATTATGAATTGTTGGTAGGGGAGGTGAGTTATGAAGCCAGCACTCCGTCAGAATTATAAAGTCCCAAGACGTTCTACTTCTGTCTATGAGCGTTATCATGTCGTTAAAATTCTTAACAATGCTCCTTATATTTTGACAGAGAAGTGACATAGAATCTTTGTGTAATTTAACAAAAGCGCTGCAGTCCTCGATATGGCATGCAGCCGATTCCGATACCGATATAAGGTCCAAATCGTCCTGGATTTTATTAAAACAATCGAATATTACATTGAAAAACTAACATCGACGATAAAAAGGGATGTGTAATATTTCTACAAGTTATGGTCATAGGTCGTATTTTTTCTTTTTTAAATTGGAAGGTTGTGGAAATGCACGAATGCGCCCCGAGTGCTTCGATCGGATCCACTGTGATATTAGTAACCTTTGCGTCCGTACACACCAAATCGATCAGAGACGAGCTGTTATTTGTAAAATGTGTCGGCGCAGGCATCAGCTGAGTAAGGTTCAAACAGTCCAGAAATGAGTCCAGTAAATGGGTGTGCAAAATAAACATAAACAAATTCGATACAGTAAAGTAGCCGTTATTTAATAGGTAAAGAAACGTGTATGAGTGTGTAAAATAAACATTAACAAATTCGATATAGTAATATAGCCGCCCTTTAAAACATTTTAACATAAAATATATAGGTGTAAACGAAAGTATGTAATATAAATGATGTATAGTGTATAGTGTAAATAAAATGTAGATTACATTCAAGCGCGCGCCAACTAGGAACCCGCTCAGATTGACGTCACTGCAAGCTGTACCAACCACGAAACAAACATACACCGCAGAAATTACACATAGAAAACCAAACAAAACATCAAAAGGTCCACAACATAAGTACAACTTAATTACTATTACCGTGATGTAAACAAAGTGCAAGGTATATAGCAAGTTCAACAGAAAAAACAATTTTAAAAGGGTAAATTTTGATAAGGAAGTATTTATTGATACCCTCAATAATCAAACCGGGCCGTCTCCAAAAAATATTTTTCTAATATCGGCTTCCGATCGAACGCGAAGAGCGGATACGCCGTCCTCCTTCCGCACGTATATGCGTCCCTCTTTGGTCCACACATACTTGAATTTTTGACGCTGCGTAGCCTCACGAGTGGTACGAAAGAGCCTTGCGTTAGAGCGAGTCAGACTCTCGTTAACGTAGACCCCCCGCGGCTGGCCGGGCAGATCGAGGTCTGCAGTGGTGAGCCCGCGGCGCACACGCGCCGCGCGAATCAGTTGCTCCCGGACCGCACGGCGAGACAGGCGCACGGCAATGACGCGTGGTCGCGGTCGCTCCGTTATGTCACCTTGGGATGCAGTCGTGACAAAGTTGCGCCGCACCATGCCAAGACGCTCGACGTTCACGATATCCCTATCGTCGAGAGCAATCCCCAGCTTCAGAGACACTGTTTTTATTAAATGTGCCGGGTTCTCGGTCTTCGATTCAGGAATGCCTGACACGATAACATCGTTGAGCAGCAGGTCCTGGTCGCGCTCGTTTAACTGGAGTTTCAGGTCAGCTATCGTCTCCTCTAGGTGGTCGTAGGGTGACGGGTCCCTAGCCTCAAAGCGCTGCTCGAGGTTGGTCACCCTGTGCTCCACTTCGTCCATGCGCTCGTTGCAGCCCCCAATGGCAGCCCTGAAGTCAGCAGTCTCCTGCCGCATATCGCGTATCTCTGCTCGGAGCGCACTCAACTCCTCCCTGAAAGACCGTATCTCTCGTGCCAGATCCAGACTCGCAGTGGTGTCGGTGGGCGGACTATTTGTCTCCGTGAAGTCAGCTGCTGCACTCTTCACTGGGGTTGCGGAATTGTCGGTCTTAGGCAATTTCGCCTTGCAGCCGGGACACAGCCAACCAGGCGCGGGGGTGGCCGCGGCTGGTACACCCACACAGGCTCGGTGATAGCAGCCCGTGCACTTGCTGCACCGGATGCCAGCTGACGCCGCAATGAACTGTCCACATCCACCACATTTAGCCATTACTCACAATTATTCACACTCGATTATTATTTTGTTATTATTAGATTTTTTTTTTTATTTTGTTATTATTGCTATTATCGGGTAGTTTGAATCACTATGACGCTAGTGTTGAATTAATGTTTATCATTTAATTGATTAATACGTTTCACTGACACTTTTCCACAATGTATATTGTAAATTGTTCGGTTATAGACACTTAGCTATAAAAATTCTTTAGATAAACACTGTTGTTTTATTTTTATTGCAACAATGTACGTAGACGTAAACTGCTGTTACCGACGACCGTGAATGTGACCAGTTAAAATATGGCTACTAACCAGTGCATAGTCAAATGAGGTTGATTGGGGTTTTTTCTTGCCCCACACTGAATTATTGAAAAAGTAGACATATTAAATATGCACCACTAGACACTCACAGCACAAAACAAATAAGTTGGGAGCGTTTTTATTGTTAAAAATCGCAATCCAAATCTAATGTTGTTGTTCGCTTGACACCTGATGTACTACAAAACTATGCGGCCTAAAGATGGCGGCTGGCACGCGAGGTAGGTACCTTGTCAGAAATGTAGAAATGTTGCCAGGCAGAAATAAACAAACAACAGACGTCTCTTTCTTCAATGAGGAAACTCATTGATTAAAAAGAGACAAAGTGTGGTTTCATATTTCTATATCGATTTGATATACATTTGTATAAGCAAATAAGCTATAGATCATTACTTCTGGTCCATATTATAGTAGGTCTGTGGACAAACCCAAGTATCGTTTAAAAACTCATTGCAAAGCGCCGAAGTTTTTATTTATGTTAATTATTTGATGAACTGGTATTTGATCACTATAGTTTATTAAATGTTATTTTATTTTAAAACTTTGACTAATTAATGTGCAATTTAATTAAGTAATTATTAATGCAGTGCGTGATCAGATACCATTTACATGATTCCTTATTTTAATAAACAGGTAATAGGTATCTGGCGATTAATTTTAAAAAGCTTTGCGCGGTCATTAACTGCAGGAAAAAGGTACTAAATCAATCAGTCAAGCAAGTCAACAAGATGTCTGAACAAAACCCTGATCTTTTTGTAAAAGAAGAAAATAATCCTGCACATCCATGGGAAAAATATATTAAGGACATTTATTTACCAACCTATAAATATGGCCATAATTCTGCAAGAAATGCTATTATTTACCCACCACCCAAGGTCGGCAAAACTCCTAATACAAACAGGGTGAAATTTACTGTGATTGGTAACAGAGTCACAAAAGAATTTATTTATTGTATGAAATTAGTAAAAGGGCTGCATAAATATCGATGGAAAAGCTTCGACGTTCCAGATATACGGGGTAAGTTACCTACCTGCAGATTTATTTATAAAAAAAAAATACTATGCAAGCACTTCCAGCGTTCGTAATCCATCCTGGTAAATTCTTATTACAGTCAGCTCAATTTTCAATATGGGTAGGTAGGTACTTAGAATAAAAACGTATAGTAGGTACTGCATAGATATCTACCTACTAGGATTTATTCCACATTGAATTTCTCATTTTCTACTATCTACTACATACATACATACATAACTTCACGCCTGTCTCCCATGGGGGTAGGCAGAGACTATGGAACAACAATTACTACGATTCCTACCTCTACATACCTCTTTCACATCATCAACAGTCATCAATCTTTTCATGCATGCTCGTCGGTAAAGGGTACTTTTAATATTTGGCCCTTCTTTAATATATTGCTAATCTGGTCTGTATATGGACACGTCCGTGTAGGGCGTCCTCTACCGACGGCCCCATTCATATCCGCTCTGTATATTTCTTTCGGAACTCTACTTTCATCCATCCTTTCTACATGTCCAAAGCAGCGTAACATTCCCTTTTTCAATCCTTGTCAAGTTGTCACTACATCAACTTTCAATCCTCACTTACTACCTACTCTTACCTGTTTAAAGATGCAATGATATTTGGTACCGTATCTTACTGTTTTACGTTTTTAGCCGTTACAAGCGTGGAATGGCCAAAAATATGGAATGATTTAAAAATCCAGTTCGGCGGTAACGCATATTGCTTGCAATCTCAAGTCGCCGTCTTAGCAAATGGTCAATTTCTTGGCGGAGAAAAGGATTTAAAAGAATTAATCGAGTCAAAATATGTTTACCATTTGAAACTTGATTATTATGACGAAGCTGTTCAATTATTTTCCAATTTTGTTAAATCATCGGGAGTAAGTATTCATTCTATTTTAGTAGAAATAAAAACATAAATAGCTAAAAAGTTTGATAGCCAGTGTCTCAATGCGAATTGTGAATCCTCGTGTGTAATTGTTAATCGATTTTCGAAAACTCAGAAGATAGTATACCTAGAAGGTACCTAATAATAAAGTAGTATCTAGTTTTACTATACGTTAGGTAGGTATTTGGTACCTAATTAGAATGCGACGTCTTCCAGAGACCATGTGCGTATTTTCAAGTTTCCATTAATGAGCAAGATATCGGAACAATGATATTTATGGTAAGTCACCCATCTACACTTTTATCCGGAAAAAAAGTTATAAGTGAATCCAGAATGTCATGAATTGGGAAACATTTCCCCTATTCTCTTCTTTTCTTAATTTAATTTCTCTAGTTATACAGTGATATAGCCCCGAGAACTTGTGAAAATTTCCTCCGACTATGTAAGGAAAAGAAGTGCGGATACTCAGGTACTCCAGTACATCGTATAGTAAAAGACAGTTGGATCCAATGCGGTGGATTTGGACTTAAAGATTCAGGACTGGACTGTGAAAACTTTATTGTGCCTCATGATCGACGAGGAGTTCTGGGCATGGCCAATGATGGCAGGTAAGAACATTTGTCCTCAAACTAAAGTAAACATTCCACGTCAATAATCTAAGTAGGTACTAATTTAGCTCTCGCCTAAAAGTTCGTTACTTTCTGTAAAGCAAGACCGAGCCGAGTTTTCTTTATTTTTTAAGTAATAATTAACTTCTTTATTAACACTTTTCACTAGGTCCTTGCTTGTACGAGTACGTGACCAATGTGCTATCATTTCGTTATCATTCGTTTCTATTAGTACGAGTTGGTACATTTAAAGTAAGTAATCGAAACGAGTACGTGTTTGGCACTCTGATTGGCCGGCTCCATTCAACCAATCAGAGAGCCGAACGCGGTGTCGTAGAATGTAAAACAAACTCGTACTTGGCCTCTGTTCTGAATTTGAAAAACTACTTTCATCAAATTAAATTGCAGACATGTCGATTGTTCCACACAATTCTTCGTTTTATTGCAACCGCAAACGTGGATGGCCTTCAAATATGTCGCATTTGGTCAACTCATCAGCGGCGGGGAGACTCTTAAAAAGATAGAAGAAGTTCCTACTTGGTACGAATCTCCGTCAAAGAGGATCATATTCCACAATGCCGGTATTCTAAATATGGAGTGCAAAGACATAGCAATAAATAAGAATACTACCAAGTATCTAGATGGACACATTGAATATCTTCACGCCTTAGGAGAAATGTTTTATGAGGTAGGTATACCTCCTAAATTGGGTACTTAGTATTACGTCAATAAACAAAATAGTATCGTAGGTAACTAAGTAGTTTAGTTTACTAAAAAGCTAGGCGCCTTTTGAAGGTTTCCCCCCGTCAACAAAAAAAAGGTAACTAAGTAGTTAAAAATTGGTGCCTTTACTAAATTGTCTATCTGCAGGCAATACTAGAGAAAGTATTTCACCAAGCCGATCACAGACGTAGAGGTGGACACATTGAGGACGCGTCTATTGTTGGAGAATATGTTGCCGAAGAATATGCTGCCGAAGAAGATACTGCCGGAGAAGATGCTGCCGATTTACGGTCAACACAAAGGTTGGTTCACAATGATTGGACTGAAAATACATCGCTTTGTATCTCCTAATTTACATCAGAGAAAAATTACTTATTACTTATTTTGTTCAGATTTATGCGCAATAAAGATGAAATAGATAAACAATTAGTAAAAATTGCGGATGAGCGCAGCCCCTCAGCCCATTCTGAAAAAGTCGAAAATGACTTGGATCCTGACAACTTTGAATACGAAATCGAAGAGTACTTGTATAAACAAGCGACTAGACCGGTAACAGCAAGCGAAAAAGCAAAACGAGAACAACCCTACTATCTACCTTTTACAGATGTACCGTACATTGGAGAGGTGGACTCCGATTTTAATCTTAGGAGGTTCGTACCATTTGTGCTGGTATTACAGAGGTCTGAAGATATAAGAATAAAATAGTGAATCAGGTTCGGACTGAGCTCATGTGTGTGGCTCGATCGCATTCTCGCGCGTTATTGTTATATTAATCTCACAACCAATGACATGGCGGACGGCGATCGAGTTCACTTCGAACTTCCGAATTGAAATTTACAGAATACCTACCAGGTTGCAGAAATTACAGTACGTTTTGCGTATAGAAAGTATATTTTACCTACACCAGTAAACTATAATATCTATTCGTAGTGGAGTAGTATAGTTGAGCAGACTAGCCACACCGAAATCGACTGGGTCTTTTATAATATAATTATTATTCTCCCCAGATTAATCCAAGGCGATTATTGTCTAGAGGCTGACTTAGACAAGGAACTTCGCAAAAAACCTGTTAAACCTGAACACCGAATATCTTACCCTTCGGAATTATGCGCAGCGTTCGACACGCCATCTACGGAATCCGATTCTCGTGAGAAATTTTTGCTTATTTACTACTGATTATTCGTATTAATGTAAGTAAAATGTTAGTTTATTACTGAAACAAATCTTTATTGCTTGCAGAAATCAGTATAGACACTGAACACCAGAGAGAAGTACAGAAATACCTTAGGTACCTAAGCCTGTTATAGTTGTTTTAATAAGTACCTAGTTACCTACCACGGAAATTCATTTTATCACAGCTTCATGACTGTCTAACCTTCTGTCTCCGAGGCACATTTATTTAAACTTTAAAGTGACCTCCACTTTTCGGCTACTTATTTTATAAGTCTACTTCGTCTAAGGTTTCACCTAATTCAAAATTTAACTGGACATTTAATAGGAGTAGGTAGTAACGAATTCCTAAATATTATGTTTTATTCATTTCCCAGATCAAATGCGGACCGCGTGAGTTTTGCAGGCGGTACCGTAACAGCAGTGGCTAAGAAGGGAAAATTTAATTTATATGAACGACAAAAACAGTAAGGCTGTATACTAATAACTTTGTTCTTTACCATCAAACTAATTTGTATAAAATGTATTATTTTTAACTTAAACTTATTGTTAAACTTTCAGGTCGGATGCAATCACAGATGAGATCCTACGGAAATATAAGTAATTATATATTTACATTTTTAATTATTATATAAGACAAATTATGCCGATGAATAAGTCGAAAAATATAATAATTAATTTAGTATGTCTCAGTCATAACACAAATTATGTCATTTATATCTTGAAGCATAATAGCATCATAATCTAGCTACCACAAACTCTTATGGGGTTCTGGCACCACAAGTCTTATGTTTGTTACCCTTTTTTTGTCTTGTCGCCGATCACACCCCTGAGGGAACGGTGGTGCACAGCAGCCCACGCAAGGGTTTTGTTACCCTATGATTTTTTGTCAAGAGTCTTATGACATCGGATTGGTGCTTCCAAAGCAACTCGTAGATAAGTATTTAGATTCTAAGTACCTACACAAACAAATTTAAGTTTCTCAGTCTTTGACTGTGGACATAAAACTGTTGAAGGCAATACCTCCGCAAGCAAAATTGACCGCGTTGGCTTGACAGTAAAATATGTAGTTACTTTATTAATACTAAGGCCCCGGTCGCAAGGGAACGGTTAAAAATTGAAAAACAAAACTGCCAATACGGCTGCTGCTTTACCTAGATTTTATATGCTTACCAACCTTTTTTTATATTTTAGAATGGTTGAAGATGAATTGCGAGCTAATAAAGAGAAGTAAGTTACAATAAAATCGTTTTTAGTGATTAATTTACGAATTATTTATGTACATCTAAGTGACTTTTTGCTTTATTAGTATTTTAACTTTGCTGGGTACTTATAAAGTAAATATATAAAATATAATATAATACTTAAGTCGGTAAAATAGGTAAGGATAAAAAATGATCCCACGCTGGGTGCCACAAAACCATTCGCGGCCTGTCAACATTCAACATTTTAAAGGTTTTTTATTTCCATCTTAAATATAGAACGAATGTTTTTATTTATTTCCATCATAATTTTTTAATTTTATTATTTTTTATCACTTTTTTTTCGTTTTTTTAGAAAAGTGTCAATCAGCACACCCCATAGTCCTTATGACAAACATAAAGAAATAAAACGACGTCAAACCGGATTCGTTCGACCGGAAGATATGGCTACACTAATCAAATTCCAAAAAGAAGACCCAGATGAAGAAACCGAGGAGGATGACCTTGAAATTTATCTTCCATATACTAGGTGACTGCGTTGTATTAAAGATTTAGTTTTGTAACCATATAAAGATAAATTGTGATCCCTTATTTAATAGTTATAAGTACCCACCTTCCTTCTAGTAGGTAGGTATATTATTTTTAATTAACACTAATGTCTCATAATTACTGCTATCCACATTAATATATTATTGTTGATATAGTATCAAACGCCTTTGCCAAACGGCTTAGTCTAGAAACTTGAAAAAACAAACAGATTTATGACGTTATACCCAGCTATCTTTTACTTCCTAGCGCTTGTCTATAGAGAGAGTAGAAAACCAAATGTATGGGGATGACATTGACAAGTGTCAAAATTTACGTCAATTCCATATAATTTGGTTTTTTATTTAACATGTAGACCAGCGCTAAATGGCATTTGGCTACAGCTATAGGTTATATACAGCTATTTTTCAAAAATCAAGTATTCATTAGGTATATTAGGTAGATATTTTTTATCCATAATCAATAAACTCTAATTTTTTGGATGAAATTATTGTTTTGTGTTAATTATTTGTTTTATTTTCTTTATTTTAATATTTTTTTATTTTTGTTTTGGAATTTCTAGACAAATACGTATCAGCCAGGTGAATGAGCCGCTCACAGAAGCTGATAAAGCACTAAAGAAGAAAACAAAACGACGCCAAACTGGTTTCGTCCGTAAGGATGACTTGGAAAAATTGGAAATTTTCCACAAAAAGGATGAAACCTATGACAAAGATAATTATGAAGACGTAGAAGATGATGCTGATGATGATGATGATGATGATGATGGTGATGATGATAAGGAAAGGTGATTAAGCTGATCATATTTATGAAAAATTAAGGCAGGTATTAATACTTCCGAAATTACGAGGAAAGAAGTTAAAATGTGGGTATGTCTGTCCCAGATTCAATGATTCCAATAGGATTAGCTGGATCGCCTATACACCGTTAAATTGTAGTCGTTTTAATCCCATGCACCTGTGGTTTAACTAACAGAATACTACTCATTATAAGCTTGTACTGCGGTGTAACATAAAAAATAAATAAATTAGCAAATGATAAGATAGTTACCTACGTCGTCGTCGGTCATTGCGTATCGGGCAGTGTAGGTACCTACACGGCCCGATTGAGCAATTGAGCGAAACAATTGAGCGTCCTCGAAAACTATCGAGTGTCCTCGAAATCTATCGAGCGTCCTCGAAAACAATCGAGCGTCCTCGAAAACTATCGAGCGTCCTCAAAATCTATCGAGCGTCCTCGATCACTTTCGAGTGTCCTCGAAAACTATCGAGTGACCTCGAAAACTATCGAGCATCCTCGAAAACTATCGAGCGTCCTCGAAATCTATCGAGCGTCCTCGAAAACAATCGAGCGTCCTCGGAATCTATCGAGCGTCCTCGAAAACAATCGAGCGTCCTCGAAATCTATCGAGCGTCCTCGATCACTTTCGAGTGTCCTCGAAAACTATCGAACGTCCTCGAAATCTATCGGGCGTCCTCGATCACTTTCGATTGTCCTCGAAAACTATCGAGCGTCCTCGATGACTTTCGAGCGTCCTCAAAAACAATCGAGCGTCTTCGAAACCTATCGAGCATCCTCGAAAACTATCGAGTGTCCTCAATCAGTTTCGAGTGTCCTCGAAAACTATCTGTTTGACTGCACGGTTGGTGCGGTGGCTGGGTAACCGGCTGCCGTGCAACGTGTCGCGGGTTCGATTCACGCACGGAACAACACTTTGTGTGATCCACAAATTGTTGTTTCGGGTCTGGGTGTTATTGTGTATGTGAACTTGTATGTTTGTAAACGCACCCACGACACAGGAGAAAATCCTAGTGTGGGGCAACGTTTTTAAAAAAAATAAGATAAGTTTTGAGAGTTATTCGATATCTATTGAGTATCCTCTATCATTTTCGAGAGATAGTAGGAGACACTTAGGGAGTAGTATCGCGTATGTCTTCACTCTCATTTCCTAGAGCATGCCGTCTCATGCGACAAACTCTGGTTGTAATTAATGCTCTGTAAATTCGTCATCGCGACAAAATACAACACACTATGCACAAATGAAAATAAGTGTATTTTCGCAATTTCGGCTACGGAGGAACGGCTGCCCAACTCAACGAATCACCAGATGAATAAAATGACTTCCAATTTGTACAAACACATCATAGCACCGCATTTGAAACCAACAGCAAGGCAAAGGCGCACGCACTTGACATTGACAAATCGTCTTCAACAACAAATGTCAAATACCAGTTCAACATTGCCATATTCAAGTTTGTGAAAATGTTAATTATCGTTAATAATCCATGTAGACCTCACAAATTAAAATTAAAATAATGATATTTACTTATATAAAATGTTTGAAATAGAAAGGAAAATATTTCATTGATAGATATTAAAATAAATGAGTTTATGAAATAGCGACATTCAATATACTCTTGTTTCATGTTTACGCATGGCAACTTTATAAACGTCAATCGCGGTTTGTTTTTATTTATGTAGCCGTTTTGTTGATTGCTTCTTATCATTATTGAATATCAGATTTTCTAGGGTTTCCAAAGTTCTAAAAATCTATTAAATACGTATTTAGAGGATTCTATGGCTGCCCAATTGCCCAAGGCAAAACAATGACAAATCTTTTTTTTAGCAAAGCGGTACGAAATCTGCCGTTCTCCTTTAACGGTGTATTGCGCGCGGAACTAGTGCTACCACCTAAAGCGCGGCTAACTAGTTACGCGCGCACTATAGTCGGATATACCAGCAGACCTGCGTCTGTTCTCTACTTCTCTACAGCATAGATGGGGTGGTAATTATAACTACTTACAATTACATATACTCAATTATGTATCTACCCATACAACTCCTTTATAATGCAAAACGTTTTTTAAACTACTTATGAATTTAACGCGATTGTCTATAGGTATCGTTTATTGGCGATTTTATTTTTTAATTTAACACGTTCGAGGACGCTACCACTTGAGTCGGGTTTTCAAAATGACACAGTACGTGTCTATACAAAATTATACGACGTATCAGTACGTAGTGTCCCATGAAGAAATATCGTTTTAAACATATCATGACACAATCGTTTTATCACGTCAACGTGTATATGCATCTAGGTAAGGATCCGCCTCGTTGGAGATGTCGGAATCATCAAACATGCTTATCTTGTGTCTTATTTTGCGCTTATATCCATCTAAAACACACAATAACCCATTAAACATCAATTTCACACTGTAAAATCATTAATTTGCATTAAAGTAATGTACACAGTGACACAGCCGCGCTGAATGTAGGAGCGCGGGACGTATAAACACGTTGTGCGTATGTGAATACCGTAACCGCACACTATCAACGACACTTATTTTAAATAGTTCTAAACTTACCCTACGTGACAGTACAGAGTTGGGTATTTTATATGTTGTGACACAAGATACATTTAAAAGGATTTTTACTTGAACTTTCATCGGAAATGAACGTTCTGCCGTATAATTTAAATGTTATTTGAACGTCATCGTACGTTGTGCGATATTAAAATCTCGAACGATGACGTATAATCTCGTTCTGTCCTCGAACGTGTTAAAAATGCTACTGTAGCTTTTCTTTACTTTTTCAACAGCAATCTTATTTTTAACCTTAGTAGATAGATGCTATCGTTCCCAAATCGAGGTTCACTAGTGGACTGTGAATAAAGTACCTACATACATGGTGGTATAAACAATTTTTAACCATCTCGCTCCAAGTTTTGCTAAATCATGGATTGGTATAAGTAGATATTAAAGAGTTGGATATTATGCGTGTTTTTAATAAACATGTATCTTTTCTACCTATTTATTTAAGTAGATAGCTACTAATTGAAAACCTACGTCATTATAGAGTTTAATATAGGTAAATATAGGTTCTACCGCCATCTGTAAAACTTTCAAGTTTCTAGACGAAGCAGTTGTTTGGCAAATGCGTTGGATACGATCAGCCAAGGTGTTTTTGCGATTTCAAAATTTATCTGTTACTTTTTAGGCATATCAGAATATCAGATGACGTAGAAACTGAAGAAATACCAAGAACATGTTATCCATATCCAGGTAGTAGTAAAATGGCTTAAAACGGCCATAAACCTTATAGAATAGGCCTTTATAAATTGAATCCTTAAATTTGTAGTTCATTCAAATTAGAAGATCTATTTTCAATTTCACAAATATTACTTAGGTACTAGGTACCTACCAACATGTACTTATCTGGTATTAGTTTCTCGTTTACAAGATTTTTGCAATGTACAGATTATTGGAAATGAGAGAATTTTTAAAAATGTACTTTAATCTTTAAACGGTTATCAAATTTTAATGTGATATAGGTATATATATGTTATCTTTTTATGCTATTAATTTCAATTAATATTATTGAACTTGTTTTGTAAACTTTATAAATTGGTTTTGATTTATATGGCGTGTTAAAATTATTACCTATTGATTTATGTGTTCCTCTTTTAAATTGATACTTATTAGCATACTATAAAAGTAAAATTACGTGTTCTTTGGAAATACTATTTGACGGAGCACGTCACTCCCGTCTTCCTACATTTAGGCCATAGCTATCTACAGTGATGTGTTGTGTTACTACTTAATATACTTTGTTTATTAATATGGCACATGCTATGTTTAATTTCCAGTCGTCTAAATTGAATTACTTAGTCCTTAACGTGAAGTTATGGTAAGTCATACATTTGCAAATTCAAAAACAAAATTATAATGATGTAACTTGCTTTACGTTTAAAATAAACTAGAAACTTGAAGCGTTTTTTTCTATTGTGTTAAATTAATGACGTTGGTATTATTTTTATTATTTTTATGTAATTCGAAGTTATGGAACGTGGATTGTAAAGAAATTGAGTAGGTACAATTATAAAAAAATGTAATGACATAATAAATGTAACAAAGTTTTTTTATTTTATTATTTTAGAACAGTTAGGAAGAGCCATGATTCAAAAAGAAGCTCGCGTGATAAGGACGATGCACGCTCAAGGTGAATTACTTTTATTTAAGAATATTTACATTTAAACAAATTAGTGCTTATTGTTTTGAAAACAATATTACTTGTTATTCAGTCAAAGTCAAGTGTTAGGTTAATATTCTCATTTCTCAACAGTCGGATTAGGGCCCGGTTCTCGATGGATGAAGAAGAATACGAGCAGCTAACCAAGGAGGAAAGACCGTCTTTAATCGGGCGTCTCCTCGAAGCTACCTCGACCTATAATGATCTAGATCCACTGCCAACTTTGAAGGAGTTTAAGTAAGTTTAATTAATGAAAATCAATTATTCACCTAATTAGTTTCAATTGCTTCTTTAAAAGTACGTATTTTTAAAACGTTTTCATTTATAGAACCTTCGCGGAAATGCATGAACAGAGAAATAACATATTCCTCACAAAAAACTCCGAGCCGAGCAGACAATTATTAGTGAGGGATGAATCACGTGAAAATTATTTGAAACGTCACTCCCTATCAGTAGAAATTCCTCAGAAATCCATTGACCAAGTGCTTTTACTACAACACGGGAAGAAAGTTTATCGCAAAATATCTTCGGACTATGTCAAAACTATCGACCACATTGAACAGAAGCAAGAGAATTCTTTAAGGAGTTTAGAATATGCCAAGCTGCGGCCAGCAATATCAGTGAAAGATTATCAGAAGATGAACCAAGAATATCAAGCTAGAGCAAAGGAAGATGCCAATGAAAGCAAAATTAAGAATACGCTCGAAAGTGGTCAGTATAAGAAATATTTTTAATTAACATAAGCATACAAAGTCCAAAGCTGCACTCTCATTACATGAAAACCATACCTACGATAGCAGGAACATAAATCTTTATGTGGCTTAAGAGAATGCTAAGACTTAGTTTTGGGAATATTTTCTTTTTGTAGATTCAACTACTAAAACTTCGCAATTTGAAAAGGGTCTGAGAGTTCCAGGGGATACACCTCCTTGCAATTCTTCGACAGAGGTAACCTATTTACTTGGACAAGTCAGATGCCTAACAACGGCAGGCAATAATGTAATATTAATCTACCAACCAATAGTGTCTTGCTACATCTATAATTTAATATTGAATTAAACCTCCACAAACAAGTACTAGACTTTATCGTCCATAGAGCCGTCAATATATGCGACACATATTTCCGTGTCCCTACCGCTCGGGCCGTATCATTGCGACAGAGAACATGCATGATTTTTTCGTTCTATTAACAAGGTTGCTCCTTGTTATTTACTGTAGATATATTTTATTTATTTTTCGATTTGTAGCCGCGCACTAGGGCCATTAATATTTAACTAAGCGCTTTAAAGCCACACTAGAATTGTTTCTTCAGGATTTTACTTTTTAGTTCAGACAGCAGTAGATTGACCTGCTGGATACTAAATGCTTTATACAGTTTACTTGGAAATGATTTCGTATCGGTGTACAATATCGCATCGACATGAATAAAGGCTCTGTTCTTTCTCCCTTTTTCTACTTCTGTAGGTAAAATGATTCTATTACATGTTTGCCTGTCGTGTCAAGTAATCCTCGAAGATTAAATACAAGCAACCACTCCTTACAGGTCCTTTCAACCTTGAGATCTACAACAACACTTTAAAATACTGTTTTTGTAATTGTTACTGTCTACTAATTGTTGATTCATTAAACTGAATAATTAAAAAACAATTTTTAAATAAAAAACGTTTTAATAACACTGAAACAGCACATAAAATTTCCCATCACAATATTAATACTACTAGGTACAATATAGTTACATCATCACAATGTCAACTTATGTACATTCTGTTTGTTCGGAGAGCTGATAATGCTTGTGCATAATGTACTTAGATAAGTTCACGATACCGCTACTACATTTGGTTACAAATGCTCTTCGCGAGCGATCTGTCATGTCGCTTATGTCTAACGCCCTCAAACCAAACAATTGACACAAGGAATCGATAAATATTCGATTTCACTGATCCACGAACCGACTAGCACCCTGCTTCGTTACGTATCACTGTACACACTTATAAATGTCCATGGCCGTGTCCGAAGGCGCCATTGGGCTGCCCCGGCGGCGGCCGCGGCTCGTTATTGTTATTGTTCCCCTCTCCAATGTTCTCCACATTGTTGCGATTCTCCAACTGCTGTTGCCACATTGACGCATAGAATCCAGCTTGCGCAAGCAGCGTTTCATGGCTGGAAAAGAAGTTAATCAACAATTAGTTTTGTTACAACTTATAAATTACTAGCAGTTTCAGTTATTATGCCTGCCTCATTGGCCGAGTGGTTGCAAGTGCGACTGCCGGGCAAGGGGTCTCGGGTTCGATTCCCGGGTCGGGCAAAGTATTACTGGGTTTCACATTCACAGTAGTAGCACGGAGTCTGGAATTGTGCCCGGTATATGGCAATAGGCTCGCCCCCTATTAAACGGGACTCATAACATAAATAGTGAAAAGTGGGTGTTACATTGTACAGTAGCATAATGTACACCTCTGCCTACCCCTTCGGGGATAAAAGGCGTGATGTTATGTTATGTTATGTTTCAGTGATTAATTTTTATTCATATAGATGTCGAAGTTTACTCACTTTCCTCTCTCAATGATTTCTCCTTCTTTCAACACGAGGATTTCATCGGCGTGTATGATAGTTGAGAGCCTGTGAGCTATTATAATAGTGGTCCTGTTCGCACATACACGCGCTAAGGCAGCCTGCAAAAGATATTAAAATAATATTACATTGACATTCAAATATTATAAATAATTCGCTATACACTTGGAAGCATAGAAACAGAGCCACTAGCTTTTTAATCTTATAGACTCCGTAACTTTAAAAAACAAAATTCCTTTTACAACAAAATGCTCTTATTTTAACGACATACGTTACCAATTACCAATTAATTAATAAATAATAAAGGTTTTTATTCGGACAACAAATAATCCACTTTTGTTAGCAACTTACATGCTAAACATAAACACTAGGATTAGTCATATTTACAATTATATTTGGCAACAAATAAAGTATTTTTATCAGAAATTAGAATCAAAATGTTTATCAGACTGCCTCGCTGGCCGCAATTGCGACGGCAGTCGTCGACGGGCAAGGAGTTTTAGACCCCCTATTACATGGGACTCATAACAAAAATAGTGAAAAGTGGGTGTTATATTGTATAGTGGCATTACGTGCCGTAATGTGCACCTCTGCCTACCCCTTCGGGGATAAAAAGACGTGATGTTGTGTTATGCTTTATCAGAAAATCGTTATCAAGAAATGAATAAGAAAAAAGACAAGTGGCTCCATTTCATTGCACTAAAGTGTACTTTTAGAGGGTGGTCTAACCTGTATATTTCTTTCCGTGTTGGTATCCAAAGCCGACGTAGCTTCATCCAGTAGAACTATGGCCGGATCTTTGAGGATAGTTCGTGCGATTGCTATTCTTTGCTTCTCACCTCCACTCAGTCGAAGACCTCTTTCTCCGACCTATAATTAATAAACAAAGGTTTAAAAAGTGCACAAATTAAAATTATCCTTTTTGTTTCAGAAATGATGTAATGCAGTTACAGACTGGACGACACGACACACCCCATAAATTGTTATTGAACTACTGTAACGGTGAGAAAATAATTATAAATCCTTTATATCCTACAGTTCTCAACTTTAAATTTAACTTCTAAGGGTTTATTTTTGTAAAGCAAAATGTTATCAGATGAATGACTTCGAATATTTGACTAATATCAAATTTATTGTACAGTTAAGAATTATCTGTTGATTGAAAAATCGGCTCTCAATTAACCTTTTGACTGTGAGTATATAAGACACGATAGAAAACACATTGTGTCGCGCGTAGATCTACATTCCAGCTGTCAAGAGGTTAAATTAATATTCCAGAAGTGTAATAAGGTACTTCTTACCTGCGTATCATATGCATCAGGGAATGTAAGGATCCTATCGTGAATGTCAGCATTTTTAGCTGCGGATATTATGTCCGATGCTGGCGCGTTTAGTTTTCCATACTGGATATTATACCTGAAATAAATATGTAAGTACTTTAGTTTTAGATATACATGGACAGGTTTAGTAGTTTTTAATAATGGTTAGAAGACAAGAAAGTGCAAGAAGTGTTCTAGGCCTCAGTCTCGAATTTTGCGGGCAGCAGGGCGAGGGCGACGGCGCGGCGTGCGAGGGGCAGGATCTTATGCATAAAATTAAATGGACCGGTTCTCTACAACAGTGGCGGGGCAGCGGCGCGGCGGCGGGCAACGAGCGGTGCACTGCAGTCAAGCGGTGCACGCCGCGCCGATGTCGCCGCCCGCAATATTTGAGGCAGACGCCTGATACTTTCAAGTGCTTAGGTGTTGTGAGCTACTCAATATTCTAAATGCTTCAATTTTTATTTCAATTCTTTTTTAATTATCATTGTTGTTTATCTTGTAATTTCTTGGGTTTTAAAACGTTCATGATTTAATTAAGTCTTTTGACTGTCTCAGGGCTCATTATTGTTTTGTAAATCATTCTAGCATAAGCCACAATATTCTAACAAAAATCAAATTTCTTTCTCACAGAATAATTACCTGACAGAATTATTGAACAGTACGGTATCTTGCGGCACGACGCCGATGTTGGCACGCAGCGAAGCTTGCGTCACAGTGCGCACGTCCTGTCCGTCTACTAGCACGGCGCCTTCATTCACATCGTAGAAACGGAACAACAGACGCATTATTGTTGATTTCCCCGCTCCACTTGGACCCACCTGTGTGTTTTATTTGCATGATTTAGTTTAATATGAGACATGAGAGGGGAGAATTTAGAGGAGGAAGGGAGAAATGCCTGAATCGTGTCTTTAGATGTTCTATTGTCATTGCCTACCCGAATAGGAGACAGGTGTGCGTGTGTGGGTGGTATACAATTTGTAAGTTCTTTTTTTTGATCAATAATGATTGTGCTTATTTTATTATTATTATTAGTTTTTTGTATAATCTTTATTGAATGTTGTTAGTTTTGTATTTACGGAAGTAAGGCTGTTAAGATTTTATTAAAATGTTTTTTTTTAATTAAACAGAATAATAGTGAAACAAGAAGCTGTCTTTTTTATCTATAATTTTTATCTAAGATTTTTATCTAAAAAGGTGCTAAAAGTGAACTTTACAATGATTAGGTACTATTGGACTAACACTTTGTTAATTTGTTATTACTTTAAAAAAGTTAATTACCTACTTGACTAGACTAGTTTCAAGGCACACTAGGGACTCATACATTTACGTGAATAACCCAGTAATCGACAAAAATACTTCAAAAAGGTTTAAAACCAACTTACCAATGCAACAGTACTGCCAGGCGGTACTTTGAAGCTGATATTGTTCAATACAAGCCTCTCAGGACCGTAGCCAAATGACACATGTTTGAACTCGACGGCGCCGCGCCTCACAAGAAGGTCGGGGGCTCCGATAGCGTCCCGCACGTCAGAGTCCACCCGCATCAAGTCGAACATGTTCTCCATGTCCACGAAATTCTTTTGTATAGCTCTGTGAAAAATAGTTTCAAGTTTTTTGAGTAACAAAGAAAATAGATGAAGTAGTAACCTACGTTTTGCCGAAATGCCTTTTAGCTGTCTCATATAGCAGCAGTCAAGGATTCAAAACAGATTATTCGGGTCATATTATTATAGAAACTCGACTCTGTGGAAAGTAGAAATATTCTAAAATCTTTTACAATTCCGTTAGCCAAAAAAATGGTCTAAATTGTGCCCAGTGTTAGACACTCCTACATAATAAATTAGTTAGAACAGAGATTAACGTAGAAATCCGATTATGTTTATCGTTATTACGTAATCCGCACTCCGCCCTCGTGTTGCACTCGCTACTCGCTATCTGGCGCATATCTCTCACGTAGCAGGAGAAATCTAAGCTCTATCGATAGCTATTGATAATAAATTACTATACATGTGTGTTGCTGAGGAATTTATAATAACGTCATAACGACACACTTCTTTCCTGAATATGTATGCAGAGAAAACGAACAAGGGTCACCTCGCTCGGTAGCAGTGATTGTGACTATTTGACCAAAGTGGTAGTAGAGGTGAATGAACTCGTAGCTAAACAAAGGTTTATCAATAATTGACTATAATAATAATTGTTTGATGATTTCTTATCATATTCAGGAAGTTCTTTGTTACTTATCCCACATTTCCTATCTTGACCAGACGTTGTACATGAACAGAGTATTTTTGTGCGAATTTACAAATAAACAATAACAGTTTTGTTCGTGAAAGACTCGTAGTCCACCATGCTGAAAAAACACATGGCAATACCATTCAAAACTGGTGTTTCTAAAAGTTTAACAGACTAATGACGGTCGTTCATTAGTCTGTTAAACTAGGTCTAGATAACATTTGTCAACAGAATTAAAGTGAACAATCGATCTCAATCAGGAAATTTAAGATTTAGATCGGGTATTAATCTCGGCTGTTAATCTCCTAATCATCAGAAATTTAATAGACATGAAATAACATTGTACGACATACCTGTAATAAGTTCCGAACCAGTTGAGCGGCACGTATAACTGCACGATGTAGGAAGCGAACAGCACGTAGTCACCCACAGTCAGCTCGTCGGTCTCCACCGCCATGTGCACGCACAGCAACGATCCAGCCAGCAGACCTGGAAATAACAAGGATTTTATTACATTTTCTGTCTTAAGTCGAAACTTTAAATACATTTTAACAGTTAATTTCAATTATCTCTTCCCAGAAAGATATATTTTTTTGAGGAGGAAAATCATCTAATGACTTCTCCCGCCCGGGTGAGGTGAGAGGGAGTGTCAGATCTTACTGGATAAAAACGACCCCATTCCTACTTCTGCACTTCGAGCCGGAGCCCCGGCAACCCGTTAAATCTTCCGCGGCTCCGTATCGGCATAAGCCCTGTTAGGCCCCATCTGTGGTGGCCTATGGCTCCTTGAGGCCTCGCCGTCCGCAGGCCCGTGCTTACGGTGGCCGGAGATTATCTCGCGCTCGCGATCATCCCAGAACCACATTAGAGTTTCTAAAATCCGATGAACACGATGGAGAGTTTTATAGCCCACTTTTTAATAGATTCTTTATGACAGGATCTTTGCTTTAATCTCAGTAAAGAGCATAGATACACATTATTATTATCCAATAGTGTTAAGGCATAAATATCTGTCATTTTTGCCATAAGTAAGAATGGTCTTCAATGCTCATATTAAAAAATATAACAAAATATTTGTTACATCCATTATTTTTTGTTACCAACTCATATTGAGCACAATCTAATCGATCAATAAATGCCCACTTTGAAACTTAGATTAAGCAAATGGGCGATATTGGAGTACCAACCCTCAAATATTGACATACCAATTGCACTATCAGTAGTTATTGGCAAGTTAATCAGTAATTTACTCATTTTCAGCAGACAGGAATAAGATAAAGCCGATTCAACTTATTTAATGTAATCATAATTGCATGACGATGCAAAATTATATTCTTACATACAATTATATACTACAATACTCGCACATAACTCTTTTAATCAATCTCTTCATGAGCGCGTACTTATCTCATAAACCGAGAGTAATATAATTCGATAGTATTTTTTTAATTTATGTCTCTATTGGATACTTTTAGATAGCCAGAACATCGTTTTTATATATGGATAAGAGGATTTTTATATATTGCTTCAGTGGTTAGGATATAATACAGGAACTTGACTTACCAGAGCAAATAATGATGTTTTGTAAAGTATTCAGCATATTCAGTGTTATTAGAGATTTGAACTCCTCAGCCTGAAATAATGAAATAAAAATTACTATGAGAAAAACAAATAGATTTTATTGTGACTTTCAATTCGCCGTTCGACTTGACAAAAGCATTTTGAATATTGTTTAAGTTATAATAGACGCATTATTCGCCCCTAGAATTTTCCAAAGTTCCCATCGGTTTCCCTAGGATCCCATCATCAGATCCTGACCTCATGGAAATGGTACCATCTCGGGAGTATACCCTTTCAAACAAGACACAGAATTTTGGAAATCGATTCACAAATGGCGGAGTACTGCGGGAACAAACAAAAAGAAAAAAACAATCAGCCGAACATAGTACCTCCTCCTTCTTTTGAAGTTGGTAAATATAAACGTAAGGATAGGATTAAACTGTCAAACACCAAGCGGTCACCGGTGACCGCGACCTATTGTTCTTTAATTGTGTCTATAAAACCGGTACTCGACGAGTTAATGAATTACCTGATAATTAACGATAGCTTCCCTGTAGGACACGACTTCGTACGCCTCGGCGCCGTAGTACTTAACCGTCTCGTAGTTAAGTAGGGAATCGACGGAGCGAGCCTTCTGCTCGTTGTCCGCTAAATTCATACGTCTCTGGAACTTCGTACGCCATTCTGTTACAGCTATCGTTGCAACTGTAATTAGAAGAGATGTGTTATTAGAAAATAATTAATTCGTCGAGTACCGTATTTATAGACACAATTAAAGAACAATAGGTTGCGGTCACCGGTGACCGCTTGGTGTTTGACAGTTTAATACTATTTTTAATTCAGCAGGATTAAAATATAGACTTGGGAGCAAAGAAACGGTGCCACTAGCAGTTTCTTTTTTTTTCATTTTATGGGACCTATAACTATATAGGTTGTCTATTGTTTATTTTCAGCCATAATCGTCCCACTGCAGGTCAAAAAGGCCTCCCTCCCACCTTCCACTCCTCTATAATTCTAAAAAAATATTCCTTTTTCAACAAAATGCTGTCATTTTAAAAGTAACTAAATTGCCTTTTATACTACACCAATTACAGTTACCAATTAATAAAATATTTGCATAAGAAAATATTTATCAAGAAACTAGCCTTCCCTACAAACTTTTTACCGCCAAAAACCTTTATTTTTCACCATTTAAACCTTCTCTGGACTTCCACGAACATTTCAAGACCAAAATTAGGCAAATCGCTTCAGCCGTTCCCAAGTTTTAGCCAGACTAACAAACCGAAATTCATTTTTATTTATATAGAAGATATAAGATGAAAAAGAAAAAAACGCTAATGGCTCCGTTTCTTTGCTCCCAAGTGTATATTTGTCACCGTCCCTACTCGTCCCGTGGGTGTCGTAGGAACGGCAGAACACATTTGGTGACTCTCTGATAAACCGGAATCTTTTAAATTGCGATACAGAACCCGCTTGCCGAACATGAAAATTACGGCAAACCCCTCTCATAGTCCAATAGACTATAATAGAGGACTGTCACACACTCAATCAATAGCTACCCGACCTCGTATAAGTGCAAAGGAAAGTTAATAAAACTTATCGATTAGATACAACACAATAATGAGCTAGTCGTGCAGCTATCAATAAAATTAAAAAAATTACCTACGAACAAAATCAATACAACAAAACAAAGGATCGGAAACAGTGAAATATCGGCACATTTTTACAGCCAATTAAATGCACGCGAACCTAAACTCGACATTGAAACTATTGTATTCACCAAAATATAAATAATACGTGTTTACGATTAAATATTGCGATATTTATAATTTGTTGCTACTTATTGTTATCTAACAAGCGTATTGGTACAAATAATGTCGATTCTTATTTCCAGACGATAAGCGATACCATAACTGAAATGTACTATTATCATAAGGTAAATATCCTCATATTTGCACGCAAGTTAGGTACGGAAATTATCGTAACAGGATCGAAAAAAAGCTTTAATTGATATTAAAATGTGGAATAATTAAAGCATGTAGATTGTGTATTTAGTAAATTAAACGCGAAGCTTTAGGCCTCTGCCTCGGATTACGCGGGTAGCGGGGCGGCTGCGGCCCGGCCGGCCGGCAGAGGCCTAAAGACTAATAATAAAGTAAGATTAACACTTGAGTATTAATAATAGCCTAGCTCATCTTTGAGGTAGTCAATAAATGCAACTGGCTGTCGCGCAACGTGTCGCGGGTTCGATTCTCGCACGGAACAACTCTTTGTGTGATCCACAGATTGTTGTTCCGGGTCTGGGTCTCATGTGTATGTGATATTGTATGTTTGTAAACGCACCCACGACACAGGAGAAAATCCAAGTGTGGGGCAACGTTTAAATAAAAAAAAACAATCAAGCTATCCATCGTGTTTTTTTAAAAGTCCAAGTCTGAATTTAAACGGGGCGTGACGTTATAATAATTTCTACGAATCCTATTCACTCTACAGCCTTAAGACAGTGTAATAAGGTTTAAAATATAAACAAAAAATACTCACTTATATAAAACACCATAGTAGAAAACACGATCAATCCGAACCACGCGTTGAATTGAGTGACGAAGTACACGACAGCTACAATGATGTCCACCAGGGTCGGAGTGATTGAGAACAATATGTATGATAGCAGATTGTCTATGGAGTCCGTTCCTCTGTCCATTACTCTTAGGACTTCTCCCGTCTTCCGTGACAAATGCCATCGGAGAGGCAAGTCATGTAGATGCTTGAATAATTCTAACTGTAAAAGATACATTAAGTTCAGTGTTAAGGTATGTTGAATGATTGCAAACAAAATGCTTACCGAATGAGTAGGTGGGTGGAATAGTATTATAAACCATGGCGTTAAGAAGTAATTCGAATTTTTACACAAATAAGACTAACCAAGTATTATTTTCTTTACCTTACGGACAAACGGACTAGTAAATAAAGTTCTTAGAACTAAATTGCCGTAAACAAAAAGATACGTTAGTCATTCGCGCAGACTTAAAAACCGCAGATCAATTTCATTACTATTAGATTAGTGGGAATATGAATGATTCGTTCAATAACACCCATCGGTAATCAAATACAAGGGTATAGTATTTCATGATAGTGTAGCATGAATCGCAAGTTTTATCGTTAAATGAATCATTGTTCTATAAAACTATAATACAATTATGTCAAGGTCTTATGTAAATTGATAAAAGCAACATTTATACATAAAAGACTTCTGGGTATCTTTCTGAGGTCTTAGTACGAGTTTCTTTTACGTTTGTTTTGCGTTCAGCGCTGTGATTGGTTAGTCCATTAGAGCCGGCCAATCAGAGCGCCGTACGCAGTCTCGTTTCGATTACCTTATAAGTTAATCAAAGTCGTACTAAGGCTTAAGAAAAAGCTTCTTCATGGCCTTGATACGGGCAGACAGACGCTCGAAAGTCTGATAACGATACAAACCAAGGTTGTCAAATGAATCGAAGTCATTCTTACAGCGCAGATATCTTTTAAATACGATACACTAACTAATCTGTTTAATTAAAGCTTCCGAAATTATCTAATGACAGTCAATAATATTCAGTTTTTTACCTGTAACTCCCTAGTCGTATACTGCTGCACTTTGATCCATAAGAACGATCGTAAATTGTTTAGGAATCCCATGCCACCAGTGCCACCTCCTTGCAGGAACTTGAAGAACACGTAAATCACCACCAAGTCCCATCGGAAATAAAATGGTGGGAGCGAAATACTGTCCACTGTAAGAAAAAAAGTTTATTAAATTGGTGAAGAATGTAGCTTTAAACGTGAGGCTTTAGACATAAGGTTAAAACCTTATATGAGTAGTCATTAAGAACCTATATTATCATTATAATTTATAATAAATTCGTTTGTTATTTCCATTTCGTAAGAAAAGTAGGCAAATTAGTCGTCATCCTCTGCCCATAACGTTAACAAAAACTTAATCAAGTAGGTATTATGAGACAGGCCCAAAAAAATCACAGACAATAAGAATTAAAACATTTCTCGATAAAAGTAACAACTTACCAATTTTTTTGCTATAAATAGGGACGAACAGGTTCACGACTCTACCAGCGAGGAGAGCCAGTATGCATATAAGCACGTAGATCTGAAGGCATGCGCTCTTCCTTGGCCATAAGAAGGGCAGTAGCGTTCGCAGTTTGCCAAACACATTGCGGAATGTTGATCTGTTTTCATCTTGCTACGGGGAAAAATGTAAACGGTTAACAGTAAATAATGCAAATAATAAAATTGTAAATGATTTAACTTGGTTGCGCTAAACATTTGCGCAAACTTTGCGCATAAGTAGGTATAAGCTATACTTTTTGCGCAAATAGTTTCAGTAACATAATGAAACTTCCTTACTAGACCGATGATTCGGTTTAAAATATCAAACTCTTTGGTAACTTAAAAATATCATTGAAATTGTTTAAAATCATTATCAAAAATAAATTATAATAAAACAATTTATATAATCTCACAGGAATGTAGACGTGAAAGTATGCCGCCATTCCGTGCATGTTTGTTGAGTAAACCAATTAAACAGTCTGAAAATAAACATCTTTTGAAAATAAAATAATATTGACAAAAAATTCGGAGTAAAACCAATCTAACATTAGAAGGTAAAGAAAGTAAAGGGCAAGGGTATTTGAAAGTGGCGGATACCTAGTGAATTATTATAGGTAGGTACACTACACAACTACGTAAACAAGTATGTATGTAGTACGAATCTTATTGGAAATTCTAATTTTGCCATCAATACTTGCCTAATTTGTATACGTGATTTCGCGCATTTGCTTCAAGTAAAATTAAGATAATTTACATTAAAGTTCTACCTAATTTATTCCCTTTACTCGCGACTTTTACGATGTTTGATTAATTTTCAGACTGTTTACTTGCACTCACTCACCATATTTCAAAATATATGGCATCACGTTATGGCTGTCCTAAAATGTGCAAGCATCGTACAAGAGGTCAACACACTTGATAATTTAATCACCTTTTTTAATTTAAATATATCTTTCTCGGCTGTTTGAACAACAAAATGATTTTGATATGGGCATGACATCTTAACCTAAAAATTTACTACGAAAAATGAAACGAATTGACGTGGAGTGCCAAATGTAACTTAGAGAAAATAAAAAGTTAGATCATCGAAAAAAGTTTGTGACCAAGAAGTTTAAATCAATTGCTTTTTTTACAACTTATGTCACAAATTGTAAAATATGTTAAACTGCAATAATAGTATAGATTACATTCCTAATTTCGTTTTAACATACCTTTATAAAAATAAAAAGCGATATTACTAAATAATGGTCTGAACTAAATTCTATTACGAAAGAGTATTAGGGAAGGAAAATCGTTCGCTCACCACAAAATCCTTGACCCGACATATTTAGGGTTTCGACTAAAATTGTTGGTTATTAGTAAAGGTAAACGTTAGTTTTTGAGTAAATTCTATTACAATTATAACGTCTAAATATGTACCTACCTGTCATACATTATTAACTTAAATTCTAATAAATGCTTAGGATATTGTTTGCCCATGTTTTGTCTATATTTCCAAACGACAATTTTTATAGTCTAGAGATAATTCGATCACGCATTTATTCAGTGCAGAAATTTAACCCGAGAGTCATTGCGCAGCAATCCTTAAGCTACTGCGTCAACCACAAATACGAGGTGTAGTTTTGAAGCCGTGTCATTGCTCGGGGGCATGTCACACAAGTCATAAAGGTTCAATGTAAGAGAAAATTTCGGGCCAATAGTTAAAAATACGGCTATAATAAATCGTTTAAGTTGGACAGTATTTCAGAAAAAGCGACAGCAATGATTCTTATTCGAGTTTTATGGAATAAGGAATAATATCAATTACGTGTTTGAGTTTGTGTGTGTTAAGCCGCGTTATAAAACTAGTTACAAGACGGCGGCGTGTAGTTCGCAATTACGGATTTCCGTAAATTACAGAAAAATGAAAAATATTTACCTACAATAAATATTTTTTTATTGATTCGGACACAGAATCGATAGCCGAGTTACCTCCTAAAAAATGACGCGGCTTTAAAACAACACCTTGTATAAAGAACATAGGTACCTAGCACATGTTAATTTACTACTTACCCTCGGTGGTATATTCCTGCGGTTCTCATCATCAGCTCCAAGGTAATGATACTGAACAATGCCGGGCGCCTTAAGCCCGAGCACGAACATTATCATGCAGGATACATAACGTCCCACGAACAGTGACATCTCCAGGCGATCTTGGAGACTGGAGACAGAAAGTTCGTGGTTATTGCAAAAAAAAATCAGAAAATCTCACACATTTTTTATATTTCAAATAGTGCGTGAACCTATTGCTAAACATTGAGTGCAATATAATTAAATACTCTACTGCTTTTAAAAAAATAATTTAAGAATCTTATATAAATCTCGTAATTTTTTAGTATGTCTCACGATAGTTTTACAAACACGAAACATTGCACTTAGCAGCTGTATTTACGCGCAAAGATGTACTAGTGAATTATCAAAAAGGGTTTTTTTATTTATCATATTTACAATAAGTACAGGATTATCCATTTAAAATAGCAACCAAAAACTACTAAGGTTTAAACTTGTGCTATCATGAATCAATCTTAAAATCGTATTTTTATATAATGAGGTTTTTTTGGGACAAGCCCGCCACAACCTCCAAAAACGGCTGCAACTCCTATTAGCCAGGATCTACAGTAGCTACAACCATGAAAACACCGGAACACCGAAGTCCGGCGCGTCCCAGGGACATGAGTAACTGTCTTGGTTCCCGCAACGAAGTGAATCCGAAGATATTATAAGAGGAGAAGAAGAAAAAACTACAGTTTCCACTTCCTAGAACGAATTAAGCCTAAAGGCACAAAGAAGAGACTGTACAACTGGGTGAAGCCCAGGTATTATTAATATACTCACGTTTTCAAGTTCCACCACCATCCTTCTTTGTTAAGGTTTAAGAATGATAGGTTTTCCGATACGAATATCATAGCCCAAAACACGAGGAGCACAAATCCATGTCCACTCGGAGGGACGGACGGCAGCAGGAACCGTCTCTCCAAGATAGCTAAGTAGGCCGAGAATGGAAACACCACTAGAGTTATCACTAAAGCTAGGATCTGAAACAAAATTTTATAATTATTACAAACATTCTCGTCTTTATCTTCATCGTCAATCGTCAATAGCCAGTGACAGTTGACTGTCTGAAGAGCCCCTTTTTACACGGTGTTTCCAAGCTGTGCCATAATTGCGGCGCCGGGTCGCAGATCGCAGTTAGAGAGACCAGCTTTCTTAGACAACGTTGTACTCCGTATCTATCAAATATTACTAGGAACAATAGTAGTCACATTCTACTACTATTATAGATTTTACCATCATCATTTAATAATTTGACCCCAGAAAATACGGGAAATATAACCTTAGATTGGAAACTCTTGGTCGTAGTAATAATCGAGACCAAGACCTGAGCCTTTTTCATCATTAAAAACAATATGAATTTATAAGCGAACACATCATAAAAATTATAACAATCAAGCTCAGCAAAAGCTCGCTGTCAGACGATGTAGAACGTAATAGGACGATGACGGTATTAGTATAAAATATTCCTATGTAGTATGTGGTCACTTATGCATAAAAACGACGAGGACTTCGATCTGGACGTGCTACTTGTATACCAGTTAGACCGCACGGACCACGGACATTTTAGTCACGGCAAGATTTTATTGTTAATAAGTTATTATTATGGCATACCGTTTAGACAATTTGGCTATCAGTAACCAATTTCAGTTAAAATATCTAAACACGTTAACATAAGAACAACTATTAACATTACATAGCCTGTCTGACACATTCAATATCTATCTGTTGATGTTGATTCATTCGTTATTAACGTCGAATGTAAAACCTTGCACAATGTTATGCAATCAACGTTCCTACCTAGAACAAATAGGCTCACCAGTGCCTACTTCTATCAGTGTTTTACATAAAATTTTAATAGAATTATAGTGTGGTTAAGTATCGGTTCGGGTCATATGCGCGCGAACATTATGGCGCTAACTAGATGCTGGATGCTCGACAGACACCATAGATTGGGTTTGAAAGTAGTGTCTTTCAAGTTACATGATCAAGAATATGCGACGCATTTTTTGTTAGATATGTAGCGACCTTACTAACTGCTCTAATCTGAAGTAAGAAAATTGTCCACCATGTGATAGAAAATTTAAACAATATGACACAATAAAGTTGCTTACCATATATCCATATATTTGTCCCCCTTTAAATACAAAAGCCTGTAGCAAGAACCTTATCACAGCTAAAACTGGTACAAACAATGTGAAGAACAGCTGCACACCAAACAACTTTGAACTTCTTATGTCCTCCACTTCTATGGCATACCTGAAATGATACTAAACCTTGTATTACACTTATAAAAAAAACATTTTATCCATAAATTAATGTGGTACTATAACATGTAAGAAGGGTGAGTAAGTAAATAATCTGTAATATCTGGCCAAGTAGGCTGTGTACCTTGAGTTCTATCTATGTAGTTTCAATTTTATGTTACAAGATAGGTACATTCTGAATAATGATATTTTAACAAAAACAAACAGAAGCAATGGCTCTGTTTAAAACATACATTTAGGGCCGATTTTTCAATCATCAGTATGGAAGAATTGTCAAATATTTAAAGTTAATTCTCAGTAAAAATTTATATGGTGTTGGAAACATCGGCCCTTTTAAAACAAAACAGTTAACAATGTAAACGACTGTGATCTATTCATGGACGAGCTAATAGCTAATAAGTGTTTGCTTAAGTTTTTGTGGAAGTCTGACAGCATAAATAGTTTTTTTTACATCCATGAATGAATGAATTAATGTCATTTTTATGAATTAATGTCATTTATTTCTCAGTACATGGTGCACACAGATCTTAAAATTAACAAAGATCCACACATACTACCGTTACCGGTGTAGAAATATAAAATTGTATTAACATGACACAACATTCCATGTGAAACTACTTTTATATTTTTCTACAATCCTGATTGTAACAATTGATTGATTGTAAAATAAACTTTATCACATCAATACTAAATGAAACATTTTATTCTATTACATGCAACTAATTCTAAATGTGATTTTGTAATTAATTGCGTTTATCAATAAAATTTTAATTAGTTAATTATTTTAAAAATGTAATGAATTGTCGCACTGTTTAATAATTATATAATATCAACAAAATGAAATGGTTATCAGAAATATCGAATTGACAATAATTGATTATAGATAAAATAACCGACCATTGTTTAAACTGACTGATAACATGTAGATTATGCTACGTCATAATATTATCATTAGTTGACAGTAAGAAAACATTACTTAGCATATAATATAATTATGTATATTGGACTGTGAAGAATACATCAAGTACTTTCTCCATAAAATCTTTACGAAGGTAGCAGATAAAATATGTACTAATAAATTTTTTTAAGTAATTGCTGTATTTTTTTATTTACTACTACTACTACACTACAACAAATTATATAGACTGAAAAGAAGAAATGAATAGCCAACAAGTAGAAAAGAATAAATCAGGTAGACATTATTTTCATAAAATTGCTATGTTGGCACTTCACCGTTATGTAGAAAATATTAAGTACCTACCTAGTTTTTTTTTAAAGAAAACATGAGTCATGATAAACCAGATTTAGCCTACTTGGACCAGCATTTATTAACATGATTTCCTTATAAGTTCACATACATTCAGTCCATATGTTTATAATATTCCAATAAGAAATAATTATACCATTAAAATCAGCAGTTTGTTAATAAATTAATCCAATAAGAACACCTTCTCCATTGTGATCTTAGCAATATTCTAACAGGGGTTAGTAAATAGTTCAGAATACTATAAAAAATCTAAACATTTCATGAGATTTTTTTAGTGTAACCTTGAAATTTTCTTTACAATCTGTTTGATCAATAATATTGAACATAAATAAAGTAAGACTTACCTTTTATACATAATGATTTGTATAAGTCCTAATGTTAAGAGAAAGCCACCTATGAGGATGGCTGAAGCAGTCTCCATAAAACATTGAGAGATCCCATGGTCCACCCATATCTCCCCTAGGGTTACGTTAGGAGGGCAATATTCCATCATATTGGCTGAAAATAAATTACTTCTTTAATGCATGATGATCAGGTACAGAACAGTTTGACATTTTAATATATCAATCCATTAACATAATAAAAAATTTAAGACGGGTATGACGTTATTAATTTAAAATCGATTATCCAATGTAATTAACCGTGCAAATATTTAATTTAGCTAATGATCAATATACGCAATTTTACTACAAAGTTATCAACAAGTTACAACGCAAAAATAATAATGTCAAATAAGTAAAACACATAATAAAAACCATAATACTCACTTTACGGTTAAGTCTACAATGCGGTTAAACTTATTATTTCTTCAAAACACACTACCGGCTACCTCATATTGTCTTATCAAAATGCCCTAATCATTAAAATTGAGAAGGAAATAAAAATTTAATTTATTTTGACAGCTAACATTACACCCATAGACATTTTCTTTGTTTCGTCAATACCACGCAGCAGTGCAAGGTAGGTATTCAAAGTAAGGGTGTAAGGAGATAAAGAGGCCGCTTTTATAATTTTTAGTTTTAGTCACAAATGTATGCCGTAATTATTATTTTCCTCGCTGTTATGCAGTAAGAAAATCAACTTAAAATGGTTTATAGTTACTACGTACGCGCGCTAGATGGCACTGTCACAAACTACTGTAGGTAAAATAAGCGGCAAATTTTAAAAAGTGATGGCCTAGATAGAATTAAAGTTTGACTCTAATAAATAAAATAAACGTTATTTGACTTATTTGATAAATTTTCAAATCAATATCATATCACAAGTATGTCAACCATTCCAGCAAATGGAGATAGATCTCCACGTACATAAAGAGAATTAAATTCAGGTAAAGCCGTAAGCCGATGTGCTTACGGCTTTACATTTATGGCTTACATTTAGCCTCGAGTAGGCTAGTAAACACATAAATTTTTCTCAATAATTACTCGGTATTTATCCATATTGAGTGGTTATTCGAAAAATCGCCCATCTCTAGTTCCTAGGCACCATAGCCGCTAGGCTAGGCACACATGTAGACCTTGACCTGCGTTAAAAATCCAGTTAAAAACTCCTTGGTCCTCGAGTCATAAATACATACTACGACTTGTATGACTGTATAAATAAAATAAATGTAGTTAAGAGTTATGTCTAAGTGAACTTAAGGCACTAGACGCAGAGCCTAAGTCTATAATATATTTGGCTGTAACTTTGAAGATTAAAAGGTATAATGCTATGTTTTGTACGTCAAATACTATGCTGATTGCTGGAGTAATGATTAGATTCATATTCATCCTATTCATGATAGCTTTCTTAGTGGGTTCAGGATCATAGCTCACATTTATCAAGTGTTCACTCGTTCGCTAGTCGCAAGCATAGACTAAAGCAAAAAATTTATTTCGCTAACTTACCAAAATTTCGCAAACTAAAACGAAATGAAGTGTCCCAATCCTTCTTATTTTGTTAATTGAAGCCATATAGAAGCCATTTTTTGTTGTGATTTACATAGGATTTGGTACAGCTTACAGATTATAAGTTGTAAAACAACTATAGAAAGATTTATGAATTTGGTAGAAAACGTGGTAGGAAAACATGGTGATTCTGGCAACAAAAAGGTATTCCTGAACGAATCGCATTTGAATGTGTGCAGAAAATTGTGTAGTTTGTACGTGTTTACAATGAATGGTAGTTGTGTGCGTAATCAGTAAATTGCATTGATGTGTGTGTGTAGTCGCGCGGAGTGACGGGTGTTGGATTAGATTACGTTTCTTGCGATTGTAAATCATTATTTGTTATAGCTTCTTTCTGTGTAAAATCTACTGCGATTAATTACAAATTTAACGTTTATCTCTAATGATAATTTGCAAATAAGTTACGTGATCCTATGTTAATAAAAAAATATTCTGCTAATGTGAGTGATCAGCATGTGTCACCACTCATCAACAAATTCTGTGAATCGGTGAACAGTCGCGATGTGAGGAAAGCTATGACTATCAGCTGAAAATCAACTTGATTTAGTTAGTGTTTGTGTTGCGAACCAGTGTTATTTATTATTTGTCTGGTGAAGGTGATAAATTCAGACTCAAAATGGCGGACCTCGAGGCTGTGCTGGCAGACGTCAGCTACTTGATGGCTATGGAGAAGTCGAAATGCACTCCTGCAGCTCGGGCTAGTAAAAAGATTGTTCTCCCAGACCCAAGGTAATGTCACGAGGGTTCGAACTATGCCATGACACCACGGTATATCGTGTAAACATGATTTTATGAAAGACTTTATGAACTTGTTTACAAAATTGATTTTATCACGATTTATTATAAATTCCGTTCAAATTATGAGAGAATCAAGAGGATAATCAGGACGGAAATTATTTAAGTCAATTCATTATGTTAGTCATTGGTTTGTTTCTTTTTGTGTTAGACTATACGATTTGCAAACGTATAATATGAATAAGTGGAAGAGTCGCGAGTTGAATTGTTTATCGTACACTTTAAAATACTTCAAAATAAAGTTGTTGTTTATTTGACAGAAATAAAGGAAATGAAAATTAGGTCATTAACATCTGTTGAGGTCATTGCACTCAGAACATGAAATTTTAATTTTCATACAAATTCATAAGACATTTGTTTATTAATGTCTTATTTATGTTAAAATTCATAATACATTCATATATCTAGTATTGTACTGTAAGGTAGCAAGTATAGCCAAGTATCTGTTGAACAAATAATAATATTTTTTACCTGTTGTGCTTATGGCCTTGATAAGTAGGTACTCTATACAGAGTAAAGAGGTAAACCTATCTTTTAAATAAATAATGTTTTTTTTATAAATTTATGACGTAATAATATTGGATTTATGTAGACTCTTATCAGATAGGTTAGAAAATTAGGTGTTACAATTTTATTTTGGTATGACAATAATAAAATAAATCTTATACCTATCAGATTCCTATTAGAAAAAAATGTTCTTTGTTTCATAAAATAGCACATAACATCACACCTTTTATCCTCGAAGAGGTAGGCAGAGGTGTACATTAAGGCACTTAATGCCACTGTACAATGTACACTTTTCACTATTTATGTTATGAGTCCCATGATAAAATAGATAAATGAGATAAAATTTCATTTCATAAAATAATTAGGTAGAAAATTCGTTTAATAATATTTCTGATTGATTATAAAATATGGATTTGTATATTGTCATGTTTTTTAGAATCTCGAAAAAAAATAATAGCTGTACAAATCTTTGTAATAAATTAACCAATTACTGGAATGTGTCATTTAGGAATACTATAATTACCTACCAATCAGTCTTTATTTTTATCTAAATATCAGTTTGTAAACAAAGTTTAAGTTCTTTTTTGGATTTTCAACAGGAAAACCAACAAAATTTTATTCTCCAAAAAACAGTTACACAAACTGTATTATGATTTATAAGTACCTTTTAATAAATTGAACCTACTCATAGGCAACATTCCACACTGCTTGATCTGGGATTCAAAATCAAAACACTTGTTCAATAGTCACACCTGAGGCCAATCAACCAATAAAAAATAATACAACAATTGTAATGTTGGTTACAATTAGTTTTCCCCTCGGCAAAGAGACCACCACATGACCTCTGAATCATTTAGTGACTCATTCCCGAATTGAGGTTGCCAACACATGTTTTGGGCCACTATGTATTTGGACAATAGATTTGATTGATTATAACAAAGTATAATTTTTAATACATATTTTGAATTAGGTACTTAATTGTTACATGTGTGTATGTCAATTATTTTTATTGATAGTGATAGGGATGAAAGTAAGACCAAAGAAAAAGAGAATGTGTGTTAGAAAAAACTTAACCCCCAAGGTATTGTGGTACAGACAATAAGATACTGAAAAGATTCAGTAATAGAATAGGTAGTTGGTTGTAAGTGTTACAGTTTTAGGCATTGTGCAATATAAGTCCATGACTATAAATACAATATCTAAAGAAAGTAAAATGAATTAAATGCAGAATATATATTTAAAAGTGTGTGTTTGTAAACTGTTATCTGTGAACTGTTATCAAACAGGCTACACAAGAAGAAAAATAACAAAAAAAAATGAGGCAGAGTTATAGTAATTCTCTAAAGTATTTATATTCATATAATGTTTTTCAAATTATCACAGTACTCATAAATAATTTTAACATGCATAAAAACTAAATCACAATCTGTTATCAGGCCTCAAAAAATGTGCCAGCATGTGCCAAACACTGATAACATACAATGTTATTTACTAAATATAAAATGCAACAAGTCCTTCTGATTTAGATAATGTCAACATATCTAATGATACATGTCATTATTAAACAACATTGTTTACAGAATTTGAACCATATGCTCTATGTAATGAAAGTACATTTCAACTCCTGATTTAAAAAAATATCACCCATAACTCTAAAATTTTAAGAAATACTTTTATGAACTTATGCATATAAGTTCTTAAAAGACTTCAGATAAGATTATAGTATACAAAAATGATTCATTTCCTTAGCATCTTACTTTATCCAATTTTACACAAAATTAGGTAGTGTCCTAGGTCAATAATTAATTTAATATACCTACACTTAATAGACAGGAGAAAATCCTAGTGTGCTAGTAATAATCCTAGCAATGTAAAAACATAATATTTTGAATTTTCAATACAAAATATTATTAATAAACAATTGTACTTCGATTCCTCGGTTTGGCTTTATGTATCTACTTAATTTTTCTTACTAATTTTTCAAAGTAAGTATGTATCTATTTGACGCTGTCATATATTTTGGGTGACTAAAAAAATCATAGAAAAGTATTGATTAACTAGGTAAATGAAAGTATTGAATTTAACTAGTCAAGTACTGTATTAATGATCACTAGAAAACAATAAGATCGTAAATCGAAACGCAGCACTGCGCATACCCAATAATTACTCAACTGTATCCTCACAACTGTAGGTGCTTTTTGCATGTGGTAGAAAAAATACAAGTTTCACTTTGTTCTTGCAAAATGTCCTCTTATACCTATAACGCCGTCGCGGAGAACCTGACGGGTAACCGGGGCTCCGGCTCGACGTGCAGGAGAAGGAACGGGGTGGTTTTTAGTCAGTAAGAGTCTGACACTCCCTTCCGCCTCACACAGGCGGGAGCAGCCATTCGATGATTTTCCCCCCCTTAAAAAAAAAATACCTATAACGCTATAAAAATTCGTACGATTCTGTTCAACCATTTTATACGGAAGATCGCAAGATTGATTAGATGCCTTACTCTTATAATGGAACGGGTTTTTGATCAAATAAGTAATGTAGACTGCAAGCTATTAATAAATAACTGTTTGTACTTTAAGTACAGTGCAGTACATAACATCCATTTTACTGCCTGTAACGCTCTATTTGCGTAGCGTGCCGATAAGTCGTTTACGTATTTATAATCGGAATAGATATTGTATTTCAACTATCGATATTTTTAGGGACATGGATTATTCATAATACATAAGCACTTGCTATAAACAGTTTATGAAACTGTAATCCTCAGTAGAAATAGTTACAAAAGCATAAGACAAGCCAAGTTTAAGATAGAATCGGCTCCATAAAGTATTCAGTGAGTAGCTCGCTTCGTAGTCTGCATAATAAATCAAAATATGACACGTAGTAACTAGTATTGGTCGTCTCAAAGCAAATCTATTTAAATCAGATTCGTGGGTAGATTAAGAGATTTATTTCCATAACACGATAGTTTATTCAAATACCTAACACCTGTGAAATGCAGGGTTTGCATTACTCCAGGGTGTCGTGTTTATCAAGCTTTGTTGTGTGGTTATATTAAAAAGTATAATTTCGAATTGCACACTCACGCGAATTGTTCTAACTAAATAAAACTAACCGCAACCGTAAGTTATAATTATAACATATCCTATATAGTAGTGAAAATTATGATCCTTACCTCAATAAAAAATAGATAATAAGTAGAACATTGTAATAGTTATTAGTGATGATGGGCCGGATCATCAAAAATGTATATCCGCAGACACGGATCCGGATACGGATCTTTATTTTTTTAGTCAATCGTTGTGTGCTTTATTTATTTTTGAAAGAAGAGTCTGCTAAGAAGAGTACCGATGAAATATCACAGCCGGGAACATCTTTGCGAACAGTAAAAAGAGAATCTAAACATACCTTTTTCAGAGATTATTTGGAAAAAGCTAGAATGTGGGACAATACAAACTCCAAATCTATGAAAGTTTACTATTTGATTGCTGAAATGTTATCTTTATCAGATTTACCATTTCAACACGTAGAACAATTAGGATTTTGACGATTGATGGATCATATTGTTCCAAATTATGTTTTAAGAGGCAGAAAGTATTTTACGGAACTTGTTTGCAACAAATTTTACGATAAAGTGGCATCAAAAATAAAACACGTAATTACAAGATTTTGAGAAAATTCCCTTACGGCAGATATCTGGTCAGACTTATCATCTGGAGTTTCGTTGTTATCGTTAATATGTCACGGTATTACCTAAGACTTTTAACAAAAAACACCGTTCTGAAAGCGCAAGTTCTTGAAGAACGTCATACGGGGGATATATTTCAGAAATTTTTCAGTGTATGTTGGGGCAATGGGGACTTGAGAAACAAAATGTACATTGTATGGTACGAGATGGAGGATCCAATATGAAAGCCTGACTGTACAGCTCGTCAGTTATTATGCAGCATTTTATCCTGTCAATTGAATATAAAAGATCCGTGAGTAAAGTGACGGATACGGATACGGATCTCCGGAACATCACTAATAGTTATGTCGTCATATTATTGTCATCGTCGGCTCCGCTCTCATTTAATTACTTCTCTAGTATGCAGCTCAGTGTAAAAACAAAACGCGATATACGACGACCCTCAACAAAGACCTGAATATTCACGAACGTCATACCATCCTGTGAAAGGGTAACGTCAAATTCTGATTACCAGGGAAATGGAGACAAAATACGTTTGCATAATTTAGCAGCTTTTTCGCTTGCTAGAAACTCTCCCGACTAGTTACTCAAATTGACAATGTCGCTGCAAGATACAAACTAAGCAATGTTAAGTTCACCATGTAACAGACGAAGTCGTAAAAAGTTCAAAGGCACGTCTTCTGTTCTCAAAAAATATGGTAGTCGCTAGTCGCTACACGGTAAACAAAACGATAAACTAACATTTTATTTAAGTCGCGTCCCGCATCTTAGTAATATATTTTATTGATGAATTTGTGTCTTTTTTGTTAGTTTTTATTACCCACATATGTATTGGAGATCTTTAAACCTATTCAATATTCCTTTAGAAGTCTACTAAAATCGCAGGATTAAAAGGATAGATTCGATTACTTCTTTGTGATGCTGTACTTTTGATTTGACACAGGATGCATAATTTAATACGTATCTTCTTGTTTCAGTGTTCGGAGTGTAATGCATAAATACATGGAAAAGAAGAATGAAGTAAATTTCGACAAAATATTCAATCAAGTCTTAGGTAAGTGGATCCTATAAAAGACCTGCATACTATTTGTTATAACACAATTTATTTTCGCATTTTATTTTATATAAAAGTTATCACAGAATATTCCTAACTCATTTCACTAAGTATTTGCTGACTGCTTTATGCATTCGTATAATTGTATGAAGCATATTAGTTCACGAAAGAGGAAAGATAAATGTCGAGAATGTGCCAATTTCATCACTTCCTAACTTTATAAAATTAATGGGTACTTAAATCGCTAACGTACAGTAAAAATTTATAGTGTAGTTGGAGGTAAATAATTTGTAGATGAAACAGTAAAAACTTTTCCAATGGGGCAAAAGAAATAAATCGGGCAATTACAGCAGAAATTACGACCATTCGTAAAAATAATGCACGGTCTTTGTGACTGTATAAAACGGGGAACATAACTGCACGATTATATGATCGGGCCCATTATGTTTTGATCAACCGTATCCGCCTTCGAAGATCATAAAAGGGGTATTTCTAATTACCCTTCGTGCTATTTTGGGTCTTGTTTTGATTAGTAGCTAACTGTTAATGCCATGTCATACAAGTACGGATGAAATTATTGGAAAGAAATCTTCCCATTGTTTTTATGACTATATCGTTAAGAGAAATTAATGAGATTTAACGTATAATTAACTAGTTGTTTATAAATTAACATTTACACAACATTCTGGGTTATAAAATAATATAATTAATGGTGGTTGTGAACTAATGCGGGACGCTCCATAGCATTCAAATCTAAAAATTGTTAATGTAGTATAGATTAAAATTACTTTAGAGCTTTACATTATGATAAACCGATTTCATTCGATTTTACCGAACAAAATAAATAGTGTTCTTCTGTGTTGTTTAATCTTTCACGTTTCCAAGTTCCTCGCCATCTCGGCTTAGATTAGAGACATCATTATTGGTTGGTCGACGCTAAAAGAAACAGTGTTGTGTAAACACGAGGGCCCTTTGAGCCGTTTCTTTTCGGCCGATTTACGTCTGCGCTTTTACAATTGCTTCGTAGATTGAACGAGCACTCATGTCGTCTGATCACACGTCCATGTTTGCTATTATTCTTCTTTGATGTTTGTTTTGTGTTATTCTGACTAAAAATAACAAAATGGTTTTCTCTCTGAATATTTCTTAGTTAAAATACGTGTTTAAATTTAGACTGGAATCTGTTTTTAAGATTTTAGAACCGAAATGTATTATTATTAATAGATTTTACCCATGCTTTGTGCTGCATAATAATGTATGTTCTCTGTAAACAAAGGTTTCTCACACCACACTCCACTGTGTCTACAATGAAGATAAAAATAGTGCAACGTGCATGCAAAGCATTTGTTAATGGCATCGGTTTAGCTGGTATACATCGCAAACAGCCGTTGTACGCCATTGATTTAAGTATTCCAAACAAGTTTAATTCAAATTCACTTTCGTAACAACTTTCTTGCGGCTTGCGGGATTTATATCGTAAACAAGATTAAACGTAAGCGAGCCGAGTAGGCCGCGTCGTTGGTTCCGCACACAGCTACGCACGCCGGATTATTGCCGCTCTGCGTACAATTGCTTTCCCTGTAATGAAGTTGTCTCGCTCATGTCGCTAAGGATAATTTTCTTAGTCCTGTCCTAGAACTAGACTTGTTTTATCCGACGGCTTTCTTTGTCCTATTCTCTGATCTTGTTCCATAGAACAAAAGTCAAAGGAAAGTTATATTTTGTCACTTGTCAGCATTCAAACAAGCTGGTAATCGTAGAATTTGATTAGAAATACTTCATAAATCTAAAATTCTGTATTTGAAGCTAAATGAAAGCAGGGTCTGGTGTTGACACAAGTGTCAATCTATTAGATACAGATTGCACTGCAGCTGTACTTGGCCCGCTGGGGCGGGATACTGTCTACCTACGTCGATATTGAAGATTTCTCTTGAGAGCACATGTAGGTTTATGGCACACGTACAAGTCTGGGCATTTGCCAGTAAGTAGGTCTTGCATTTGAGTAACTGTTAGGTCTACCTTACATATAATTATGGAAGCAATTTCCCTAATGTGTTTGTATATTAAACTATTCATTACGGTAACACATACTACTGTTTACTAATAGTTAAGTGAGCACAGAGAGCTACTTTTCTCCTGATAATGAATGAGAAAGGCTTTACTAAACGTCCATTTTATTTTTCTTTTATAAGTTTAAAAGAAAAATATAATTTGAATTTCGAATGTTTGCAACATTAACATAACGTTCGCGTGAATCAGCGCTTGAGTATTTTATTATAACGCTAGTTGGTACCGAGTTAATTGTTTGTATGTATATTAATCGTATGTTTACGTAGTGGGCATACTGTTTACGAGAATATTGCAGACCACAAGTTTTCAGTCCCAATATTGCCGCTACAAATTATTTTACCATAGAGTAGATTGCTTTGTAAGCTCGTTAAAATAGGTCCACGTGGATCCAAACTATATCTTCCGTAAACGTGCGCTATTGACACATAAACGCATACGTATTACACCCCTAGTTGTTTGAATCTGCCATTTATGCTCCACTAAGTATGAATATAGTGGATAAAGGTGTTCGATCAGCTAAATCTTTCTATGTTTAGTTGGTGTATTGACAATGTATTGTGTTGTGTGACACCCGTGTCGACAACTTGTATTGAGGACAAACAGATTCGTCTTTTTAAGAGTTTCGAAAGCTTGGGTGATTAGGGGTTACGTTTACGGAGATAGAGCACGGGATAAAGTAGAGGATCCTTATCTGGCCTATATATCAGTGACCCACGGCGGATCAAAAGACAATACCATTGAGAGACATTTCTGAAAGCCGTGGATGTAGATAGCTAGTAGACGTAAGCGGTTCTGTTGTTCATTTACTTGTAGAAAATAGGTCCACGTTTAGTTTTTGAGTCCTAATCCTAAACAAAGGTCTACGGTGCTTCCGCTTTTATGTAACTCGATAGATAAAATATCGAAACACCCTTTAGGTTACATTAGAACTTGATAATCGGAACCAATAGAATAAATAAGAGCCCATAAAATAAACAGAAATAAAGTTTCACAAATGTAAGATAAATACCGCTTTTAAGTTGAGCGCTGTTGCAGACATCCAGTGTGTTTGTTGAACTAGAACTTATCTGTATTGAGTATTTTAAATCCGAGCGCTACACATTCGAATGTAGGGAGTAGGGACCCCTCATTGTGTTTCTATTTAGGTAACTCCTACCTAATGCTCGTCTCGTATACTATGTTTATTGACCAGATCCGTTTTTTAGGGCGTCAATGAAACCCGCCCCCGTAAATAGGATGCGATTTATCGAGTCTCATGTCCGGAATTAATATTATGACGCTCATATCAACACGAACAGTTGTCTTTACGCGTTTTAGTTAAATAAATCTATGCTAATTTATTATAGGAAATTGTTTATAGGCAAGATGATAGATGTCTTTGATCTGCTTTTTCATAAGTTGAGTGAGTTATTTATTATCAAAAGTACCTTTCTTTTCGAAATCGCAGACGAAGCAGATGTAAAATTTTAAAATCCTCGAAATGTGGCGTTCGTAACATTAAGTAGTCCTCCCGCGCCCTTGCAATGGACCACGAGGTAATTCGTTTAATCCAAGCGGAAATAATCACACCAATTTATTTTTCATTAAGCCCACTTGTCCGAGGGCGAACTTTTCTAGAAATTGCAGTAATTTCAATGATCGTCTTGATAGTCGGTTGAGAGGGCGATATTGCAGCGAGGCTCCCGGGAACAAGTTACAAACGCAATTTACGGTGGCCCCACTTCCACTTGCAGTAAATAACTTTATCGGCTTCTCTGGACTGGACACTGTAGGGCTATGTCGTTGACGTTCTTGGCTTGTTTTGCCAACTAAACTGTTCTGATAAAATATTCTTCTCTGCTGTTTATCCGAAATTAAATGTAACTGAATCCTATTTAGAACCGCAGGCTTTCTCAAGCTTCAAAGAGCATAAAATAGAATCTAATACGACTCACGAATAAATAATAAAGTAACACCCAGGACTCAAGTTAGCAGCAGTACCTACAAAAATTACATAATGTGGAGATCTGTGTTGGTAAAGCGTTACGCAATCCAGTCATGTTCTAAGGTTACTACCTCGTGTCCGAACCGAATCATGTTTTATTTTCCAGTGATTATTATCAATTTGTGTCATACATACCATTTTGACGCAAAACGTGGAGTGCTGTCGTACAATACGATTATTACATGTTACGCACACCACTTATGACTGAATTAGCAGATGCCACACAATCAATTGACATCATACCTATTAATTTACATACACGTGTTAAAAATACTTGTGAACAACCTTCGTGGTTTTACGTAAATAAAAACACAATTTGTAACTACATTTTTTTGTTCCAGGTTATTTATTATTTAAGGAATTTTGTGAACAGACTACTGATGACCAAGTGCCACAATTAAGATTTTATGAAGAGGTAAATATGACCCTCTCTAATCGTATGAAAACATTAATTAATTAATTAGTGATATTTGTAGAAAATTGATATTATAATGCTTATTTTCTTTTTAGATTAAATTATATGAAAAACAAGAATGTGTTGAAGAGAGGCGGCGGATCGCCAGAGATATATATGACAATTTTATTATGAAAGAACTTCTAGCACATTCACATGTAAGTAAATGAAAATTATGCTCATGTTTAATCCATGTGGAGACGTAATATTCATACAGTTTAGACTACGTGACATCTCTGTTTTATTAGACAGGCGATTTTCTAAGGATCTCCATAGCTCTAGCTAGCCAATACAAACAGAATTTCTTCCACAAAGCGCGTCATCGTGAGATAAGCTACTGCAGCTTAGTGCCCTTTTTGTTATGCGCAGCACGTTAGCGTCCTTACTGCCTTGTTATGAATTAAGGCACAACGAACATCCGCATTTTATGCACACATATTTCACTTCATATGAACCGTCATATTAAATTGCACTTCATGAAATTCATAAACTTCAAAAGTTTTACAAGTAAGGAAAGTTTGTTCGTAGAAATATCGTAGCGTAACACTTTTGCGCTTCGCCCACGGCCTTCGCTCGCTGTCTGTTCGATTTTAATTCTTGGGATTATCTCCGTTGTTCTAGGAGATTTGCACTCAGCTTCACTTGCTAAACTATCGTTACGTGGACTTATTCCAGAACTAAAACAAATAGTCACAGTTGCACTAAGTATTAAATCCATTCAAACCTGTGTACCGGAAAAATGTTCAATTTGTGCTGAAAATGAATTTTCTCTAGTAATGCCTTCTATCTTACTGACTACTTTTCCTAATATAAAACTATATGACCTATAAAAGTCTTAAAACTATCCAGATTGATTTGATTTATTTAAACGTGAGCGCTATAATAGTTGAACGTATTTCAATTATGTAAAAGCTTTTAACCCAATGAAATGAGTGAGTACAAAGTGATACGATCTACGTGGTCCACATAGCGCTGTGCTTGCGGTTTTCGTTTTCAAATAGTTTCTAATCTAACATCTCTGTATATTATGTGGGGTTCTCTTGTATAGATCACGCTGACAGCGCCTTTGTTATTGGACCGCGCTGTTGCCAAACATCGTGGCATATGGCGGTGATGTTTCCCGGCATCACTTTGTTTTCACTTTTTGTGGTTAAAGTTTTTGATGAAACTATGCATGGGTTCCGTGCAAATGTAATAAAACAACACAAACAACATTCAATGCGATGTTGGTGTTTCCCGCTAAAATGCTGTCTGAATTCAAACGAGTCTTATCATTTTTATAATGAAACTGTCTGTTGCAATTCAAAATCTTGATGAAGTTTGTATAGAAATTGCGAAATAAGAGGTTGTTAGCATTGTATCCGGTTAGAACGACTGTTGTTTGTATAATGAGTCTCGTTAGTGACTGTTGGCGTACTGCCCAAGCGCGTAAACCTCTGATAAATAGCTTAACGTTGGACACGCATTATTTGAAATGTAACCTTTCAATCCTACAACTCAAAACCGTGTGTGTTATGACCCTCTCAGTCTAAATCCGGGGCTTATCGGTGGATGAACCGTGGTTAGTCGGTAAATTCTGTCTGATCAATGATAATTATATAGTTCATATCTCGAACCAGTAAATACTAAGTATATTGCTCGTGTCTATGAAAAGAAAGCTAAACTAGTAGCTGTGTGGCTAGATTAGAGATCGCATTCTCAGCGGGTGATGATAAAAACAAATAACGTTTTATGAGCACTGTCGTCTCTATTGATTTCTAATCAGACTACTTGAGGAATAGTCTGAATTGCTTCGAATGCGGTGGTTTTTATCGCTTCGTTATTATAGCATTATTAATAAGAGCAGCAAAACCTGCTGGCGACAGCAATACATCAGATTTGATGAATTCCATTTGCTAGAGCAGTTTGAAATAATCTCTACACTAACTCAAGTGGACTTCTCACATCAAAATTTTATTCGTAAAGGACATGCATTGTTTTATTATCGCGTAGACCCTGAAAGTTTCAGTGATCGATTCCGCTCTACTGGGTTTGATTTGGAAATATGTAGATTCGATTATCTGATATTTTTAGAGTAAAAGTTTATTCGTGGCAGCGTAATTACGAATCGATGTTTTGTGTGATAACTGTAGTAAAAATGTGTCATGATAACAAACTATTATTCGATATACAATATAAGCTGTAGCCTAGTACATGTTTGTTTTAATATCATAACGATAGCTAAAGTAAACTCAGAAAACGGTTATTAAGCATAAAAATTAAAAAAAAACCCTTTCCAGTATTATTAATAACGTTAATTTATACACTTAGTTCAACGCCTGAACATTATTCTATAGCGTGCGTGATGTGTACACATTCCCAGTAACATAATTTATTTTTATCTAACCTCGATACCCGTATTTGTTTATTTCACTTGTAAATCATATGCGTATTATTTCAGGATTATTCTAAAGAGTGTGTAGCGCATGTACAAAAATATTTAATGAAGCACGAAGTACCACCGAACCTATTTGAGGTATGTTTCTTGTAACTCGAAATAACATGTTTTTATTAAAATTTTGTATGAAATTATTAATAAAATTATGTTTTTAGCCCTACATTGAGGAAATATTCCAACACCTACGAGGGGAGCCATTTAAAAATTTCTTAGAAAGGTAACGATTGTTTTATATTTGTTTCTTGTATATCATATACAGAATCAATAATGAATTTGTTTGTTGCAGCGACAAATACACGAGGTTTTGTCAATGGAAAAACTTAGAATTAAACATTCAGCTCACAATGAACGACTTCAGCGTGCATCGCATCATCGGCCGAGGCGGGTTCGGAGAGGTAAGTTAAAATTATTTCTAAATATATGCTCTTAGGGTACAAAGTTAGTTACGCAAGTCTCAATGCGAGTCCCAAACCTAATATCATTAGCATTCTGGGCTTGCACCGTGAACGTGTTTACTATATTCATATTCATCTCGACGAACGTAAAGCCGCTACGTACGTAGGTGTAATAAAGCCGTCCTGTTCCCCCACTGGAATAGTGATGGATTTTAACGCCTGTATTTTAATATTACACTTAGTACAATGTGATCACTCAAATATGTTACGTTTTACATAGGTCCTTAATAAATGGTAGGATTAGACGTTGCCTGGGTGGGTAGTCTTTAAATGACCGGTAGAACATAATGTGAAATAGTTTTCCTCAACACAAGAAATATCTTGAAAATATCTCGGAATGTTAACCCCTTGAAAGAAATACATAAATAAGTACGTTCCGAAAGATGTATTTGTTGAAGCGTAATCATCTAAACACTCGGATATGTCATGATATTGTTATGTAAAACGTTCACAAAGTAAACTATTCTCAACGCGGATACTAACATAAATAAAATAGTTTGTGTAAATATATTGAAAACCGACATTTATCTGATCGATGTTAGGTCATTTTTACGCTTCAACGCTTTTGTTACATTTCAAAGAAAGAAATGCTAAACGTTTCTTATATTCAATCCTTTCTTACAGTTTATTCACACACGAACGTACGCTTGGAATATATTTTTTAAATAAAGTGGACACGTCTTCGTGTGTTGTACGAATCAATTCCAGCACTTATGTCAGGAAGTGACGTGGAGTGCGTCTCATAAATCAGTTCACACGCGACTTCCTATACATTTTTGAATTGAACATGTTCGTAATTTTGAGTTATTCCCGTCATTATAGTCACGATTGTAGTCCTTGACTAAGTTGTAGCAGTATGTCGTAGTTTGATCGATATTAAGGCAGTTTAATAGATCTTTGTTGACAGTTTTAATTGTATGTGTTCGATACTCTGTAGTTACGTTATGTAGAGCAAACTACGTTGCTATAAACAATGTAGGTATGTATTCCCAATAGTAAATGCTGATAAAAAGCTTCTGTTCCGACAATTATCCAAAAGCAGAAGCCCCGTGCCGTCATTGTTTTTAACTCAATTAGGTTTCGTAGCGCTTAAACAGAGTTAACTTTGCACGATGATATCACAATCCTATGATGTAACGGCCAGACATCCCGAATACAACCTTTTAAGAGTATCTACACGTAGGTACAATTTGGCAACGGCACGTTATGTTCACGGCGCCTACAGATAAATACCTTATTTACATGTATCTTGTGTACAGGTGTACGGGTGTCGGAAGGCGGATACGGGCAAAATGTACGCGATGAAATGCCTCGACAAGAAGCGTATAAAAATGAAGCAAGGGGAGACTCTCGCCCTCAACGAGAGGATTATGCTCTCTCTAGTCAGTACTGGGGTAAGTACTTTATTACATTTGTATTTGTTTATGACTTTGTCGCCATTTCGACGTTATTGTGTGACGGATTACGTTCTAGAAGTTTAGTTGGGTGACGAATGTGTTTGGTAAGTCGTTACGACCGCTCTGTGTTGTGGGTGGACGTGGAGTGTTTGAAATATCCAGGTGGAACAGTTTTCTGCAATCTGGGATTACCTTCCAATTAACATTTTTCAAAACACAGTATATTCCGAGAAATTGCTATCTGTAGTTACAATGAATAACATAACATTACGGACTTCTCCGAAGCTTAGGGATTTTACTATTGTTTCTATTTACCGAAAATTTACTCATACCCATGCTTCTCCTTCTCCGTAAAACACCTCAGAAATATTTTTGAACTCTCAAAATCTTACAACGAGACAAGCAATTCAGAGCTTTTGCCTAATAGTAATAAAGTTTAAAACTCCAGGCTGTGAAACCTACAAAATGTTGGTAGCAGATACTTGTGCACGTAAGCACACAAGGAACGGTAAACAATCATTTTCTACATTGTCAACGGTATGTCTACGTGTACCTATAAAGATAACGGTGGTTAAAAATGGCACTGTCGATCAGCTAACTTTATAAAGGATTGTATGGGAAAAATAAAATCACATTGGTAAATATCGTTAGAAGACAATGTTACTCGCAATTGCTACCTTTCCATCGTATGTGTATGTATTTAGGTGGAATACTTTTAAAAGCCTCTTAAGGTAAGCTTGAATATCATGAGCAACTACTTAGTTTACTGCCAGCGGATTAAAAAACCTGTGTGTTATTTCAGGCTCAGACTATAATCTACCTCTATATAATTTTTTCTCCAGATATTTTAACGTGGCTGAGTAACTTATACCCATCCTGTCAAACTTTCGCATACATAATTTACTGTAGATTGTAGGTTCCTCTCTAATACTCAAACTTCATTTCATTTTAATATGCACTTCAAACTGTTTTACTTTGCTTTTGTTGACATACAGCGTAAGATATAATAGGAGAACATATCAAAACTTAGATAAAGATGGCTCACAAACAACACTTCCAGAATTTGATGATCAACATCAATCTTATAAACAAACGTATTGTTGTTAGTTCCACGGTCATACAAGGCTATTATCCCGGTCCCCTAAACAAGTACGAAGTGACTTTCATCTGCATATTGACTTAAACTCAACTCCTAAACTACTCGATTGATTTTGATGTGGTCTTCAACCGAAATATACTTCCAGCGCTTTCAATCTTATGAAATTTTTTTCTTTTCTTAAGTTTTTTGCGTTTGGTCGCCACTGAGTATAGACCAAAATCGCCTGAATGTGTTTTTTCATGGAGCGATTACTACATTATATCAAACTACATTATATTTGTTTGTTGAGTCTTGAATAAATTAGAAAAAAATTACATGATAACTACAGTATTAAATGTAGCTGTTCCTATTACATGAATTAATTTGATATTGTGCAGAGAAACGCCCACTATTACAACGTCCGATGTTTTTAGATACTGAAATGGAACAAACTGCATGTTCTGCGATAAGCACTAAACGTTCATACATTGTACAGGATGTCTGGTGCACTAGTAAATATTATATTTCAGTTGTGTAGATCATAATAAGAGTTTTACACAAATACGATTGCTAGACCCCAAATCAAACAACCCTGTAGACGACCTAGCCAGTTACCAGGGTTCCGGCTCGAAGCCGAAGCAGGAACGGGGTGGTTTTTAGTCAGTAGACCCCAAACCATTCTCCTTCTTACATATTGTCATGCCTGATCTCGTAGCATAGAACAACATAAAATACTCTTATTTCTTCGTTAAGTATAAACTAAATTTATAAAAGTAGTTTTTGAATTCTCAATAAAAGATGTACTTTAATGAAGAATAACATCTTTTTATAGTGATTATATGTGTATGTCTCTATCACGGAGTCATTGTAACTGAAACGACTGCCACTCAAAATAGAACGGACGAAAATAGGGAAGCTAAAAAGAGGTTTACAGCGTAAATAGGAAGAATAACGGCAGTTCATGTTTTTATAAACTGTTGATCTGATATGTAGTTAATCGATTGAGTTGAAGGAAATCCTAGTACCTATGTAATTCGTTTTTAGATAATGTACGTACTAGGATTTCCTTTATACCTAGAGATTTTATCAAAACTAATTGATAATCGATGAACATTGTTGTGTGGATGTAATTTTGGGGTCAATGTTTTTGGAATTTAGTTCTTTATACACAGAATCATAGGATTTAAGGACCAGGACAAGGACAAGGGCACCACATTAAAGGATGCGTAATGTCTATGGCTATTACCATACGTACTGCAATTAATGGTGATGATATTTTTCATAATAGTGACTATCTTATCTCGATAAATCCGATATCTTTATACCGAGGCAGCCTGCTTCACTAGGTTCTTATTAACATTTTACATGCTCAGTCCTCACAAAGCTTTGTTAGCGGTGAATGTGATTTAACGGGTTCCCGAACTAAACTGAATTTAATATCCGCTTGTTACCGTCACCACCCACGCTACATGCAGATATACTTCCGTCGATTGCGATAGCCCTGAAAATACTCCAAAGTCTCGTATCAATTTTAATTAGTTTCAGCCCCCGGCCGGGTAATTCGGCAAATTTCTTTATTATTGCCCCACTTACCCACAACTCGCGAGCAAAAAATTTGAGGAATTTATTCATTGTAATGAAATAAAATGGGATGGGACATGAGGTCAGTCCTTTGTTGTAACAGCTTCCAACAGATATAACGAGTGTTTACATAAATATTTTCTTAAAGTTCTAAGTTGTAGAGCATTATGGAATGATTAATTTATGATTCCATTGCGCATCAAAGCCAATAGACACGTGTACTGTAATAATCAATAGATAGGAAACATTTCAATGATTCGGAATTTTCTATTGATCTACCATCGTTGTTATTATATGAATGGCATGCATAACGATGTTGTTTGTTTCGCCGAGATGGTATAGTGCGATGGGAGCATCGTTCGTTTTAATAAAATCACTGGCTCGCGACAAATGTACGTACATAATACATGATAATTCTTTATACGTACATCGTACATAAAATATACGTCGGTTTAATATCACACCATCGTGTTATTGCACAAACAACACGTTTAAATACTTCGACATTGCCCGTTATGTATTTATTAGATTAATGGCGTCATAAATAGTTGATTTATACGCAGATTTATTATTGGATTTACGTTATCGGTGGCTAACGCGTTACAAATTATCAATAAATGGGAGCGACGTCACTCGACAGATGGACTATGTTCCAAGTTTACAGTCTTACGATATAATTAAATAACTTGATTACTGTTTGCTATCGTGACTATACCGCTTTCAATTTATTACTCTCAACAGTTTGTCCTGGCCATTCTCAATTTATCAGTAAACATAAAATAGAATTATAATTTTCATTCCTACTTACTCTTTAATCTTCGAACCATCTTAATAAATTATACTGCTCTAGGCAACGAGGAAAACACAGTATTTACACAACAAAACGTAATAGTTCCGATAACTTTCTCACGGAAATTAAAGTAGCTCACGTTTTTGATACAGAACACAAGCGAATACATTTAATGATGATGATATCATCCGCAAAAAACAGTAGGTTACGCGTTTAAAAATACATAGACCAGGTAAAACCCGGCATTTTGTTTGGCTTAACATATCTGGAACATCTGCTACTGTTTCAACAAACATAATACCATCTAATAATTGCAATTGTCGTTCTTTGCACTCGTTCACATTTGTAAATTATCTTAACACATTGCAGCTTATGTTTATTCATTAAATAAAGATAATGTTAGAATCTGTTTCGATTCCCGAAGTCGAATAAAGAATATTAACAAAAAACACATTTTCCCCCGTACTTTGCCGTATGATTCAGCCAAATGTGATCTTATACAAATTGTTGAATCTTTGTGCCTTCTATGAATCGCAACGTTTCAATGAAAATTATTTCGGTCGATAAATTTTTCAAGGTTTTAGACATGACCGCAATTTAATTTCATGCATTTCTTTTCTCGTGGAATGCAAACATAATATTATGTCTACTTTTAAATCGTTTTCTTAGAAAGTAAACAATGCGTGCATACGCTTTGATGTTAATTCGAGTACTTTAAACATTTTTCCGCATTTTATTTCATAAAGAAATGCTTTCCACTTTACATTCTATAAAAACATTCCTGCACAACTCACATTTCAAAGCTGGAAACTAGTCTGTGCTGCTATTGTGTGCGTTGGATAGACATCGCGGTGATTTCTATAGCAAGTAATCTCAGACCGATCTGCTAAGAAAAATGGATAGTGTTTCAGAGAAGAAAAAATGTATATTTTCTAATTTAGCTGGGGTTCGAAAATGGTAAACAGTTACAAGATTCACAAAATAAAAATATGAGCAAAAGGATATTTAAACTGTCCTGTTAAATAGAAATTCTTATACTCGTCACTATCACTTACCACTTACACCTATTTTAGATCTCTCATCATGATCTCTCAATGCGGGATAGACAAACTTGTGCTGTTCGCTGTATTTCGGCTATTTTGATGTGATCTAGTATTCCAGCGGACTAACCCGATCAACTTGCTCACATGCTCACTTGTAGTTATGCAAATAATGTTTGTAATTCATGTCGACACGGAATATCATTACAAACAAGGGCAACATACAGTAACATGGTAAAGTACACATTCTTATTTGAAGAGAACGTTGGTTTTATCAGCCGACAAGTTTACGCTCTCCTACAAATTGAACTTGACTCGTGTGCGTCTACTTTGTATGTAGAAAATAACTTTTCCGACTAGACACACTCGTAAAGCGGACATCCGAACTCTGTAATAAATATATATTATCTGTAGAGTTGATATGAGTATTTCGTTCTCAAGGAACAGTTTTCAACGTCTCGTACAAAATAAATTAAGTACGGAGTGGCTTTGCGCAAACTCAGTGGGAAACTGCCTCGGTGTAACCATCGTGTTGTACGTAGCTATCCTTGCCATCATTGACTTTGAGCATGTATGTGCTTACATACACTTATCCAGTTAGGTGACACGTGTGACCTCTTATTCAGACAAAAATTTTAATATGCTTTCCAGAACACTGTTCAAAGTTTTAAACCTCTGCTCTTTATTGCCGCACGTTAGTCGAAGATGTTTTAAAGACATATTCCAGACCGCACGGCTCCTTGAATATAGGGGAGGAATGAAATTGGAGAAAATATTATTGAATCTATTGATTTGGAAATAAAAGAAAGTGCAGTAAATTGTCGCAAATGGGTTATTGCTTGAAGTGGCGTTACATTATACTATTAGTGCCGTTACATTGCTTTTGGCGGTACTGGCGGTCTTCGTTAGAGAGCTTATGTATCAGATAATCAAATATGTGCATAATTTACGTTAAGTACAGCCATATCAATGACTATAATATCCGATTGTTTATCGATTGCAAACTGCTTTGATTCGGTGCAATACAGCAGTGATGTAGCTGCGCTATATATGTGATATGGTATCGGGAACATAAACGATATCCAGCCAATTGGACTGAAACGAATTGGATCGCCCTCAATTTGTCGTCGTAGTACAATCCGCTTCCGCTGCATTTTGTTTCGTCGTTTCATCCCGGCGATTAGTATTTTCCATTTGATATTCAGGTTATATGTATGTAACACATACCTTATGTAACATGTGTACAATTTTATTCTTCGTGACCTAAAAGGCTTCCCCAAAGTTTAACAAGGCCGTCGGTTTCCGAAGCAAAGTTTATATAAAACGAGAAACTGTCAGTCGTTCTGTTACAACATTTATATGTAGTCAACTTTCGACATGAATTTTCTTTTACTGTGACCTTGTTTTAAAACTTTATGCTGTGCGGTAATAAAACGTTTTTATTTTATGTTTACGAGTAAGCAAACTCTGGTTTATAGGATGGGACGGTCCGATCTGGATGACAAATTTTATCGACGTTCGATCATATATGTCCAATGTTCATCTCGATACCTTCTTAGCTGTAAATGAAATGATATTTCGGATTGATACGTTGGTTGGTTTTACATCGTGTGCATCATTTAGATACTTTTTACTTGTACTTGTATTCTTTTAGGTTTCGTACGTACGACAATATGATAAAAGTTACGAGTAGAATTGATGTTTCTCAAATGTATTCGTTTATTTCACTCTGTGTATATACAAAGTATGTTTTGAAGAGCCAATGAATGTAAGCGAACGAAATGGCGTTCACGTGGAAAAGGCGGCGCACTGTGAACGCTTTGTTATTCACTCACTCAGATATAATTACATATTGAGAATCGAACACGCCCCTTTCCGTTTTCAATGTCATCATCAAGAGTGAACGTCATAATCACATGTTTATCGAGATTAGTACGGGATACGGATGTTTGGCAGCGTTAGTGTTCGCAGTATTACAAGTACATGGATGCTGCTCGCCATTCATCTTCCAGATATAATCCCTGCTCTTACGTCAGTCGCCGTAAGTGACGGGTGGTCTGTTCGGCGAGACCACACGGTAATGTTACTTTATACGGGTTACTTTATCATTTATGAGCGTTCGTCTGGTGTCGGGGCGGCGCCGCTTCGTCTGTCCGTGTCATACGAACGGTTTCGGAGTTCTTCGGAACATGGTTATCGTCGGAAACGCCTAGTCTCGTCCTGTTTCGCTGTAACTCTTAGAAACGTGACCGTTATCTGTTGTTGAACTTCTGCAAATGGACCAGAAATTTCTTCAACTTTTTTGGGTCCCTTCCAGGATTATGATATTAAAGGAAAGTCAGAAAGTTTAGTTTTGTAGGTGCTGTCTGCTGTGTTATCTACAGCATGTGGAGCAAAAATATAGCGTACAGAAATTAGATACAAATATTTGTACTTACTGGTGACCGAGTTAGTTGTTTTGATAGTAAATCATTTTGTGGAGAACGAAAATATTCTGTAGCCTCATTTTTCGCTGCTGCTGTGAATCAATACGATTCTGACCGTTGAGACCGCAGAGCCACGGGCGCACTGGTCCGAATAAACAAAGGATTGCATTCATCATAATATGTATACATAAGTACTTAAATAATTCCATCTGCCACAATAACGCCGCATTTCCACTGTGGTTTTATAGCTTTAAATGCTATTTTACATTCCGTATGACTAACACCAAAGTTATATTTGTCGCCAGCCTCCAAATGATTATGCCAATTTCCGATTACAACAGTTTACGTTTCATGCGGATGCATGTATTCTGTACCTGATTATATTGGGTGCATAATAAAATAATCTACATTATTTGTCCGTATATAAAAATCCTGTATGTAAACCATCGAATTCTAAAGATTACGAACAAATAACGCCTTGAGTATGACCATTTATCTTTGTTAAAACTAGACAAGACCTAAATCAAACACTACTTCAAGCTATTTCAAAACGCATCTTTTGCTTGCCCCACAGGGTCTAATCTTGACGCAATCGCTATCAGAATTAATAGCGTTAGCAATCTCAAACTGTAAAATTAAGTCTAATTGGATTAAAATCCTTGAATCCGATATTAATGAGTGCTAAGTACAAGTAATGTACTTATATTTACACCTATGGGTTCTTAGTAATAAGCATGGACTGGTGTTTGAATTGTATCGGTACCAAGTAATAGAGCATTTGGCATTCCAATGTCTCTGATTACCTCAATGACTTTGAATGATGATAATTAATGTGTGCAGTATAGTTTTAAGAGATTTCTCAGTACCCCCCGCGATTTGCAATATGAGCCTAACTTTGTATCCTAGGTGGCTTATGGTAGTGAACACCTTATATAGAGAAAAAGATAAACAACTTTATTAAATGCGTGCACGAGATGTCGCTACGAGCCGTTTTTGGTCATCAAGGACATGTTAGATTATTTGAGACTTATATTGTTTCCTTCAAAAATATTGTTCTTTTAATACGTCTAGCTTAAAGATTAAGCATAAATATACATCAAGCATTAATTGAATGTTATGTCTTTATTCAGGTGGACTGCCCATTCATCGTGTGCATGACATACGCGTTCCACACGCCGGATAAGCTCTGTTTTATCCTGGACCTGATGAACGGCGGCGATCTGCACTATCATTTGTCACAACATGGCGTCTTCAACGAGGCCGAGATGAAGTTCTATGCTGCTGAAGTTATATTAGGTAAGGTTTAACATTATTATTTTTTACTATCTCACATGTATGGTGCACTTCTGCATTCCATGTTATCAATTTTAATTGAAAACAACAAAAATAAGAACTTTACTTTTATTTCCTGAAGCAGTAGGTGGTTATTCCACCTTTTGACAGTGATGCCTTAAAGTCTATCTATGAATAAGACTTTTAAATCAATTTTTTTCCCGAAATTTGGAACAAACTCCTCTTGCAAGCAAGACCCTCCGCTTACGACCAATTGATCAACGAGGCAAAAAATACAATTGTACAAAATAGTCATTGTTTAGTTATCAATGAGAATAATATCACTATTACAATAGTTCTATTCAATTCAAAACTATCCGCTACTCTTTCCGATGCGATAATCCGATCAACGTATGACCTAATTCTCTAACAGCATTGCACTGGACTGTTATAAAATATGTTTTCTACTTCATATCCTCTGGCTAAAGTGAATTATCTCGTCATATTCATAACACCCTGTTTTTCTCTATAAAAGAGGTAGTAGTGTGGGTGCTGCATTCAGTTTCTAATTTCTGTTTTGATGTGAGTCACACTTATTAGGATAAAATTGTATTGTAGAAAACAATAGGGATGATAACAGGGTATGAAAATTAAAAATCTAACTAGTCCGTCAGTTAGGTAATGGAAATATATTAGAGACGTATTTTTTTATTTTGTCGTGAAAACAATACTTAGATAAAACAAATTAAAGTTTTGAGTGGGAGGTAGTTACGTCATCTTAGAGTATAAATCGTACTCAAAGTGACGTCATGCGATATTTAAAATCAATATATCTTAGAAACTATTCGTTTCCGTAAAAAATAAAAAATATGTGTCTAATGTTTTTAAATAATGTACAAGACGGACATCAAAATAAAAATTAGACACCTACCCTATTACACAGAATTAGTACATTGTACTAGAGACCCGATCCTTTTGCTCGTAAACCATTTCAAATAAGCCATGCATAATTCAGATTTTAAAAGAAACTGTGATAGACCTCAATGAGAATATGATGAGTCTGTTTTACATTACAGACACTTTTAGTAGCTTTATAACTATGAAGGACAATTTACCGGTCATAATTCGAGGAGTATAGTACTATAATAGGTACCAACAAACCCAATTAACACTTTGCGTCAATCACGGATCGAATCACGGGCTCATTCTCTTCAATCACGCTCCCACTTGATCCACAGCAGTCAAATATTCAGATTCAACTGCGAACATTACAGTATCCGAAGGCCACGCAAGCGAAACCGGCCAAAGACACTTGTGAATATTGTTATTGCCTTCATACATCATCGTGAGTCACAACACAAGGATCTATATTAAATAATCTGTGCAATATCAAGTGAATAAAAATATAGTAGTCGCAATGTGTAAAAATGTACTCTGCGATTTTAATAAATTAATGTCTGTCACCATTTTTTAAATCAGTCGCCAAACGTATTAGCGAGAAAATGTAACAAAATAATCTCACTTTTGCACTATTATTCCTTAGTAACTATGACGCCAAATGTTTACAACGTACATTGCAACAATATTTATTATTGGACGTCCTTTCTCGAAATCTTGACCTCTTGCCCGAACTAAATGAGATGTACCCACAAACATACATGTTACATACTTACCTTTACGTCACAGTCAAAAACAACACTAAACATAGAATGAATTAAATTATTAATTTTATTGTCATAATTTAAATTACTAAAATAAACTCGGTTATAGACAACATCCTGTAACCTGTATTAATGACAATTATGTAGGTACCTACCCACTATAATTAGCTGTTAAATTAATATTATTATTATTGTGACGTCTGTCGTGTGGTTAGGAAGGCTATTGCAGAGCTGGAAACTTTATTTGTCCTAGGTTTATATCCTTAAATTGGTATTGGGATTTCCTAGTGCCTAAGCTATTATTGCATGGTGTCTTAATCTTTGGATTAACATCGATTTTTGACATCACCAAATTTTCACAGGGCTTGTGAAAATTTGAGATCGCTCCAGCATACGGAGATTTTGATCTAGTAATTATTAGTTCGTATGTAAGTATCATAACTTTTGCCTTCAGAAAATAACAGACGTCTTATCATTTATTTATTCAAAAATACGTTAATCTTTTACATTACATAATTTTATATTGTGGACACTAACAATTATAGCAACTGTATCTAATGAAATATCCATACACAAAATATGTGTAAACTCGTGATTTTTCTACTACGTATTATAAATAGCCGTACTAACAAATGTAATATTTTTCCCGAAGGTTTGGAACACATGCACAAGCGTCACATAGTGTACAGAGATCTGAAGCCGGCGAACATCCTCCTTGATGAACACGGACACGTCAGAATATCTGATCTCGGACTAGCCTGCGACTTCTCCAAGAAGAAACCGCATGCCAGTGTGTAAGTACAAATAATTTTTATCGAGAAAACTGAACATATCGATATGGTAGAATAAACATTAATTGTAGATTATTTTAGAAGACTTTTCGTACCTAAATGTTTGTTTTCCCCCTTGAAAGGTTTGATAATGTCCTCGAAGACTTTTGACTTTTATACTCCATTGAGTAATTAATACAAATGAGCTATTTATCTCAAAATATTATTATAATATGGCAACATCTCTGTATGCAAACTACATTTTCTAACGTCAGTTAAATATTGATTTTGGGTAGTTGCCATTTAAATATATTATCACAATTCTAATGTCGTTAATATAATTTGTTGTACAACAAGGAAATGAATACGTATGTCACATTTCCTAAAACATTTTAAAACAAAAATAGTTTTATTCGATACATTCATAAAATTCAAGCACTTTCATTAAGAAATAGCCAACAGTCTAATCAATTTATTAATTAAATAGGTATATAACATGTGATCGTACATCGATACGTAGTAATTGAGGATAATAGTACATATTTATTGTCAATACAACCGCCTTTAATGCTCTTGTTTAGGAATCAATTGACGTAATGCACGCTAATTGTTTTAATTGGAATGTTTGCATATACTCTATGCTCTCTTATGTAATCCAATGATAGTATAATTATTGAATTCGCCTTGAATTATAATTTATAATTGTGCTACCGTTGTTTAGGTTTAGATTAAGACCCAGAATGTTTTATTGAGAAGGTATATTTTAATTATTTTCACACTTCTTGTACATAAAATATACAATGGTGGACTTCGTGCCTAGTGGCATTCTCTAATAGTCAACCTAATATAATGCTATTCTGTTTGGGTCTTACTTTTAATAAAAGATTTGTATGTCTTTTTCCATATAAAGTGAGATCAGATGCCTTACTTGTCGAAGTTATAAAATATACAAGAATATTATGCTAAAACTCTTTATTTTAAACCTAAAAATTTACATGAACGCAATTGTTATCTAATGAGTAAAATCTTATATTCTTAAAGTTATATTTAGCATAAAATAGTAGTAGTTCTCTGGTTTTAATAATAATACTCACAATTATTATATGTGTAAATCCGTAAAATACGCCATTGATAAAATTATAAACTCGGGGACTCCTATAAACCTGCGGATATTAATAGTTAACGCAAATCAACATGAAATTCTATTGAATACTAAAATTAACACTATGAGTGTGAATAACTTATTACTAGTTTAATAATAATAACAGTGTAGTAATGTCGTCACAAGATTGTTCAAAGGTCACTTTTAAGTATTTCACATTTAGGAGATAATTTGTAGTCAAAATAAAGTTAAAATAAGTTCGGGTTTAAAGTCACCTATGAAAAATATTTTAAGTGCTATTTTGTGTCATACGAGCTAATTTAAGAGAATATTTACGTACACTAAATGTCTAGCAAATGATAATCAACTGAACGTTTAATACTTTACTGGGTTGGTGCGGTAGCTGGGCAACTGCCTGCCTCAACGTGTCGCGGGTTCGATTCCTGCACGGAACAACTCTTTGTGCGGTCCACAGATTGTTGTTCCGGGTCTGAGTGTCATGTGTATGTGAACTTGTATGTTTGTAAACGCACCTACGACACAGGAGAAAATCCTAAACCCAACGTTTATTAAAAAAAAAATACTAATCTACACAATTGTTACATTTATCTCTAGTGGTACCCACGGCTACATGGCTCCCGAAGTTCTCTCCAAGGGCACCGGCTACGATTCTTCCGCTGACTGGTTCAGCTTCGGCTGTATGCTGTACAAGCTCCTCAAAGGACACTCTCCATTCCGCCAACACAAGACCAAGGACAAACATGAAATCGACAGGATGACCCTTACAATGGTAATATTCCATATATTTTATTGTGACACATTTCATTCACACTCACACTCACTCACTCACATGTATATAAAATGTTAAGAAAAATAAGACGTTGCTTAGTTCGTACTCGTTTTAATTATGTTTCAAAAATATCTACAGATAATGGTTACGTCTGAGGTGGCGCCACTAGCGAATATGGGCACTTTGTCTAGCGTCTCCTAGAGGTTCAGATATAAGTTTGTTTATTTTTATGCACTTATGATCTGCTCCGCTTGTAGAGAGCCATTTCGAGCAGTGGCGACGCTACAGACTTGACTGCAGAAAAACTCTTGTTCTTCATCTCCGACTAGTCCCTTATGATCAATCTTATACTATTATACAAAGCGGAAGAGTTTGTTTTTTTGTTTGTTTGTTTGTTTGAACGCGCTAATCTCCGTAACTACAAGTCTGATTTGTATAATTCTTTTTGTGATTGATAGCGCATTTATCGAGGATGGCTATATGCTATAAAACATCACGCTACGACCAATAGGAGCTGAGCAGAGCGTGTGAAACCGCGCGGAAGTAGATAGTTGGAGATAAAAATACATAATACCGCAATCGTGCCCTCATTTCCTGATTTGAATGGAGATTTCCAAAAGTAGTAGTAGAAGTACCCCTCGAGGATTGATGTATGTGCTGGTAGGGGTTTGATTGTATTGTACTTCAATTGCACAATAGCTGTTGGAATAGTTGGATACCCTGTCTTCCTTTATTAGCAACTTTAATTATGGTACACAATGCAAATATTTATATGCAAGCAGTTTTTGAACAGCCATTAGTTGATTCATCTTCCATCTTCTTTATCTTAGTTGTATAGTCGCTTAATAGTACTCTTATAGTTTTCCTTATATTATTTCGGTATTCGATACCCATAATCTTATTATTATTTGTTACCACATTATACAATAGTGTTACATACATACATTCATAACCTCACGCCTGTCTCATATTGGGAGGTGGTGTTACATCAATCTGTGATTGTCGTTGGGTGCACTTCCATAGTGCATACAGGGATAATTGCTGGCTGATGTCTCAATACATTTTAATATAATTGTTCAACGGGCCTCATACGCCTTCCAAAAGTCCGAGACCCTGTGGTCCCGTGAATGGAAACAAACAAACATCCAAACTAAGCGACGTCTATTTATCTTAACAGTCTTAACTATTTATTTTTATATAAAAATCACTGAATATTATATTTTAACCCGCAATATTTGTCCTAATAATCAATTAATAAACCATTAATTATCTTTGAAGAGTCTAAACACTTCGTAACGTAATTTAATGCTATTGTATACAGGCGCTAGTACAACAAGCTACTCCTTGTGCGAATTCTTTAATAGATTTTCAGTTAGACTGCACGATTGGCGCAGTGGCTGGGCAACTGGCTGATACGCCGTGTGTGTCGGGTTCGATTCCCACACGGTACTCTTTGTTTGATTGATATACAAGTTGTGTGGATGTGATGTGAATCTGTGAATGTGAATTTGTATGTTTGGAAACACGCACACATATAAACAAGTAGGAGAAAATAAAAAAGGCTTTGTAATAAAAATAAAATCTATTAAAGTTTGACAGGCCTATACAATTCAAAAGTATTTAAGAGGTTCTAGGCTCTTCATTCAAATAATAATAATAATTATATTTATATATAAATGAAATTATATCTACTAATATGTATATGTGAACTGATTCCATATAAAAATCATGATACATTGCATTGAATGCCTGCACTTTGTTATTAACCGTCCCCCCAATCATATTAACAAATTACTTACAAGTAATTTACTCTTAATTTCTGTGTATAAAGTAAGAGATGGAATCATTTCTGCAATAGAATAACGATATATTCCAGAACGTGGAGCTTCCAGAGACTTTCAGCCCCAGCTTGAAGAGTTTGCTGGAGGGGCTGCTGCAGAGAGACATCAACAAGCGACTTGGATGCAAGGGACGGGGGTGAGTTTAGAATATTTACTCTTTTTAAGTAAAAACACGGTTTACTCACGTGAATATACTGAGAAAAGCTCTACTAGTTTCGAACCACAGAGGGGTTCTTCCTTACTCTTTTTTATATTTCAATGGGCTTTATTATAGCTAGGATAGTAGAAAACACATTTTGTCTCGCGTATATCTACATTCCGACACTTTACAGGTTAATACAAGTATCGCATACAACAAAGAATAGGCAATAGGGCAAACGTTAAGACTTTTCGTTAGTTATGCAAAAAAGAATCTGTGGTAAATGACATGTGATATTTTTATTATATTTGTTTTATGTGTACGAGTTTTCGAAACCTTCATGCTCAGAGTGCCTAATCGCAATTTTTTTTCATGTAAATGCGATCGACATGTTTATGACGTTCGGCGCTCTTATTAACAGCTCCAAGTTAAGCAAACAGTCAAAGGGCTAAACGCGGTAACGTTTGGATCGCGTTAACAGACAAATTCGCCCTAGGTACTCAGTACTGTATGATGTTACTCATCCGATCGAAGATTCCAACCCGAGGTGTGTTGCATTAATGCGTTGTAGCGTAGTCACCATCTCAAAAAACTGCTATATGACGATTTGATTCGCGTTGTTGATCACTCTAAATTAACTATTTTCCGCTTTGTTTTACCTTTTTCCTAGAATTAAACGATAAATGATTCATTAAAACATCGATTGAGGACGGAAAATCAGTTTTTTATTCAGAAAATACGTAAATGTATGGGGAAAATACTAAGTGATATCTTTACATAGGTCTAATACAAACTAAAATATGCAGAATAGTAATTACGATTTCTAAGTTATCTTCATGACTTTGCTTTTTGATTTGAAAACAAAACGAATATAATTGAAAACAATACGAATACGAATAAAAATGAATATCTGTTCGTTAGTCTCGCTAAAACTCAAAAACTGCTACACCGATTTGGCTAATTTTGATCTTGAACATTTGAGAATCAACCAAGAACATCACTCAAAAATCAAAGAAAGGTGAGAAATAAGTAGGGTAAAAAATTTTTTGAGGTGGTACGAAGTGGTCAGCTAGTTTATAATATTTATGACTATAAAAGATCTCTTGATGACATCTTTAAAAGATATTAAGAGAGGAACACGCTTAATAAATCCATTTGTTAAATTCTAGTGCTGATGAAGTGAAAGAACATGTGTTCTTCGCGGGCATCGACTGGCAGCAAGTCTACCACCAGAAATACACACCACCATTGATCCCGCCGCGGGGAGAGGTCAACGCTGCTGACGCTTTCGATATCGGCAGCTTCGATGAGGAAGATACTAAGGGCATCAAGGTATGGAACATTTTTTACTTATTCTTTTATTCTACCTCTTTAATGATTTCAGATTACACAAAACAAATACAAAAAAGGAATAGTGGTATTTACCTGAAACATTATTCATTATCATCCTGTTTCCGTCCTTTGCTGGACATGCCTATGTATCTCTAAAAGCATATCACTGTATTTGATCTTCAGCTCTTCTCATCCAACAACTACCAGCTACTTGTAACCAGAAACATTATTCATTCTTATTACAATACATTATACATTCCGATACTTTTTATCTACGGACACGTAATAGATTAGGTAAAGGCTATTCGAAATATTTATACCAAGTGCACCAATAAGGATTCATGAAAACGATAAAATAATAACAAATTCACCAATACGTTATAAGAAATAAGTAACACGTTTACACAGTTTTATACTAATCATGTTCTCAAAATTCCACAGCTAACTGAAGCGGATCAGATGCAATACAAGGACTTCCCGCTGGTGATATCGGAGCGCTGGCAGTCCGAGGTGGCGGAGACAGTGTTCGAGACTATCAACCAGGAGGCCGACAAGATGGAGCAGAAGAAGAAGGCCAAGCAGAAACAGAAGTTCGATGCTGATGAGAAAGGTATGTGCTAGAACTCTTGGCTAAACTTTGAGATAGATACCATGGTACCATGTGATACCATGGCCTCACAGAAAACCGGCGTGAAAAAACGCCTTGTGTGTGAAGTTATCTCCGGTGACCTTCACCTTCTTCACATCTGCATTCCCCAAATGGCCGGCAACGCACTTGCAACTTCTCAGGCCTTTGGATGTCCATGGGCGATGCCGATTGCTTTCCATAACCTCGTTTGCTGATCTATGAACAAAATTGAAATGAATGAAAATGAAAAATATTTATTCCTGACAAACAACAATAATTTCTATAAAACTTCTGCCAAACTGCATTACAGTTTGTTGGCAGATGTAACTCCCATGTCTAATCGCATAGAAACAAATAACTCGACACTGGCAGTTAAGTCGACAAGACCGTTCTGAATACTTGTTTGCTAAAGAATAAAAAAACGAAATCACTGTAATATAAAACAACAACAACTATGTATTATGCAATGAAATAATAGGGTTGTTTAAATTAATAAACTGTGGGAGACGTGTCATGATCAAAAGCAATAGGTACTTACTTGGCGTCTGATAAGGGAGAATGGAGAGTAAAATACGTCAAGTCCGGGACATTTGTAGGATTAGTTTATTGTTAACTATTCATTTATGAGTAAAACATAATATTCATATGAATTCATTTACTTACGATACATAACGAAATATACTTATACGCTGTGTGAATTCCAAAACGTAAATAACGATCTAAAATCTAAGACGATATTATAGTCATATCAAGTTAGCGTTTCTAACGGAACAAGGAAATCTTGCACGCACGGAACTTGATTTAATCAGGGATTAAGAAAATACACAACCATAACGTACATCATTATGATAACGGCTTAATAAATGAATACTATATACTTACTGGTGATATTATGTATGTAACATGTATCTCCTCGCGTGAACCGGTCTTTATCTGATAATATGTATGTAACGTGTTTGACATGTTGCAGAATCGGATTGCATACTGCACGGATACATCAAGAAACTGGGCGGTCCCTTCGCAAGTGCATGGCAGACACGTTACGCGAAGCTTTACCCGAACCGGCTGGAGCTGCACCTGGAGAACAGTGCCAAGCCCGAGATGATCCTGCTGGACTCCGTGGAGGAAGTATCGTCGGACCTCGTGTCCATCAAGGGCGAGCAATGCATTGTTCTGAGGACTAGAAACGATACCAAAATCGTGCTCACCAACACTGTGAGTATATTTAAATACAGCTAAATGTTGTACCTAGAGTTCCAAGATTTATTGAACCCTTAATTTTTTGTTTGCAGGATGAAATCGGGCTGAAGGAGTGGGCGCTGTCTCTGCGGTCGGCGCACAAGTGCTCGCAGGAGCTGCTGGCGTCCATGGCGCGCAAGGCGGGCAAGATATACGGCACCGACGGCAACAAGGACGCCATGTCGCTGGTGCGCGCGCCCGCGCCGCAGCCCTCGCCCGCCCTGGCGCGCGCGCCCAACGGGACCAACTAGCATGAGCTTCCCGCGCCCAATAAGGGCGCGAAGATGTTCCGCCGCTCCAAGAGTGCGGCGCAACTCATCAAGTGAGCGCCCGCACACTGCCGCGCTGTACCCGCGCCGAGCACGCGCAGTGTACGCGCAGTGCCCGCGCGGTACTCGCGCACTACACGCGCAGTGTCCGCGTAATATACGCGCAGTGCCCGCTCCCGCGTAAGCTCCCGCGCCGGCCCGCGCCGCCGCCCAAGCGCGATGAACTCTTAGTGACTCTTTAGGACTGCCAATTATTAATAAATGAATGCTGATCGCATTTTATTGTTGTACGAATTAATGTGATAGGACCGATCAAATTAAAAGTACGATATATAAATATATATTTCGTTTACCTCCAGTGATTTTCGATTGTGGATAAATAGTAACTTTTGTAATCGTTTGCACCGATTGAATTTTGTAATTATTAACGTAACGTTCTGGATGTTGTATTTAACTCTGTGGTAGGTATTGTAAAAATTTAATAACTTATAATTCGAGTAGATAAGCATAGCGACTACCTATATGTGTTTGTGCAATAGATCAAAAATATATAAAATAAAGTAAAAAGTAATAAAAACGTAATGAGTATTCGGTCGAGTCGGTTAAATTTAAAATTAGTGGAAGTCTTGACAATTTTAATGCAATTGGATTGTTCGTTGTGCGTATAATATAGAAGCTTGAAATTAATCGATTTATATCGTAATTAGAAATTCTAGCACTTTGGTTACGACTCTGATAATATAATTGCACACAGGTGGGGAGGTTGTACGAGCTAAGTTTGTGTTGTCTCCGGTGGCTCTCTCGCGCAAACTAACTTACAACTAGTTCCTGTAATGTAACGTAACGAGGAACAATTTGTTTATTTATTGTACGGTACTTAATATAACAGTCTGTTGTGTTCGGAACCAACTGTTCATTAAGTTTCAACTTTATTTATATAAATAGAAGGAAATGTAAGTAGATCTAATAAAAATCTCTTTTTCATATATTATATTTAGAGGCAATACTTTTCTAACAACATTTAGGTGTGATTAATAACAATAGTTGTAAAGGCAATATTTAGATGTTTAGTGCGTGGTGTTAGGAATAATAACAGATGCACTACACACATATTATGAAAGAAATAAAATTATTACAGCATGTTCATTGTTCATGAATTTAAGTGGGAACCATTTTAGTTAGTATTTATTCCATAGAGGATTTATTATGGCCTGGCCACGATGACATTTGTATGTTGTGTATGTTTTTATAATAATTGTATAGCAATGCAAATTTTTAGTTATAAAATTGTTTTGAGTCTGATGCAGATTTAGTTTAATTTGTAATCATGATGGTGTTATATTCGTTGCCATGATTTTGATAGGCTTATATTAATATTGTACGTTATGATTTCCCGTATTCATGATAAGTGATAATTTAAGAAGCTGAGCAATACTTAGATCGTGGTTATCAGGGTGAAATGTGAATTTCAACTCGGTGTCGTTAATTTTAATGCTCTTCCGATACCGAATTTATAAGGTTTGTTTTGAACACATGTAGTATAGTCGGTGAATATTATAGAAGTTTCCATTAGCATTGCTTCGCTTCTTATTCTTACAAATTTACGCATTAGTTTAGCGTGCGGTTGACGCATATTGAATAAAATTACACTGATATATTACATCGTTTTGTTATAGAATTTAGATGCTAGTCAAATAATTACTACATTTATTGATTTTAATGAAACTAAGTAATTTATATGTATAATGTAATAGCTATTATAGCTAAGCAGTATTATAGGTTAGTTGTTTTCTTGATAAAATCTTTCTATTGTGATATGTTTCAAACGTTTGCATAGAATAGATGTATCTGTGACAGTAGTACCTTCCTCCTGGTATATTTTCTTGTACACGAATATATCTAGAAAGAGCTTCAGCGCTATATTTCGCGTAATGATATACCGCTTTATACTATTGAATCGCTTTAGAGAACAAGCATGGAGTATTGGCTATGAGACGTAGTATTAGTTAGCACGTTAAAATGTTAAAACTTGAGTTGCATTTGCAAAATCCTTTATGAATTTGAAGGCCAAAGTATTCGGGGATAATCAACATTCCGGTATGCCAAATTAGATATAATGGTGGGTAAATATGCATTTAAAAGTTTTTATTTATTTACTGCGCGCAATATTGTTCGCCCGATATATTGAGAGATGCTAATAGAATGCTTATTCGCGCTGACACAGAGTTTAAATTGTATTGTCTAGGCACCGGCTATGTCTGCATCAGACAAACTGTTACATACCTCTGTTAGAAAATATTTTTATTGTGAACCTACATTATGTGTAGTAAATTGTTTATTTAATCAATTTGTGCCTTTCATTTCTACCTGAAACTCGACCACACCCTAAAGTAGACACGAAAATTTATCCGAAATTCAACCTACATTTACATAAATCTATACAGCCTTGAATGCGGAGCTTCTATTTAAGAAACATTTTAATAATATTAATTATGAAAAATACACATGCTAAATATACGGCAGAGTTATTATTAGATAGTAGCGACTCTAATACTAAAGTTCCGTTACCTAATACTATTTATTATTAAATTGAGGTAATTAAAAGAATACACTTAATTCTTAATTGAATAAAATGCTAGGACAGAAATGATCGTCGGCTACAGTCGACCGTGGCGTTCAAAAGGCTAATAAAAGTGCTTGTTACATTGTGTATTAGGAATTTAATTCCTAAGTTCTCCGTTGTGACGTAAGGGAGGTGATCAAATTACAATATTTATGAAGTTTACAATAAAAAATGACACTAAAACCATATTATAGTTAAAAAAAAAACCGACATATATTTGTCATAGCCCGTCAATGTCAGACAATCGTTAACCATCATTAGCAATCATAGAACTAAAAATACAAAAAAAAATCATCGAAAATGTTATCTTATAAGCAAGGAATAAAATGTACGCACTTTCTGACATAATATATTTCTCGTCTCTCTTAATATGTATCACCCTGGGTGGGTACTATAAGAGGATTGAGAACCCTAACACGAAGCGCAACTATGGGACCGGACTCGGCATACTCATCACTTGTATGCTGTGCGGACCATCCATGGCGCACTCCGTGCTTATGGTGTGGGGGAACATCGTCATTATAAAATGTTGCAACAAATTGTAAGTTGATCTTAATAGTATAACTACAGTGCATTAAAGTTATTTGTTTGGTTATCATGTCTAGGTAGATTTTTATGATAGTCAAGTAAGTAAGCGGATTGTTAACTTATTTTTCAGATATATCCATCACTTAAGCATAGCTTACACATGGCTCTACTTAATCTATATAACTTTCAACCTGGATCTGGCGCACTATGTGCTGTGGGTACATCAAGCCATCGCTTTGCGCCTAGTAGGCCTTGCGTTTGAAATCACCCTCGCAGAGAAAGCTAAACGACAACCCGCTACGGCCGCGGCGAAAGGATCACAGGTTACAAAAGCCATCAAGTATTTAAAAGAACCAGATTTATATTCAGACGTGATATCTAAAAGTTCGAACCATAGACTTAATATTGGAGATTTGGCCTACGTACCTACGGAACCTAGCGCTGTGGACATCATTTCTTATGCATATTACTTCATCGGATTACATAAAGGTAAATAATGTATACTAACACTGAAATTACAAAATGAGCTAGTAAAACCGTTCACAGATCCCCATTCCATTATTTTCATCATTATTTAGGTACCTATTTTACATTGTAAATACAAAAACTGCGCAACTATTTTTGCTAATGCAGTACTTTACAGCTACTGTAACTTTTTTTACTGAACTTTGTTTTACAGGCCCTTATTATCGTTGGAAGACATTTAATGAGCACTTTAAAACCCCTTTCGGGGTTCTTGGCGATTGTAGAATAATAACTGAACAGAAACTGAAGAAAGCCCTTGTGTGTAGCGTTTTATATTTGTTCTTGCGTTTCAAATTTCCTACTCAGGTATGAAAATTCATATAAATTGATTGATATACCTACCTACCTACGTAGAATGCTAAGTGATACCTGCAGGAAATAAATCGCCTAAGGGTATTATTTTACTTTTATTTAGGTATCTTCTGCCTATCGACGAAGAAAACTAAAAAAACTAGAGACGTGGTCCTATTAAGGAAGTATCTAAGGATTTCGAATTACTAAAGGAATTTAGTGAAGCCTCTTTCAATACACTGAACCAGAGTTCCATAATTCTTCCGAAAAGACCGAAAATCTTTAACCTTTCACTTGTGTGTTTGATATAAAGCCGTGTTAACATCACAATAATAATAAATAAATAAATTCTTACAGTGTGTCTAAACGTGGATCCACGCGAGGGGCAATGAATTTTCTATTGTGTATCATATCGGTACATTCAAGCGGTTAATAGTACTTTGTCCTTACTTTTCCGAAGCAGAGCCCAAAACCGTTTCTCCGTAGTACCTACCTTACGATCACTCAACCAACGAAGCAGTCGAAAAATTAATTTAATTTTACCGATTGCAGGTGTATTACGAAAACGATTTCTATACGAAACACGGCACAGACTTTCGCTATCTATACAACATCCCCCAGATGATATCATACGTGCTTCAGTATCAAGTCGTGATGATGCTATGTACTAGCGTGTGTACGGAAGCCGGGTTCGGGGTGTACCCTACTAAGACACAGCCCCTGCCCGGCCATGGGCCCTCGGCTAGGTACAGCTTGCTGCAGCTCGCGTAAGTTTTTATCTCGCCTATTTAATTATTATAGTAGCGTAGTTAGGTACCTACTTACTAATGTTTTACACTTGAGAGCAAAGAAATGGAGCCACTAACGTTTTTTTCGTTATATCGAATAATAAAATCTTATAACTTTAAAAAAATAACCCATTTTCAACTAAATGTTCTCATTTTAAATGTGACTAAGTAGATTGCCTTTTATACGACATACTTGTATCAAAGAATATTTTCCAAGAAATGAAAAAGAAAATCCCTCGTTTTTGGGTTTATTTAAAAAACCTAGTGGCCTCGTTTATTTGCTCCAAAGTATATTAATTGGGGATGACTAGGTTACCTATTTAGGTACACTGTTACCTAGATAGATATTTTATGACATTCTAAAAATACTTATTAGGTACCTACCTACTATAATCATCACGTCTAGGTTGATTTGATATCTAATTAGAGATAAGCACAACATGATACAACGTTGTCAGGCACATGATACCCACTTAGTCGCACACGATACCTACGCAAATTCAAAACAGCTATTTTGAAATGTAAACAACGTGTGCAAATTGAACATTATCATTATGGAAGGTATTAGGTAACTTGCCAACTGCATGTCATCTAATTACATACCTACATAAAGATCTGTTACCTATCAATCCCAAGAGCCAATGAAAAATAAAATAAGTAAGTAACTGCCCTCTTAGCGATATGATATACTAGGACTAAGATTATTCTATTCAATAGCGAAAACTCTAAATAGGTATCTCTATCTACCGACAATAAAGACGAAATGCTTGACCCATCATCCTGTGTCCTGTTCGAACATATCTCTCTAAACAATGAAGAATGCTTATTTCTATGAATTGGGTAGGTACTTGCTAACTAGTCAAAATCAATTTTTTTTTGAACTGTCAATATCGACAGTTTTATATGAATTTTGAGATTGTGTATGTGACGTCATGTTTTTTTAGCGTCAAACAGCATACTTATTTCTTAAAATTATGCTGAAAAAATACTAAAATAAATTAGTCGTAAAATCAAATAATGAAAGTGCGACTATTTTTTAATATTTTATTGTATTGAACAGTCGAAATAATTAATTTTTGATTAACTCGTCGAGTACCGGTTTTATAGACACAATTAAAGAACAATAGGTCGCGGTCACCGGTGACCGCTTGGTGTTTGACAGTTTAAGAAAAGTACCCAATTGTCAAAGACAATGTTTCGTGATCCTTAGAAAACTTTCATTTTACCTACAATATTTCAGAGCCGTAACAGAAGACGTGGCTTTAGAACAAGAATACAATTTCGCTATGCTAAGGTCTTTTGAAAACGAGAAGTTGTTGATTGGACCACGAATGAGGGATACACTGAGAGGGTGGGACATGTCCACGCGATACTGGTTCTGGGCACACACTTACAAAGGCATGTCCAAAGCGAAAAAGGAAGTGAGGTCTGTGTATCTAAATTACGTATTTCAAATGCACTTGGACTAAAATAATCTTAGGTAGACTACGCGCGCCTAACATCCGAAGGTCCCCACTAAGTTCTAGACACCTAGAGTCCTAGTCAGAGACAAGTCGAATATAACAGTAGGTTATAGAGAGCGAGCCTATTGCCAAACGTCTAGCTGTTTTCTACATTATTAGATATAGTGTAGAAATTATTGTCTTGTCTTATCTACGTTAGGAAGAAACCATTACCTGGTTTTTACGGCTTCATCATTGGCCAAAATAAGAATTTATTGCTTGTGAGAATTTATCGCTGACAGATAACATAAAACATAGGTATCTAAATAATAGTAATTCATTGTTGATTGCCTCGTTGGCAGAGTGGTTGCAAGTGCGACTGCTGGGCAAGGGGTCTCGGGGTTCGGGGCAAAGTAGTACTAGGCTTTTTCAAAATTTTCAGTAGTAGCACGGAGTGTGGAATTGTGCTCGCGCTATAGAAATAGGCCCACATCCTATTACATGGGACTTATAACATAAATAGTGAAAAGTGGGTGTTACATTATACAGCGGGAAGTGCTGTAATGTGCACCTCTACGCTCTCCTACATAAAAAGCGTGATGTCATGTTGTAAACAGTGTTCTTTATCCTTCTAGAAGCGCACTGTCATTCTTGGCGTGGACGCTCTGGTGCGGGCCAACACTCCAGCAGCTTATAATATCCACCACTCTCTGGATACACCTGCATCTAGAGAACGAATATGACATAATGTATGACACTCATGCCATGGTTGGTATTATTTTTTTATATTAGAAAATTAACGTAAATTATGTAGTGTAGTAATTTAGTGTAGTAAATTAAATCAAAACTATCGATAGATTTAGCTACCTACCAATTATACAAATTTGACAAATTATGGGAGAGCCATGCTTCGGCACGAATGGGCCGGCGCGACCGGAGTGATACCAATTACAAAGGCCTCACAAAACCGACGTGAAACAACGCTTGCGTTGTGGAACCGGAGGACCGGATAGTGACGTAGGCATGTGTCACTCCAGGAAAGCGACACTTTGTTTTTTATACCATATTTTATCAGAGTAACTACATTTCCTCACGCCTATCGGCCCAGGGGATAGACAGACACATTAAAGCGCCAAATAACTTGGCTATTTTGCATACATGTAGCCAAACAACCGTATGACATTGTTCTAAACTCAATTTTTTCGTTTCTTTTTAATTTATTAACATTTCGAAGTACCGAGTACTTTCGGAAGTCGAAGGAATTTAGATTAAAAAATAAAAACAGACAAATAAAGATAAGATTAGAAGAGAACAGACTTATTATTTATTTAAAGATAGATCTGTAATAATGAATAGGTATCTATATTCACATTATCATTTATAATACCTAAGAGGTAAGAGGTATTAAGATAATAAATTAATTTAAATAATGCCTATAATATAATAAGTCATGAGCATGACTATTTATAATCCGTCCTTTGTTTGTACCTAAGTACTTGTAATATTAATGATAGGTTATTGTTTGTTATCTGTTTGCACTACAACGTGGTTGTTGTGAACTTATCGCGTGTTCAACAAATTGTATGTTAGGGTATTATTATATTATGTATGTTAATAATAATTAAATATGCATTGCCGGTACTGGTGTCCTTCTCTAGAACTTTCCTGCAAAGGCTGGCCGTCCTTACGCTTAAATACCTCTTATGCCAATTACTTACTAATATCTACCGATCTTCTCGACTAATTTCAAGTCTCACCGCTTGGATAAGGGTCCCTAGCTTAGCTTGAAAGTAGTTGAGTAAACACGTTGAATAGTTACGTAAGTAAGGCATACATATTTACGTAATATGTCTGACCTATTGTGGTAATACAAATATTTTTTTTTAAGTGGGACAAGCCCTTCACAACCTCCTAAAACCGCTGCAACTCCTGTAAGCCAGGATCTAAAGTAGATACAACCATGTAAATACAAATAATATATCACATTATTATTGTTCACAGTTAAAAATGCCATGGGACATTGGATTCTCTATAATGCGACTGTTTTGCTTGGCCTACCTCACCCCCTGCCTTATCCTGAGAGACACAGCAGTGATACTGCGCTACTACAACTCAATATTCTGGCTGTACCACGCGTTACTACTCTGTTTAATTCTAGGTGCCATAGTTATGCATAGAGATCGAGTCCTTTCTAGACGAGAATGAAATAAGCTAAGTCTAAATTATATCGTGTTTTTTAATTTACAATATATAATTTTTATGTTCCAATTTGGTTGTCTTGTTGAGTTTTAGTTTTAAAATTTTATATTTACCTATTTATAGTAATATTTTTTATACATAGTTGGCAAGACGCGCAACATCTTTGGGTACATTTGCAAAATGGAGATTGTATCTAATTTCTTAAGTAACGCCTTTTTTGATGTCGTGGAATGGAAATACCTTAAAAAGGCGTCTAGTTTTTTGGGGAGAAAGACTAGGGAGTGTGGGATTCGTACCTCACTAAAGCCACCCCGGTGGCCACCCTCAGCACCTGTTACCGGGTCTTCTGAAGAGACTTGCTCCTTAGACTTAATATCAATTTTAGGGTCCTCATACGCCGTCGAAAGGGTCTGAAGTTTTCTGATTTCATATCGAGGGGTAACGGACTATTTGGTTTAAGCGACATTTTGGTCGATATTGAGTTATATATATATATATTCGGAATCAGCGAATTTTTCTCCGTCAAATATATAATATAATAACTCAATATCGCCCAAAATGTCGCTTAAACCAAATAGTCCGTTACCCCTCGATATAATAACAATACACAGTTGTAACACCTTAACGTATAATATTTATTAACACAACATTATACAATACTAGCTTCTGCCCGCGACTTCGTACGCGTAATCCCATTTCTTCCCGTCCCCGTTCGTGATTTTCGGTAAAAAGTAAAAAAAAAGTATTGGTTAAAAAGTATCCTATGTCCGTCTCCTGGCTCTAAGCTACCTCCCTACCAATTTTCAGCCAAATCTATTCTGCTGTTCTTGAGTTATAAGTGGTGTAACTAACACGACTTTCTTTTATATATATAGATTATAACACTTACATGAAAATATAAAAACAAAATTAATTCATTACACAGTAACATTTATTGCAAATGGCTTGAATAATCACTTTTAGGGCCGATTTTTCAATGCTCAAAGAATAACTTTGGATATTCGACAATTCTCCCAAACTAATAACTGTCAAATGTCAATTTTATTCTACAGAGGCCTTTGTACGAGTTTATTTTATGTTTAAAGTAATCGAAACGAGTACGCGTTCGGCGCTCTGATTGGTTGGTTCATTAGAGCTGGCCAATCAGAGCGCCGAACAAGTACTCGTTTCGATTACTGTAAACGAAAACAAACTCTTGCTAATGCCTTTGTTAAGAATTAACTGATGACTCTGAAAAATCGGCTCTAATCTTAGTTGGATATGACACAAATAGTGTTTAGCCAACAAAACACAAAGATAACATTTATTATGTGTATCACAGATATGTAAAATGTAAGCATAACTTAATTTCACTATGGAAGACATTCGATATTGGTCGAAATCTATGATATTGCAATTTTTATATTAATCTTACTTAAAAATGTTTACTCGGCGAAGATTGTTTGAAGGACGTAAACAATATCAAATACTGGATAGGAATTGACTTCTAAAGCACAATTTGAACTTTAAAACTTACGCTCGATACTGAAAAGCGACTCAATTTTTCATAATCATCAACAGCTCATAAATGCCCACTGCTAAGCAAAGCCTTTTCTCACATGGAAGATTAGAACATTAATCACCACGCTTGCTCAATGCGGGTTGGCGATTTCAAACTTATAATTAGACATTATGAGCACAGGTTTCCTCACGATGTTTTCCTTCACCTTTGGTCAGCGGTGTCTAAATAATCTTAGAAAGTAAGTACATATAACTTGGAAAAAGTCACATTGGTGCTTGCCGTTGGTAGGTTTCGAACCCGCACCCTCGTGTACGAGAAGCAGGCGTCTTCAACCTCCGGGCCACCACGACACCATTTTCATCAATGTTTACACAATATTTATAACACAAAAACAGTACATTACTGTACCGTCTCATCCTCTTAACAATCTCCGCAAAGTTAAACTTAACAGCAAAAGCATTTACTAAGTACATAACATGTAGATATATTGACATTCACAATAATAATATGCTTAATTTTAGGCTTTGAACTCTCATTTGATATAAGTTATACTATTCTACATTATTGTCTTTTAAATAAGTACACATATTTAGTAAGTGGCTCTACGAAATGTATCATAAACATGCGGTCATATATTTGGGGATGAAATAATAAATAATGATAAATAAAATATAAAAAAAATAACTTGCGAACTCTAAATAAATTTTATGAATTTTACTAAATTAAATTGCTTATTTGATATTTAGAATACATGTCGTATATTTCCTGTAAGCCTGCATCTACAGCGGCGTGAAGCATGGAGATTGATTATCAGAGCCAATACAAACTGTAATGGACTTGGAATTATCATCGTACCATAAGACAATCGGCGAAGCGTCACTGATTCATGGTAGATGTCTCACCCACACGCACGAAGCGCTTCGCATCAAGCTTCCCTGTGCGTACTGCTAAGGAGTGGAATGCTTTGCCAGAGTCTGTATTTCCTGAAGCGTTTTTAAGGCCCGAGTGAATAGGTTGCTTATGGGACGACGTGCTCTATCGTAGACCGCATCATCGCTTACCACCAGGCAAGATAGTGGTTAAACGTCGACTCATCAAATATAAAAAAAGACTCCAAACCAGAATTCATTCTACTGGCCCCAAACATATGACCAATTTTTTTATAATCTTGAGGTACAATAGTAACAAATACATATTTATAGACAATAGTCATCCTATATTTGCTAGAAATGAACTAATATCGACTCATTTAGGACTTAGCTCTATTGCGTTGATGGTAATCTTTGGGTTCTCAATGATGTTCTTATTCTGAATGATGCGCAACTCTCTCAGTTGTGGTGGAATCTTGCCAGTGGGTTGAACGTCTGGAACAAAACACATTATAAGTTTTATTCGACTTTTCATTTAAAAGGAGAATATTTTGTGATACTGATTTACAACATTAACCTTTTTTATTTTATAAAACGTTGCCCCACTGTAAGATTTTCTCCTGTGTCGTGGGTGTGTTTACAAACATACAAGTTCACATACACATGACACCGAGACCCGAAACAACAATTTGTGGATCGCACAAAGAATTGCTCCGTGCGGGAATCGAAACCCGCTGCAGATTGCGCGGCAGCCGGTTGCTCAGCCACCACGCCAACCGTGTAGAACATAATTAAAATTGTTATATTTTGCTTATATTATTAAATTATCCCCATAATTATAATGCACGCGGAATCAAATCGAACGTTTAAAGTGTGCAAATTAATTATTACATTTTCCGTATAACACTTGACTGCATAACTAATCATGCCTAGAACTGTGTTATTTGTTTTTCTATTGAACTATAAGGAAAACGATGGAATGCATATAAAATGTCGACGTTCAGATGTGTAAGTAGTTTAAAGTATTAAAATACTATAATGGGACCCAGAATTACTCCCTGGCCCCTAATACTTACTAATATTATAAATGGGAAAGTGAGTTTGTTTGTTCCACTTTAACGCCGTAACTACTAAACCGATTGCTTTGAATTTTTGCAGACGTAAAGTTAGAATTCTGGATTAAATAATAGGGTACTTTTTATCCCGGAAAAATTTGATATTCCCGACGGAAAACAAAAGTATTGGTATAGATGGCGCTGTATGTATTGGTATATGTAACATACTATAGGCTACTGTTTATCCTTTTGTGACGCGAGCGAAGCCGCGGGTAAAAGCTAGTAACATATATAACGAACGGGAGCAATAATTAATGTTCATCTTAGTGCAGAGTAACTATCGCATTCGTAACGTAATTGTATCGAGCGCGTTCGGCGCTCTGATTGGTTGGTTCACTGGAGCCGGCCAATCAGAGGGTTTAGTACGAGTTTGTTTTACGTTAAAAATAGTCGAAACGAGACCGCGTTCAATGCTCTGATTGGTTGGTTCATTGGAACCGGCCAATCAGAATGCCGACGCGTACTAAGGCCTCAGAGCCAAACGCGCTCGATACTCTTAAGTTACGAATGCGATAGTTATTCGTACTTGGTCCTCAGTTAGGACTTTTATAAACCTTTTATCATTTTATCCCACTTTAAAACATGCTACAATTAAAAGAACTCACCTCTAGCTTTCTGATATGTATCTTTGACAATGATCTGTAGCGTAGATATCGTGTTTTCAAGCGTCAGTTTCAAGTTGTTATTAGTCTTGTGCCACCATGCAAGGAAGAGTGATGCAAACAAGTCACCAGTCCCAGTGAATGTGGCGTCCACCTTCGGAATATTAATCTGATACTGAACTCCTATGAAATAAAAAAGGAATAATCGTTTTATTCTTATAAACAATTACTGAGGGAGCGCTATTGCTATCAGAGAAGGTATAAGTGAAACGACCAGTCGTATTGAGCTGAAGGTTCTTCGTGAATATGAATGAATAATAAACAAGTTTCTACGTAAATAACTAGTGTTCATAGAATTTGACAAACTCTCGAATTTAAAACTTTCGAGATTACTGACATGGTACGACATGGCAAAGGATTTTATCAGTAATCAAGTTATTTTGAATTTTGAACCCTATTTCAATAACTTTAGATTGGAGTCAGTTAATAATAAAGAAACATACATATAAATAACGTAATAACATACCCGCTGTGCTAGCAATTCCAATCATACAGTACTCATCTCCGAGTTCTGTGCTCGAGAGAACAACAGTTTTAGGTCCCTTCTCGTGCAGAGCTTCAATTATCTTCAAAGCGTCTTGTAGGCTGTTCATCTTCATTCCTGTGATCAATTCTGCCTCAAACTGGTTTGGCGTGATGACGTCAGCTAATGGAACCACAATGTCGCGGTATACTGGCAATATATCTTCAGGTACGTACATTTTTCCATTGTCACCCATTACAGGATCACATACTGAAAATGAATAAGGTATGTAATTTTTACTCACCCCCTATTACATGGGCCTCGTAACATAAATAGTGAAAAGTGGGTGTTACATTGTATACTGGCAATTGGCATTAAGTGCTGTAATGTGCACCTCGGCCTACCCTTTCGGGGATAAAAGTAATTTTTAGGTCTAGTTATACATACCTACGTACTTGGGAATGATCTTAAGTATAAGAGTAGATGATTCTTGAGAATGTCTATAAAAATAATATAAAACGGATATTCAATCCTTTTTTTTTGAGGTGGGAAAATAATAATTCCCACATTAGGGGAGACGAGGGAGAGTGTCAGACTTTTACTGATTAAAAATCACCCCGTTTCTACTTCTGCTTCGAGCTGGAGACCTGGTAACCCGCTAGATTGTCTAGCTCCGGATTCTGTATATCCCTAAACAGTAAACTTTGCAGTTTTTGCCTTTTTCTATGGGACAATGACGTATTTATAACAAATGTATAAATATGAAATAATCTTGTGTAGGAGATGCCAGGAGAGCCATGCTTCGGCACGAATGGGCCGGCTCGACCGGAGTGATACCACGGCCTTACAAAAAACCGACGTGAAGCAACGCTTGCGTTGTGTTTCGTCGTGTGTAAGGTTACCGGAGGCCCAATTACTCCCCTCCCCTTCCCCAATCTCCCCAATCCCTGAATCCCCAACGATCCTCAAACTCCTAATCCCCAAAAGGCCGGTAAGACACTTGTAACGCCTCTGGTGTTGCAGGTGTCCATGGGCGACGCCAATTGTTTACCATCAGGTGATCCGTCTGCTCGTTTACCGGCTTATGCCATAAAAATATAGGTAGGTACTAATGCAAGTAAAGTAATAATAGCTTTTGTAGTAAAAACACTTGATTTCTGAAATTCCTGTTTCCATTGTTTTCAAATGAATTGCTGTGTGTAATCCGATATCAGCGAATTGCAATTGTGCAAACATCTCTCATTTCCTATATTGTCAGTTTATGAAATTCGTGGGAAATGTTTACCTAAACTGTTACCTATGTTAGAGAACCGTAGACAGATGGATGTAGAAACATCCAGATCGAGAAGTCTTTAAAGTTCTACTTTGTAGCAGTAATAATCCCCTAGGCTCAGATAGGTGACACTTAACGATATTTTGGTTTTCATCAACCTGTAAGTGACACCATTATAGGTTAGTTTAAGTACTTCTTGATGCTAAATAACTCTTAGTTAACATATGGTTTGGGGGTGGTTAGTGAAAATGATCATAAGAAACCATTATTTAAACATGTCATAATTTATATTGTTCTAGTGAAAAGTACCCCGTGCCCCGTAAGCATATGTTACCAGCGAATTCTTGGGTATTTCGATCACATTGTCCGCCGCCAACCAGATAACCTCGACAAGTTAATTGTTGTTGGTAAGTTCGAAGGAAAAAGCAAGTGGCCGATCACACAGCTGATGGTGTGACCACGTTATTAATATAATTAGTAACTCACTGTTAAGATGGAGGGAACAGAGAGCAATGAAAGCCTTTCAAGAGAAGACCCTCAGAAATGAAGCAAACGATCGAAAAGAGAGTGAAAAATATTGGTATTTCTAAGGAAAGCATTGAATCTCGTAAATACACATACAATACGTATTGTCAAGGTTCTTTCAGATTCTTCCATTATCGGAAAACAATCGTGGCTATCGAGGTGAACCGATCACCAGCCTGATTGTTAATTTTATTACGAAAGTTATGATAAATATGAAATATGCACCTCTACAGAGCCTTTATTGGTAAAACAGGCTTGATTGTTATACTGAACCAATGAAACAATGTACCTAACCGAGAATTGTATTGTGAACCTGATTGAAAAATAGTACCTAACCTTGCTCGTTCTTCTTCATAGGAATCTACACTTTGGAACGAGCAAATAGCTTCACTAAAGAACTGACCGAGAGACGGGTATTTTTTAGTATCTCAATATTTTGCTATGACGTTCAAAAGTGCCTGGTCGAATTGAAATAAATGATTTTTTATATAAAGCTGAAGAGTTTGTTTGTTTGAATGCACTAATCTCAGGAACAACTGGTCCGATTTGAAAAATTATTTTTCTGTTGACGTACATACATAACATCACGCCTTTTATCCTCAAAGGGGTAGGCAGAGGTGCACATTATACCACTGTACAATGTAACACCCACTTTTCACTATTTATGTTATGAGTCCCATGTAATAGGGGGTGAGCCTATTGCCATATACCGGGCACAGATCCAGACTCCGTGCTACTACTGAGAATTTTTTAAAAACCCAGTAATACTTTGCCCGACCCGGGAATCGAACCCGAGACCCCTTGCTCGGCAGTCGCAATTGCGACCACTCGGCCAACGAGGCAGTCCCGAGTAAAACCCGAGAAGAGTATCACTTTACTGTTGAATAGCCCATTTATCGAGGACGGCTATAGGCTATGAAACATTACGCTACGATCAACAGGCGCCGAGCAGAGCGGGTGAAACCGCGCGGAGGTAGGTTTAATGAATATAGGTATTCCGATGTTATGAATATGATAATTGATAACAAACTGATTCGTTTATCGATTTGTTGCAAGTGCGACTGCCGAATCTATCTGTCTCGTCTCGGGTTTGTTTACAGTCAGGTAAAACAATTTTTTGGTTTTAGTGTATAGTACAGGGTGGAATTGCGCTCGGAGGTTAAACTGTCAAACACCAAGCGGTCACCGGTGACCGCGACCTATTGTTCTTTAATTGTGTCTATAAAACCGGTACTCGACGAGTTAAAAGGTGATGTCACTTATGTCATTTAATTAATACTGCCTTTATGTTTATGATGTGAATATGATAACTAATGCCTTTCCGCTTCGATAACCTTACAAGATGATTATATGACAATGGAATACTTATCATAAGACCTTTAACAGATAAAGTCGTATAAATGGATACACCGTAGTAAACATTAGGTTATTTGAAATAAAAACATTGTTAATACTCATATCAGTACATCTGTGTTCATTAACAAGCAAAGCAAAATATAGTCACATGTCTGCCAGTGACGCAAGATTTCGTAAAGCCATGCCAGAGAAAGGTCAAAGACCAATTAGGTTTGTTAATTGTTTATTGGAGAAGTCCCTATGTACTAATCAATATTATAATATGGCATTCCATAACCCATTGTGTAGAACCTATGCAACACAATGGTGTTGACGGAAGACCCGATCAAATGATCAGTGTCGCTGATAGTCGTTGGATCCATAGGTTAATTGGTTGGTTTATAGTTTGGCATGGTGGAATCAGAGGGGCCATTTTTCTGCAGTCATTTGACTGAAGTAATTTTTCAAACTATCATTTCTGTTTAAGCAGACCTATTTCAATAAGGGAAGAGGTAGACTTTATTTCAAATCATTCAGTTAATTGTTAACAAATAAATTAAATGGGATAAAGGGAATGACCACTTGACAGCAAACATGACGTCCAGTAGCATGTTTTAGCCATCAAGATTAGTTAATCGCCTTTTAAATTATTATTTTATAGTATGACTGATATTTATAGAATTAACTTTTATTTTCTCTCTACTATCAATTTAACTTTATTCAAGATTGTAAGGAGAGGTCAGTCAGGCTACACACTATCAGTAAAATTGTAAATATTTAGTGATCATGTGTGGTAAGCATTGTTTTCGAATTTCATAATGTATGTGTTTATGCCACTTATGACATGTCGTAATAATACAAACACTTTATAGTGTGACATCTTTAGTATAGTCACTATAGTGAGTAATATTGTAGTTATAGTTTTCAAGGTTTCTTCCTCAGTTAGTCACATATCGTTGTTTATTAGTTTGATGTTTACTTAGAATATGCAATATTGCATATATGGATTTCTATTTCCTGCATTACAATATTTTCCTTGAACTACATAGAAAAGCAAATGAAATTTAAACTTACCGTAGTTTAGATTAGGGTTCTTTTCCCTTAACTTTTTGAGAATTTCTACAATTTTCTTCAATGAATCAGGTGATCTTGAGTAGCCAGTTAGGAAATGAGTGTAATAATCTACTTCGTTCATAGTCAACCCATCTATGAGGTCATCCAACTCTTCGTTTTTTAAACTTTGTCCTTTTATATGTTTGTAGGCAGTGTGTGTTGAGAATTGGACAGTATTTATGAAATCTACTTCAAAACCTAACACCTGAAAAAGAAGTTTTATTAAAAAAAACCTTTTTAATATTTGTTCATACATCATCATTAACTGCTAACCAAAGGACTCTTCTCACACAGAGAAGGCTTGAGCATTAATCACCATGCTTGCTCAATGCAAGAGGCAATTTACAATAACTAGAAATTATAGGTTCAGGTTTCCTTACAATGTTTTCTTTCACTGCTTATCAGTGGTGTTTAACTCGTCGAGTACCGGTTTTATAGACACAATTAAAGAACAATAGGTCGCGGTCACCGGTGACCGCTTGGTGTTTGACAGATTAAATGATCTTAGAAAGAGCATATAACTCGGAAAAAGTCACATTGGTACTAGGATGGCCTGCTTTTAATAGGTTTCAAGCCCAACCCTTCATGACCATGAAATTTTGAATTATTACCAACCATAATCAATTTTATTTTCTTCTACAACTAGGCAAACCATGACTTAGGTGCAGTATGTTTAAAAAAAAATTTAAACACTTAAGTAATGTGATGACAATTATCATTATCATTTGGAAACAAGTTTTTATTTATTATTTCTTATTCATTGTCATTGTCTTCAAGGTTATCTTGGAGAGAACTAATTTAGTCTCTAAACATGACATTGAAAGTTCATTCAATAAAAAATGAAGATTAGAATATTCTAAATGATTGTGATAAGGAAAGATTTGAAGTACTTGCACGATACAAGTGCCCTTATGGTTTCATTAATTATTGTAAATATAATTTTATACATAAATCATAAATTATTTAGTTTCATAAATATTGTCAGTTATTATATAAAACACATGACAATATAAAATTAAATTAAATACAAGGTCACAGTTAAAAATAATGACCTTATAAAAATATTGAATCAAAAACAAGATACTCAAGGTATTTTGTTATAAAAAGTTGGTCAGCAGTATTCTAATTGCATAACAAAATATAAATGTGATTGAGTGTTCACTAACTATCAGAAAACAGTAAGTATCTAAAATATTTAATTATTAAATGAAATAATAATAGAGAATGATAGGTTACCTGAAGTGGAAAAACAGCACTTTTGTTACCAACATAGCCATGTACTACATGACTTTGAATAGATAATACTCTTGGGGTATCAGAAGACATGATTCTTGAGGATATACACTAAAACACTCAATAAAATAAAACAACTCTCGCGAACAGTCGTGCGACACAGACCGCGACGAGGTAGGCGACTGAATCAAATTATGATACTGATGTCTGCTCACGGGCGCTCGCTCATAAACAACTAACGATATTTCCAAAAAGAAAAATGATAAGATAAGAACCGTGTGCACTCCTTTATCGTAATTATAATCGAACTAGTTTCTGCCAGCGGCTTCGCCCGCGTCCCCGTAGGATAAAAATTAGTCCTAAGAGTATAGTAAAGTAATATAATATGAGTAGCCTACGTGTTATTCCACACTCTAATCTACTCTTGTTCCAAATTTCATCTCGATCACTTTAGTCGTTTTCACGTGATTCAGTAACAAACGTACTAACTAACAAACTTTCGCATTTGTAACATTTTATTTTTATTTTATTAGTAAGTCTAAGTTGCGATTTGACGCAGAGTCAATGACATTGATTTGACTTTGACATTGACAAAAATACAATAGACATGTTGAATGTTGCAAATGAATAAATGACGAAAGTTAGGTTTATCGGAATGATTAAAAAATGCTATTTTGTATGACATGACCACAGAAATAAATAATGATAAAAAAATCAATATTTAGTTCTAGGTTTAGTTTAAATCTAGGTTAAAAAATAATTGTTTTTTTCAGTTTTAACATAACATTTATATGTTGTTTTTACAAGTGGCTTTCAATTAAAAAACATTTTACGTGATACAGAAAAGCATTTAATTTTTTTATTTGGTTGAAATACAAAATACAAAACTTATTGCATCAAATAAAATATGTATTATCTTAACATAAGAAAAAACTATAAATATTGATAAACAAAACAAAACAGGAATGATTTTTCTATTTATGAAAGAGGAATTATTGGTTACTACTAGTACTAGTGCTGCTAGCACTGGTCGGTTGTTCTTGTGTCATTTCGTAAGCTCTTTCTAATGTATCTGTGATAATTTTCATATCATTCTCAATGCTTCTTGCCCAGTTTTCTACATCTCCAATTTCTTTGAGGGCACTACTAAAGTTTTCTACAAGAGCTAGCCATTGTTGTGTTTGCTTAGCAAAGTTGATAGCACCTTGGTGCAGTAGTTTTGCTTCAGCGTCTAATTTCTTTTGATTTAGGTAGGCTTGGGCCACTCTGTAATAGACAAAATAAAAATGTATAATTTATTGCATACCACATTTATTGCGGCTTCTCTAAGGTATTTATTGCCTCATATTACGTGCGATTGATAACAAAATATAAATGTAACATTTCATTTTGTTCATGTTCATTTACAGGAATAAGAGTATTGATTCACTAATGTATGATTATCAAGTTGTGCATAGAGACACAACCAAATTAGAGAGTATTAAACCTAGAAGTGAATACATACCCAACATTTAGATGGTCAACAAGTGCTTGAGTCAAATCATTTGCAGCAGCTATACATTCTTTTCGTTTTTGTTCTGAAATAACAAAGGAATCAAGTCATTTTCTTTAAATATAATCAATCATGTGTATACACCTAACAAGACAAGTGAAGATTATGGTAAACCATCATAACATGTAGATGAAGCCTCTAATCAAGCAGTACTACCATAAGTTGTTGATATATAGTAGTATATAAGTACAGCAATAGTTACCTTGTATAACTCTTTTTGAAGCTTGTTTTACTTGATGTTCTTTAATTAGTGACGATAACATTTTGGTACTTCTAAGGAATGTTTTTGTTTTGCACACCACTTGTTTGGATTGGACTTATACTGTCTTCTTTACTTAAGGATTCCTATAGACTGACTAAGTAAGATACACAATCTATTTATTACGTACTGTTTACAGTAAATTATAAGTTTAGTAAAATATTTTCGCTATTTGTTGATGTTGCGTATTATGACTTTTTGACATTTTGACATAGATCGGACAATATGTCATAGATTTGTGTTTTATGTCAGTGTCATTCTCACACTTGTCTTTGATGTATAATGTTGCTATTGTTATAAAATCGTAGCTTGCGTTCAGAATGTTCGCAAGAATATTTTAACATCAATAAGTGGTTTTGGCGGAATCTAAAAAATGTCGAAAATAAATGTATAAATGTACACGGAATATATTTATTACATTATTAGTCTATGCCTTTAACTCCCTGCCCTGGAGCTGCATCTTGTAGGCACTCTGATGCTTTTCCCCCCTTTAAAAAAAAAACATTATGAGTCTCTCCATAGATTAATATAAAATTGATGGTTGAGAAAGATGATTTATATTAATGTTCTTATATGTTTGACTGATTGGACTAAATTACAAATTGGAGCTACTATGATGATGTTACAAATCAATAAAATATGAAAACTGACTGTGTGAATTTATTTGTATCGATCTACCAAAACCTGCAGAAGCACAACATCACACCATCTTATAGCTTTTGTTTTAAACAACGTCTCCCCACACTAAGATTTTCTCCTGTGTTGTGGGTTTACAAACATACAAGTTCACATACACATGACACCCAGACACGGAACAACAATGTGGATCACACAAAGAGTTGCTCCGTGCGGGAATCGAACCCGCGACTCGTTGCATGGCAGCCCAGCCACCGCACTAACTGTGTTGTCGAATAGTCGAATAGCTCGTAGATGTAAGTAGTGGTGGACACATTAAATGTAAAATCTACTTTTTGGGTTCCAAATATTTTTGGGCAAATAAAAGAATCGATGGGCTTAAATGTAATATTATGAAGAGTACTTTTATAGAGTTATGATGCAAGTACCTATCTAAAAAGAAAAAAGTGGAACCCATAACAGCATCGTTTTGTTATGAGGTGCTTACCTCAGGGTTACGTTCATACGTAACCCTTCTTACCCTTGCTTGCCCTTCAATCTGATGAATCTGATGATTGAAGGGCTTGATGTGGACATTGCTTAACATAATAGGTAGTACCTATGTAGGTATTATACGTACCTACATATAATGATATTTTTTAACCGTTTAGCCATGTGGAGATACAGATACAAGAAACTGTTTAGTGTTTATTAATATGAGTACTAAATTCCGTAGTTTTGGGTCTTGTAGAGGTACATATTTTTTGTGTATATGCGTCTCCTCGGTTTAAAGCACTTGTCTGAATAAAATTGTCTTTTTAATAAATATAATTACTTTTAACAGGTAAACAAACTGAACATTGTATAAAATAAAGTGAACTCATACGTGCCTAGGGAGAAATTAACGATAGATACCTCACGAGCTCCACAACAGCTGTTCTTCGAGTTTATCGGTAAAGATGCGGTTAATTTATTATTTACAACTGTCGCTAGCGGACTCCACTTGTAAGCGTACACGATTGCATTGCATTAATTATACCTCGCTAATGGAAGAGGCCAATATCGATTTTCGCTTATCGCTTACGATGGTGCCAGCTGCGAACCATTGGAAAAAGATTTCAAGCTTGTTTCATTTTACTCATTTATGTATAGAGCTGATAGGGCGCAAATTCTATTGTAGCTTGCCGATAACACAAAGCGGATAAAGAAAGTCCGTTCGTTATTTCACAAGGAAAATACATTTTTCCACGGAAAAATACTAGTGGAACATAAATTTTTGTACATATTATTATTTTTCAATTACAATGATCAGATATCACCCTTAGTATTACAGTCTTCATTAAAAATAAATTGAGAACAAAAAATAAATTAAGCTGTCTTCCTATTTTCTTCACTGTGGCTGACCGCAGCATATTTTTCTTTGAGTTTCTCTGTGAATTCAGGGTCGTCCCAGCCCCAGAGGTGGTGTGTACCGTCCCCAGTACGGTGTGCACGCTGCTTTATAATTTCAGGGGACACGTATTTCAAGTCGTATGCTTGTCCGATCTGCGGAGAAAAGAAATTATTCATGATTTATTTAAGTTAGTTAAGAGTGATTAGAGCAAAATTCTGTGAAGAGAATAGTACCTAGCATTGTGTCGGGTTACTGTGCAATAGCAATTGACTAAGATAGTTTTAGGTCTAGTTTTTACGAAATGATTTCGTCTGAGTAAAACTTTTATCTGTTTTGAGAAGTCTAGAATTATTTTTCTGCATAAACCTCTTACTACTCTTTTCTTCCTTTGATGGCAACCAAATATTAATGAAGACTAATTTTATGGATATTTTTGAAAATAAAAGCGTTTTTATACTCCTTTGTTTTTATACTAACATTATAATTATAGTTTTAAGCATGCAACGAATCATAAGAAATGTTTTGATATTTCGGTGCCAAAACTAAAACTTGCACCCATAAAATCTTATAACAAGTTCCAGCTCCAAGTTAAAGTTTTGCTAGCAGCATAGTTCAAGGAAATAAGTGGCTATTACTAGCGTACAATCAGGTCGGTATCGGGCTGCCAAAGTTTAATATTCAGCCGGTGATATTTTAAACTTTGCCGCCTTATTTGCTTTTTAATTTTAAATAAAGTATGGCAACCCTACTGAGGCTGACCGCGCAAGGGTTGTGCCTATTTATTTTTCTGCTGTACACTTTGTTAAATGGGGCCCAATGAGTACATACCTTTGCCATGAGGTCGATGAACACGATCGTCGGCGTGAGCATGTTATACAGGGGAAGTTCAGTCGCTCGGTAGTCCCATGGGAAGGTGTGGTGATAGTTGTGGAAGCCTTCAACACAGATCATCCATACTCCGATGTTTTCACGTGGGTTCAGTGACCTAAGAGAAAAACATATTTTTTGTTTTTAAGTCTTGCAAAGCGTCTGAAATGCTTTTAACGACTCACTCTATTTGATAAGTAGGTACCTACCTACGTATACAATTTTACTTTACCGTGAGTAGTCTTATGGAGGTCGAAGGCCGTTTAAAGATAAGAAAAAGTGTTTTACAACAGTATTTCAGTACCTAGATAGATAGATGGAAGTAAGGTACCTACTCTACAATTCTACCAACTGACTTTTTGGAGCTTGAATTTAATTTTGTTTTGATTAAATTAAAAATATCGGAAAATAAAAGGTTTTCTCAGGATCACTCAATCATACATTACATTCATAATCCACGAATGATTTTCAATAAATTAAGAATGTACCTACCTATAAGTAAATAGAATAGGTATTATAGTTTAACTTTAATTTATGAACGACAATTAATACCTAACAGTCAGGTAAGGATTTAATCTATCTATACTATTACCTACTCATTCAAAACTAGCTCACCGCCTGTGGCTTCACCCGCGTAGTATTTAATTTTTAAAAGGTTTGTTTCAATTAGATAAGTTTCTCGAATTCATAAGCGTTCCTTTTTCTGTTCCAGTGAAATAGAAATTCGGAAACCAATTAGAAATGAATTTGAAAAGAAATTAGCGTCTAGACATATTTGTTACATCTCACGAGGATTGTATATAATTGTAAGTACACATAAATACATAGTTATCTATGTTATTACCCCCTAAAAGTAGGTAAGATAACTAATTATCAAAGATTTATTAAAATCAATCCGGTAGCATTGGACAAAGAAATATTAAAAAAGTATTGAAGCAAGGACGTCAAAATAAAGGCGGAAGTAATGTATGTGTATTCTGCCACAGTCGTTGTTTTAGGAGGCTATGTTCGCCTTTATTTTAACGTCCTTGTAATGGAGCATCTTAAAAGGAAACAAACAAACATTTCGTATTCAATAATTATATACTTAGTATAGAAACGTCTGAACCGTTAATCGGATTACTGGGAATAATAACAGTGTAATCAATTGCTAGTGTTGTAGTTCTACTTAATCGTAATGTATAATTCATGAACCATTATCGTCTGTAATTGATTCAAAGTGATGACACCAACTGATTAGGTTACTTAAGGACTGTCTATTTTTAACCTGACCTGGTTTTCGGCTGGAAAATTGTGTTTATGTAGGTATTTATCTTAGTACCTAATAGTTATGATGATATAGCTATTATAAAACCGATTCTTTTTTCGGATAGACTTAAAGATCGTCTAGTTACTTTTTCTAGGTATGCTATTAGTTTTGAAATTACATGTTATAATCAATTGGGCACCTACAAGTGGTAGATAGAAAAATAGATTTAAATAGTGGAGAGAGTGATTTTTCAGGATGATTCAAAAAGAAATTGAACTCACGTACAATTAAGTACAGCGGGCAAAACTACGGACAAAAGGCTAGATATTTACAATATTATGAAAGTAGCTCTTACTTGTCATAGGGCCTGTACCCGAAGGTGTGTGCGAAGCTGTTGACGCTCCATACCACGTTGATACCGCATGTGTACCTCAAGATGGTGGGGATGAAGAAAGCATTCGTCCAGGTCTCGCCCCAGAAGTAGACTGGTATCACAGTTGGCAGCACGAAACATAGGAGCGGCATCATTTTCATGTAGTGCCTGTTGGGAAAGGGTTTGTTAGTGAAGGCCAGTTTAAAATAACATCAAAATACATAGGTTAAAAAATCTTTTAGGAATCCCTAATATTAGAACCTGATACAATAATTAATCTCTAGGCATGACACACACCGATATTCAAATTCCCATCCACCTGGAACTGAGTCTCAATATATTTAAAGGAACGTGTTCTGACATAAAAATGACGAGGCTCACATTTTTCAACACGCAACCTTCAACTCCGGCAGACTATCAACATTTCAACGTAAAAACAAGTTTAAATTTATGCTGACACCAACTTTGTTTCTCACTTCATAGTGCTCCCGGCATAACGCTTTTTGAAATAGGGACGTGCGCTGATAAAATGAAAACCTCCGCTTTTCACTGGACATAAACTACACGAGAATAAATGTTATTTAACTTAAACTTTCCGAGAACATTGTGGGTGGTACAGACTTCAGTTAGTCGTGTTTCTTTATTTAACCCCCTCCATTTAAAAGACAAGTCTTAGAAAAATATGTTTTGCTTTTCTTTTAATACCCAGTACACCAGTGGCTTTTGTAAGCGTACGTATAAATATATTGGAGACAGAACCGGCGACAACCGCTCTGGGAGACTTATGGTTTCAGTTTTAGCAGAGAATTCTGGAGGATATTAGATAATCGTAGTAATATGACCCGTATTTGTAGGGACAGTATTTTCGTATGAGGATTTTCTTTTCGTTGTAGTTCTAATATTTTTTCGATCAAATAAACCTTCAGGTTTATCTAGCAAATGCCTATATGGACAGAAGCGGACTATAATTTATCTACTGGTGACATATTGTGAACGTGCTGGTACACATTGTTTGTTCAGCGCTTCAGATCCATTTACTCAACATGGTTTTTAATATTGCGTCGAAACATTATTTCTATATACTTTTATTAACTTACTTTTTCTGGAACATTACGACGGGATCGGCATATAAATCCGTGAGATCAATTCGTTTTCCTCCTTCGATAACTTCGGGGCTCTTTTTGCAGCATAGCCAGCCCATGTGTGAGAAGAAGAGCCCCCGCTCCGCATTGTGCGGGTCGGCGTCAGTGTCTGCATACTTGTGGTGAGTGCGGTGGTCGCGTGCCCACTCGAATATGCAGTCCTGGTACATGGAAATGATAAAATGTTTGGAATATTAACGAAATTCCTTTAACACCTGGAAAATGGGAGGAATTTTAATGCGTTGTGGATGTAAAGTGTGGCTTAAAAACGGTTTGGAGGTGATTTTCTTGCATAATTATGTTTCTTTGGAAATGAAAAGAACACGATGGGTTTTGGTTTGCTTTACATTTTTCATTTAATTCTTGGAATACGTATCAACTTTACTAAGAAAGTGATTAAAAAAAAACATTGCCCTACACTAGGATTTTCTTAGGATTTTGTCCTGTACCGTGGGTGCATAGATATAATAAAACTTTTATGTGCGTTTACAAACATACAATTTCACATACACATCGTAGGTACTTACGTAATGCCAAAGAACTTCACTCAAAGTGTGATGTAACTATTACATTCTACCCGTTACATAAACTAAGTCAACAGTACCTACAATAGCACTTAATGTAACAGTACCTATAGAATAACTAATTAAACTTGATGAGCACTGCTAATGATTTGTGCAAACGCCCTTCTCTTGAGAGTCTGGTTTGACAATATTATTAGCATTTACAGTAGCATATTATGTTTTGATGTCTACGCATTCTCATTTACGTACGATAGACAAACAAACTCTTAACTAAATGGTAAATAATACTTATCATTTTCTTTTTTTCAGCGGAAAATGAACCTTAGAAGGTACGGGTAAGTCGGGGTAAGTAAGCAAACTTTGCAAAGGTTGGAAAAAGTTTTAGTCGTCTAAAAAGGTCTAGAATTTCTGCCTAAAAGTATCTTGTATAGGCATGCAGGTAACTTAAAAGACAGTATTTTATTGAATACTGTTTGAGAAACTAAATTCCTGATTTCTAAAATCGAAACTTCGATAATGCTGTGAGTACAGCTGTACAAAGTCAAACTCAAACCATTTCTTTCAATTAATCGTTAATTAGGCAATTTTGAAACGTCAAAAATTTAATTATCCCTAAATTACTCCTTCTAAAGTGTAGTTTCCAATGGAGAAGAACAAGCAAGAAACCCATTCGTTAGGTACTCTTTAACACTTTCAGACCGGCGTGTACCACCGGTGGAGCACGGAGTATTTGCTGCCACGGCGAGGTGTACCACCGGTGGTACACGCCGGTCTGAACGTGTTAAAAAAAAGACGATTTGGGGTTAAATAAGAGACCTCAAAAATATACGTATGATTCGGCAAATACTTTTAGTCCTATAGGGATGAATTACACATAGCTAAGCTGCCTACCTGAAAGCCCATCGTCTGCCATAGCATAAGGACTATGCGTAGCGGAGTGCGAGCCTTAAAACACCTGTGTGTCCAGAGACGATGAGATCCTGCACCAATACCAATGGCGCACATTAAATGGACGGCAAATGCTGAAAAGAAAAAAAAAATATTTAAAATTGGAGTAAGATTGAAAAGCATTATGGATCTAGCTGATGCAGGCACACTGCGTGGTTGTTATAGAATAGGAAAGACGTATAATTTATTTTATTTTGTATTACTTAAATACTTAAATGGTTCTGTAATTATTTTTGACCAAGATCAATTAAAGAACTATTACTAAAGCTCTCACAAAGTTTTAAGAAAGTTAGTAGTTAAGTAGTCGACTAGTCTATGAAATTAGAACAAAAAAAATTAAGTTCATAAGTAGGTACTTACCAAAAACATTAGTTTGCCATTTAGCCGAAGTGAAGACGAGATATAATCCGTAAAGTGACGCGATATGTAGATACAGGAACCAAAATATGTTAAACCACACATACTCGTGTTTCCTAGGACTTGCGTTTTTTAATACTGACACGTCTTTCGCTAGCCCTAAGTCTGAAGTTTGCGTGTCGGACTCGAAGACTACTCCGCTAGGCACGGGATCCACTTGAGGAGGCATGATCTGTGTAAATAAAAAAATATCATAAGCAAGTTAGTGGCTGATGTTAGACTGTATTTTTATTATAAGAATAGATAAAAAATTTGAAAAACTGAAAAAAATGTTACAGCTATAAAATGTAAAAGACATCTATTAAGCATTTGACCCCACTAAAAATGAGTAGGTAAGTACATAGCTTTATTTTAACGAAGCTAGAACAAGTATAATTTTCTAAAATGAGCACTAATAATAATAAGCAACTAAACTAACAATCAAATACGAAAACAACGCAAATAATTGAAAGGAAACTTTTCTTATAAATCTCCCATTTTTTACCGAATTACATGGTAAGACAAATTTCTAAGAAAAAATCTAGACTTGAAGGATTTAAAGCCCTACTTAGCGATACAATTAAATAGCTTTAGTCTTGTAAGTTGGATAGCTACGAAGTTCAAACTTGTTCAGACTTATAATTGCACTTGTTAGACCGGCAGATGCATTTGATTACCTCATTAAGGATTTCAAATAAAGTTTTTCTTACATTGTTATTGGGTAGTATGAATTCATTGAACGTAGAGTAATATTGGTTCAAGGAGCTAATTGGTTAGATCCTCGACTCCACTACCTCGTTGGCCGAGTGGTCGAGGAACGATTCCCGGGTCGGGAAAAGTACTACTGGTTTTTTTAATTTTCAGAAGTGGCACGGAGTCTGAAAATGTGCCCGGTATATGGCAATAGGATCACCCCCTATTACATGTGACTCATAAGTCATAACATAATTAGTGAAAAGTGGGTGTTACATTGTACAGTGGCATAAAGCGCCGTAATGAGCACCTCTGCCTATCCCTTCGGGGATAAAAGGCGTGATGTTATGTTTGGTTAGTTCCGAGTAAAAAGGAATACCTAGGTAATCACTTTTCAGTCTTCTGGCTCAGGTATAGCGAAACGGTAGAATATTTTGTAAGAAAAATATTTTCTAGGAAACATTTTCATTAATATGGATTTTCTTAGTAAAAGCGTAGGTACTATAAGCATGTATTGGACACGAGTTTTAATAAGAATTTACGATATTTGAAGGATTATGTTTAGAACACGACATTTTCCTTCCAAAGCCACACACTTCGAACGCGTTCACTATAAACTTTGATAAACGTTAACACATGTTTGTGAATTAAATTAAAAAGATAAAAAAAATCACTGTACTAGAATATTTAAGTAAGAAAAATAATAATAAAATGAGAGTATATTGTGAATTAATTTATAAATATTTAAAAGGAACTTAATATATTTTTTTACACTGTTTAGAATACTATGTTACGATTTAACTCGTCGAGTACCGGTTTTATAGACACAATTAAAGAACAATAGGTCGCGGTCACCGGTGACCGCTTGGTGTTTGACAGTTTAAGCTGTGTATAAAACTGGTACTCGACGAGTTAAATAAAAACATAATAATAAAATGGGAATATATACCGAAAATAAATTACTTATTAGACCTACCTCCTCCTTATATTTTTAAAGGGATCTTATTTGAACAAATGTTGGACACACACTGATTTCCTATTCCTGTCGTCCTGGTATATATAGGGAACAAATAAAATAATTAGAATTTCAAATAATGCAAGTAATGGGTGATATGGGCGCTTGTAAAGTGGGTCGGCAGTGTTTCGTAAAAGTTCATTGTATTGTAAACACATGATTTCTATGTTAAGTTAATCAGTTTCATACATTTGTTAATTAGTTCAACGACCTATATTAAGGGATTTGGTTGTGAACTTTGTTTAGTTTTTATTTCCTTACTTGATTCATTTTACAAAACCTATTGTTGTGGGGTTGTAATCCAAAGTGTAGGTTTCTTATGTTAAACTTATGTCATAAAAGAAAAAAAAACCACACATTGAGCCCAATTCGAAATTAAATTCTTATTTCAATATTCGAACTGAATTAGAAATTCAAATCTAATTTCGATTTCCGAAATAACGAATCTATAAATATACTCATCAGCGATTGGGCCTGACCAAGGCCTGCCAATTAACAACTGTAGTCACAACCATTCGGCAGTCGAGAGTAGAAAAAGAAGGCAACAAATTTATAAAAGACAAAGAAATAAATAACAGCATCATTTATTCACTAATTCCCTAGCAAGTAAACATGTCGGGCGCACGTTTAATAACATTTCCCATGCGATATTTAGGATATATCGCGGTCGGTTACCGACCATGTATCGCCGAGTCTTATTGCGTTTTAGACGTACGGTACGTAACCGGCCCGGCCGTCCGGCGGAATCCATCGCCACTAGTAATTTCCGGCGAGACCGTCCGGCGAAATACGGTTGTAGTTTGGTGGCATCGACTTATTACGTGGATAGGTTATTCGATATTATTATTTTCTCTAAATGACTTGCATTGCTTTCTGTGATTGCAAATATTGTTTGAATGCTAGGGGAGGCCTTAACGGGCTGCCGGGACTGCGGCTTCGAGCCAGAGTAAGAACGGTGTGGTTTCTTTATCAGTAAAAAGTCTGACACTCCCTCTCGCCTCACCCGAGCGGGAGAAGTCATTGGATGATTTTCCTCCCTCAAAAAACGGTAATTATTAATTAATTAATTTATTTAAGAAGATTTTATTCGATTATAGAAAGAGACATAGGTATTCACTTTCGAAAATTGCTCTCTTTAGAACCATTAAATAGTGAAATTCTTTGCCATTCTGCCGTCTTCAAGGCCCAGGAGAATAGGTTGCTTATGGGGAAACGTGCCCCATCGTAGGCTTCATCATTGCCACTTACTACCCGGCGAGATAGCAGTCAAACGGCACCTATAATTGCAATTATGTATATTTCAAGAACTTTATATTAAACAGTTATAATTCGCCGCAGTTACAATGAAAACCAATGACTCACAAATTGTACATGATAAAGTTTTCATTGTATTTAATTAGGTGTTTGTATCTAAGTAAGTCATAATTATAATAAGTAAATAAGAAAATATAATTACATAGATAATTAACTTTAAGTGGAGAATTAGAAAGTAATGAGTAAAATAACATTCACTATAGAACATTTATCAAAGTAGGCAGAGGGTTCTGACCTCACTCACCTGGCTTACATTGCATCAGATTAGCTACTGTAGTATCCAGGAATGCAAATGCTGCGTAATGGAGCGAATTGTTAGCATATTCTGTATTAATCCATGTTCTGTGTGGTATCAAATAGATAATAATGTACAACAGAATTGGCATTTATTGAAAGAGATTTAATTTTAACGTTGGATTTTGTTATACATGTTTATGTTATCTGTGGCAAGCTGGCCACTTTCAATAGGGAAAGCTATTTATGTTTTTTCGTTTTAGTAGAAATATATATTGAGTGTGTTTCTGACTAGCTTGTTTAATTTATACAATAAATAATTATTGCATTATATATTGAAAATGCAATAACGATGCCAAATATGCCAAATGCCAACCCGCATTGAGCAAGCTGCAAGCGTGGTGATTAATGCTCAAACCTTCTCCGTGTGAGAAGAGGCTTTGCTCAGCAGTGGGCACTTATAGGCTGTTGATGATGGTATTGAAAATATATAGCAGATTTGAAATAACTTTCTTTCTGATTTGTGTTAAAGCATGCATTTCTTGTTTCATGTAGTAGGTATATATGTTAAGACCCTAAACGGTTTAACCTGTGTTTGTGGTGGAATATCATCACCATCAACATCATTATCTCACTTCCGTCTACTGCTTGACCTTTTTAATGGAACGCCACCAAACTCGATCATCAGCTTCACCCATCCAATCACTGCTAGCCACACAGCGGATATCGCCACTTCACCATGATGGAGGGCGCCATATAGTACCTACGTCTAATTTAAAGGTCATCAGTTATTAGACAAAAGTGACCAGCCCACTAATAACATGAAATCACGCCTTTTATCCCCGAACGGGTAGGCAGATTATGCAACTGTACAATGTAACACCCACTTTTCACTATTTATGTTATGAGTCCCAAGTAATAGGGGGTGAGCCTATTGCCTTATACCAGGCACAATTCCAGACTCCGTGCTTCTAGTGAGAATTTATAAAAAACCCAGTAATACTTTGCCCGATCGAGAGCACCCAAGACTCCTTACCCGGAAGTCGCACTTGCGACCACTCGGCCAACGAGGCAGTCAAATGCGACCGGCCCACAAATATTAAAATATATAACTGCCTGATAAAATATATAGCTATTTTGTATAGGAAAACACACAGTTCTAGATTACAGAACTCGTAGAGGAAACTTGGAGAATGTTCGCCCATTCCAATAAGTTTATTTTTATGTAAAGACAATGAGATCGTAAATGAATCGGATTCTGATTACCATTGTAGTTGCTCGATTAGGCTGGGACGGGTGGTCGTAAACCGTTTGATAGTATACTACTCGTAAAAACAATATGTAACGCAAGGGTTCGTCGAATCTATTTCGAACTAGACCGTATGTCGAAAGTTAAATAATACATTTCCTTTGTCATTTATTATTTATTTCTTTGTATACGTAATAGATGGATAGAGAGTGCCATTGTGATCATATCGATAGATATTTTTAGTGCCAACACAATGACTGGTATAAGCCAGTTTATCATGCTACCAATTTCTCTATATGCAGTAGCAATTTTAACTAACGTGCTCACTCTTCATAATTCAAAAGTTTCGTGAAAAAAAAATACTCCAAGATTAAAATGACACGCAGATTAATGAAAAGCTCACTAAATTCTCATCATAACTATAAAGCATAAAACCGGCCACAGAAACAGTAATAATCTAGCTAAAAGGCGAAGATTGCAGGCGTATCGCGCTCGAATACATCCGGATTCGTAGCGTAAACACATGTGAACGGAATGAATGGCGAATCTTCCGGTCGGGTAACTGGGGCGTGAATCGGAGATTTTATTTTGAGGAGGCCGCAGTACCGAGACCATGTCTGATTTTTCCACCTCGCCGGTAATTCGTGCGGCGTATCGAGTCGTTTCCAATGACAGCTTTCAGCCGATACAGATAAAAGATTCCCATAT